CTGGAGCTGTCCACGTTGACTCCGAGATGGACACGACATACAGCTGGGGTGAGTTTTTTTCTCCCTCAGACAAGACCATCTACTGACTTTGCGTTCTCAAGTCTCCATGGATGGCTACACCGCCGACTACAAGCAGCTTCCAGAGATGGTCTCTCATTCTAGAAGTGCATGTTTGGGAACGGAGCCTGAGGACGCTTGGAAGGTGTTTACGCGACTTCTCGTCAGCACATGTGGTGACGAAGGTGCGCACTGTTCTCACTGCAGCAGTGGCCCACGCTGAATAGTCTTAGTCATCCTTGCCCTGACCGCTCGGTCCAAGACCGGACTGGACGTATTTCTGCCTGCACCCTCGAATTCGAAGGAAAGCCTCGACGATCCGATTACCCTGCCCCTCGAACTGCCCGACTCCGCGCCCGCCCTGCCCACCAACCCCCGGGTCTTCGCTGTGCGCCTCATCCAGCGCTACGCCTACGTCATCGGCGACTCCCGCACCAAGTTCCTTAGCATGAACGGGTTCCTCAGTGCCCAGAGCGATCTGCTCGACATCGAGAGCGACCACTCCACGGCCCTCTTCTGCCTCAACGACGATTTAGGGACCAGCGCACCCAAGGTCCTCGATGCCACTGACGCGCTGCTGCGGCAGTGGTTCGAAAAGCGGTGGCCGGAGAGGCTCCATTGTGAGCTCGGGCCCTAGTCAGTCCAGATCTAATCGCAATTGTATGTATCATAACCACTCTCACTCTGGGCCGTTCGTATTGTACTTGTTTGGGTTCCATTTCAACCCTAGGATTTCGCCAGGTCACTAATGTAAATGCAATTCATTCGTTCATCTTCGTTTACGGTCTGAGCGATGGCGAGTTCTGTGATAATAGACATAGATCCGATTGAGCACAGGGAGTTGCAAGCCCCATCACACTGCCTACGGATAACTGGGAGAAACCGTCTTAACAAAGTGGCCAGCGATGAGCGGGAGCTGCCAACAGGGAGAGGTAGCAACGAATAGCACGAAACCTGGAGGCGTGGTGTATGCTGGGGGTTTGTTTTAACCAGCGTCCGATGGGCTGCTTGAGAGCTGACTCATCGCTCCAAAACCTGGCGCAACGAGCGAAGACGGAACAGCCCGACACTGTAGGCCAACATACACCTACTACGCAAAGGTACTTCGGGCAAGGAAGTCCTGGAAGCCCGAAGCAGCCACCAGAGCGTGAGCGAGAAGACGCAGGCACAAGGTGAGTGGGCAACAACAAACAGGCTGAGGAGCGAGAAGGCAGAAAGACGGTGAGCATCCCAAATAATGAGTCACCCTCGTCTGGCACTCAGCAGTGGCTCTCACGCTTACCGCGACTGAGCTTGCACCAACTGAATAGAGTGTACAGAGACTTGGGGACACGCAATAAAAGGTTGAATTAATAACGAGGGTTGTTTATAACAAAATGAATGATAATGGTCGTTCAATTTAGTCTTTTGCTTAAACGGCTTTGATGCTGGGGGAGATGTCAGTTACATGTCATGGGACGAGGAGATGGAGATGGCAAACTTACGTCGCAGCCTTGATCGTTCCGCTGGTCAGCGGGGCCGGGGCCTTCACAGTGGACCCGGGGCAGGTCAAACCCGCACGGCGATCGAACTCAAGATCACGCTCAACCGTGCTCGCTGTCAGGCGCGAGATGGCGTGGAGAGAGCGTCTCTTCGCAGCGGAGTTTCCGAAACATTTCTGCAAGATTGAAGCGATATTTAGCGACTACAAAGCGGCAGGGCGGGGACGGCATTACCTTCAAGATAACGAACTTCTTGGTGAAGAGGGTGTTGGACACGTTCTGCTTGAACAGCCCGAAGAACTGGCCAGAGGCACCGACATTGACGTTGACGTTGGCATCCATCTGAAAGAGTGTATCAGTGATAAATTAGAGCATGGTTCGGCTCGACGCACCTCGAAGCAGCCTCCGACGGTGGTGGACGCGCTGGTGGTAACTGCACGCTGCTCCAGTTCATCGACCTCCTCGACATCTCGGCCCTTCACTGCGATCTTGGCGGGAATGGCCTTGGGGGCAGCCTTGACAGGGGCAGCCTTGACGGGCGCAGCCTTAACGGGCGCAGCAGCCTTAACGGGGGCAGCGGCCTTAACGGGGGCAGCAGCCTTGACCGGCGCGGCTTTGGCAGGGGCAGGGGCAGCCTTAGCGGGGGCAGCAGCCTTGGCGGGGGCAGCAGCCTTGGCGGGGGCGGCGGGAGCAGCCTTAGCGGGGGCGGGGGCGGCCTTGGCGGGTGCAGCAGCAGCCTTCGTCGGGGCAACAGCGGCCGGAGCAGCGGAGGCCTTCGCAGGAGCAGCCTTGGCCGGGGCAGCGGAGGCCTTCGCAGGAGCAGCCTTAGCCGGGGCGGCAGCAGCCTTAGCAGACGCGGAAGGCTTGGCAGAGGCGGCGGGGACGGCGGCGGAGGACTTTCCAGTCAGGGCCGTGCTGGCCGCAGCATTGGCAGCAGCGGTCAAGGACATTTGCATCTGGGCGCTGGCATCCAATTCTAGGAAGATCTTGGCCGTGGCGGCATTGTTCAGAGCCGAGACACCCAGATTCAGCGACGGGATGAGATGGGCTTGAGCGTTACCGGTGGCTGAGAAGGAAGGGCTGGCGGACAGCGTCAGGGCTGTTGGGCCTCGTCATTTGTCATATCACAGGCCGGTATCAAGAACTTACGCGTGTCACCAATAGAGAACGCTTTGGTACCGGGGGAGATCGCAGAGGTAGCGGGGAAGGCAAGCTGAGCGTTGGCGAGGTCGAGGTTGATTCCGACGTTCATGTCGACTTGCGCGTTGAAGGTGGCCGAGAGCAAGGCGTGGACTTCGAAAGTCGGGCCGATGGTCAGAATTCCGGGAACGGTCAATCCTATCCGTCCGTCCATTGAGAAAACTGTGCTACGACGCAGAGGCAGAACGTACCTGGAATACCGACGGAGACGAGGGGGAGCTTGCCAGTGGTGACAGTTCCCTGGAAGCGAGTGAGCACTGTACGGCATACTCAGCCTGCAGTGTACCCACCGTAACACCGGCATTGAAGTCGAGAGTTCCCTGGACGTTGCCGTTGAGAGTTCCGACAACGGCAAAGTCGGAGAGCTACGCAAGAATGAGCGCGGAGATGAGACTTTAGGTGCACTACACACCTTGGGCGGAGTCAAGGTACCGTGGGCAGCCACAGCGATGGCGGCAGTAGCATGCGCGTTAGCATTCATGTTTGCCGTGAGGGAGGCAGACACCGGGCCACATTTGATGGACTGGTTGATCAGAGACACGCTCTTCGTGAAATCGACCGGGGGCAAGTTGAAGGTCTGGTTGACCGACACGGGGTTGTTTGCGCGGACTGTGATTGCGGGTAAGCAATCATGTCGTCCGTAGAAGTGGATACGAACCGGCCAAGGAATCTTTGACGAAGGTGTCCAAGACACGTTGGGCAAGACGTGAGTTGCGTCCCGAAGGCGGCACAAGCGGGGTCGCCGACTGGGCACCGGGGAAGTTGGCACCCTGAATGGCGATCTTCACGGGTGCAGTTCTAAGAATGTCAATCAGTGAAAATGGCAAAGAGGAGAGCACTCACTGGGTGTGATCAACGGATTGGAACTCGGTATCGAACCAGAGCGAATGGACCGGTTGGGTCGTGGCGTCGCGGCGAGAGAGACGGCTCGCAAGGTGACCAGGGATGGTCTGGTCATCGGCGACGACAACTTTAGACACCCGTGCAAACGCATTGCTTCCACACTAAGGAGGTGAGTCAGGAGGGAAGCCCTCTTTCAAAGCGGCTGCAGGGCACGCACGCTTTCGGGCAGCCGGATAATTTTGTGTACGGGTCCCGCGCCAGCGAACAAATGTCCGCAGGTCGAGTTCGCGGCGGCGTCGTTGCAGACAAGACGGATCTGCTGCGCGGTCGACTGCGAGTCGCATCCCAAGATCTGCCAGTTGGCAGCGGTCGTGATGTCACTGATCGCGTGCTGGCTCGTACTCCACTAGAACTCGCTCAATTTGGATGATTGAGGCATAGAAAGACTCGCGTACGACTGTCACGGTACCCGACGCCGCAGTGCCATTCGTGGCCTTCAAGTCTGGTTTTCGTCAGCTCGGTGATATGAAAGAAGGCCGAGCGGACATACCATACGAGCAGGACCCAGAGACACAGGGCACAGTCCAGTCGTTGGCGGCACTAGCCAAAGAAACAAAAGGCAGAAGAAGAACCAAAGAAAGCATTATCAAATTTTGCAGTGGGGCTTCTCGGAAGTCGGTGTGAATTGAAGAAACGAAGATGAAGGGGCCGGCCTGGGCGGTTGAATGAAGAAGGAACGAAAGGAACCGACGAAACGAAGGAAGAGGCGGAAGGAAACGAAGGAAGAGGCTCGTTTGCTTTGCCCTGCTGCATCGTCCAGCCTTTATAGCACTGGTGCTCTCCCATGTGGAGGTATTAATCGGAGACCATGCGAATCCTCGTCGTAATCTCGTCGCCTCGCTCGCAACCTGCAGTCCGCCCGACTCCGATTGACAGGCATGCTTCTGAAATCGACCGAAAGCGTAGTGTTTCAGGGAAAACTTGCGAGGTCATTTCCGTCTGGCTTCTGGATATTTAGTGACCAGAGCGCTCTCATGCTGTCGGTATGCAAGATGATACTTTCTCCGCTAGCAACACAGCGCAGGACGAGTCCAGATAGCCTTGGGCAGGCTGGGGAGCAAAACCCATGATCATCGGCAAGCGAAAGATGCGCGACCACGACGCAGATCCTGCTTCTTTCGAAATTGACAGTGCGATCGGCGGAGAGTTTCAGTAGCAGTGGTCCGTGGAGACCTGGTCGTTCGGGTTGCAGTTTGGCGAGACCGATTCAACGTGGTGCTGCCACAACCAGGACAAGAATCAAAGAGTAAGCAAGAGCAAACAATAGCCGAGCTCTACATGCCATTGATGCCAAGACCACGTTTTGGCTCTATCGCATTGCGATCAATTCATGGTCGCCATTTTCGGGAAGACGGGAAGAACGCAGCTCCGGGAGCGGCACACTTCCTTCCGACCTACAAGAGTGGCTCACCGATCTTGGTTATACTCTGGAATTGACTACGAGGATCATTTGTACTAGTGGTGACAGTCCCCAAGACGATATTGCGTGGGTTACGATAAGGCAAAGAGGATTGAAATGTTGAAATCAGTCGTCCGACGAACGCCATCATGTGGCGTCCTTCTTCCGATGCCACGATCTCTCGAGTCAGTAAGTACGACCGTGAACGGAATTCGCTAACGGCTGGCTGCAGAAGATTCTCAACAAGCGCGCTGTCTTCACAGCGCGGTCAGCGGTCGTTCCTGGTGGAAGGGAGCGAGCAACAGCAGGCAACTGCATGTGCTGGAGTGAAGATCATCAATTCCGGGCCGGGTTCTGCTCTAGCCTCTGGTCTGTGATCATCGCACACTATGTGATCCCAAGTCAACGCGTAGATCCAAGTAAGGATGGCCTAAGAACCGCATCACCGCCTTTTAGGACAGACTTATCGACGTGGGTCACGTTCGTACTCAGGGATCAGAGATCCATGAGTTAACGAATGTCAAATGGGGTAAAGGAAAAGGATGGCTTCCAAACGCTTGGACCTGAACATACCCGCTGCCTGGTTCATTTCCTTACTGTCCTGAACATCGGGTGTGCCTCGCTTCAAGGCTTATTCATCGTGCAAGCACAATCTATGGCTTTCTCCGATTAGACGATTTCTAAAGGAGAGCTGAAGTACGTACCGAGAATCGTCCCGGTAGATGTGTCTAGTATCTGAAAGTATTTCAGTCGACTCTTCAGTTCTGATTCGATTAGGAACCCAAGGATTCACATTGGATGGCTGGCTAATTGAGTTGGTTTTGTCAGGCCGAGAGAGTAATCAGTAAAGATTGACAAAGAATGAATGTCACATATTTCCGTTTACATAACCTCAGCTTCGTCCCCAGTTCAAACGTACGTTATGGATGGGTCGTGTGTCTCTGCCGGGCCGGCCGATCCCGAACCCACGCGTCCTTCTGTCGAGTACTTGGCGGCAACACAAGATGGTGAGAATGAATGATCCGGAAGGAAATGGGATCTAGCCCTTGAGGTCACAGCGCGCACCTACCCGGGCATGGAGCATGCAGGAGCAGACTAAAGCTTCCAGAGACCAGAGAAAGTGGGAAGAATGTGATAGACCGGTGAGTGGATTATCTGCGCGAGTGGCCGATGGCAGAGGTTCCGAGTGCACAACACTTACCTTGCTACAGATACTCGAGCAAGACTAGGAGTCTAACACGTCTGGAGACTAGGAGAAAGCAAGACCTAGACCATAAAGATGATCATAATGATAAAGAAAGGAATCAGGAGGGTGTCACCGGCAAGCTGATAGAACAACAAGGCCGATGATCTCCGTGCCCACAATCCTGGTCGAGTGCCAACATGAAGGCATCACCCTGACTCCGAAAAATGGCTCCTACGGCGTTAGAAGGATACAATCTGGTCCAAGAAAAGTTACATTCAAAATTTCCGTTATAAGATAATTGGTGATCTATCTCTCGCACTCAGCTGTTCTCGTACGGGATTGCCTTGTTTTCCTTCTTCCAGAGGGTCTCTGCCTCGCTTCGGGCGGAAGGAGGAGCCATGCCGTTGATGTTCCACAGCTGAGGCTGGATGAACGATCAGTTGACCGTGAGTGGTCTGGCGAGGAGACGAATAGCTCACATCGGCATCTGCGACCACGATCTCCCAGTCGACACCGCGCCCCGCGGTATATGGCTTCAGCTTTTCCTCATATCTTGCCATGAAATCGCGTTTACGCTTAAATCTGAGGGAGTGCGTGAGCCCCTACCGGCTGCATTGGATTCGATAAACCACTCACCCGTCATCTCCATCGGGGAATGTGCGTGCGAGGTGCTCCACTTGGATGTGGACCATGTTATCGGCACGCTTAGCCTCTCCCGCGACAAAGAAGTTGCCATGTTCGAGCTCGATGAAAGAAACGACGACGTAAAACGCGGGAAGTGATGCCGGGGGCCCGACGTAGAGTGCGGTAATATCCTGAGCAAGTGCCGCCTTCTCGGCATCCGAGTAGAGACCCTTGGGAATGTAGAATCGATGGAAAGGCATCGCTGCTGGAGTCCCGGCTGAGAGGGACGTACTAGTAGTTGCTGGATTATTCGAAGTTCATGGACCCTCGCCTTTTATTTACGGTTCTCATCTTCGCCTGGGTTCATGCTGTCAGAGCACGAAGCACTACGTGAGCCCCAAACGGCCCGGTATTCAACACGTCTCTTCGATGATTACTGCTTCGCATGACGTCTACTCAGCTCTGGTCCACGGTTGGTATCCGTTCGATGTTTCACGCAGCAAGTCGCATCTCCGCTCGCTGGTCCAACGCTCGCCAGCTTCTCACTCGGCATCATACTACTTCTGTCATTCATGATGAGTCAATGGAGCTTCTTAATAGCCTCGCTGCCTCTATAGTAGTAGTAGTTTCACCTGAGTCTCCTCCAAGGAATTAGACCTGCCTACTAGCTTCTCGATGAATTCTACGTGGATTTTCTGATGTTTCGTTGACTGCATCTTAATGCTGCTCTTATTGCGCTCTTCTAACGTACTGTTGTTCAATTGGCATGACCAAAGGGAACCAAAAGTTCCTAAAAGCAGAAGAAACTCGAGATCGAATCACAACTTTGATCAAAGCTTTCGGAAATGTTTAGAGGTTTGAGAATGTAGGGTAGGTGGCTCTCAAGTAGTTATTTCGTTTCAAAGAAAAAAGAAAGAAAAGCGGAACAAAGCCTCTTCGTACGAGGCAAGAAAAACAGTTTCCAACCTTAGTTGAAATGTCACCTTGGAGTACAGTTTCGACGTCGATTCTTGTGTGGAGCGCATTGGAAGCTCCGCACACACAGTCATGAAATCTGGATCCTCTCCTTTGACAGTGAAGATCCCATCCAGCTGTCATTCCAGAATTCTGTCAACTTGAGATGCTAGCCCGCTGGGGTCGTCCTCATCCAAGCCACACCCAGGAACGCAACCAAAATGATATCAGACCCACTATTTTCTACACAGTTCATCTCAGAACCCAAGAGTTTAGCAGCCTTGTTCTGATTATGGAACGTACACTCGACACGCAAATGGTATGATCATCACGCACGTGTCCGCGAAATCGATTCCCTCCCGCCATCACGACCAACTTCATGGGCTCAGTCCATCCAAGTTCCTACGGATTCCGCCTGGACACCGCCACAAAACAATCCTTCGAAGACCCCTGAAGCAACCGGTAGATGCGAAGTTGATTGCTCTGAGACATCCCAATGGGAATTTCTCCCCACAGTGTCAAACGTTAAGGTTTGGTGAAGTTGATTGGCTAGTTTTGAATGTTCATACTAGGTGCGCTGTGGGGTCAGCTGCTCTTGTACAATCTGGTTACTGGCAGGGTCCGCATCTCGAACCCGTGATCTTTGCGTTCTCTTGCCGTCACTCCCAAAGCCGCAACGACATTTGTCTCGCAGATCGCGCAACACACAAGCAACACATGGTGAGGGTGACGATATCGGACGGCTATCACCGGTCATCTTTCATGACAAGACGGCACGGAATCTCTGAGCACGCGATACGAGCTGACTGCTGACAATAGAGAATGACCCTCACCGCAAAAATTGCTCCTTCGGCATTGGGACGGATGGGATCTGGCCTAAGGCAAGTGCATCCGAGATCCTAGTCATAGATAAGCGGTGATCTATCTCTGGCGCATCGCATCGCTAAACTATCCTCTCCGCTACATAAGGGATCGCCCTGTTCTCTTTCTTCCAGAGTGTCTCTTCCTCGCTGCGGGGTGCGGGAGGCGACATGCCGTTGATGTGCCACAGTTGGGGCTGGATAAATGATCGGCAAAGCATTGGCAATCGGCCAAAGAGATGGCTTACGTCGGCATCTTCGACCCCGATCTCCCAGTCTACACCGCGCCCAGCGGTATAGGGCTTGAGCGTTTCCTCATACCTCGCCATGAATTCACGCTTACGCGTGATTCTGATGGAGTGCTTGAGCCCGTGCCTGCTGTATCAGACCGGAGGAACAACGCACCCGGCATCTCCAACGGGGAACGTGCGTGCGACATGTTCGACTTGGATGCGGACCATGTTGTCGGCGCGTTTGGTCTCGGCACCGACGAAGAAGTTGCCTTGATCGAGTTCGATGAAAGAAACGACGACATAGAACGCCGGGAGTGATACTGGCGGGGCTGTGTAGAGCGCCGTGATATCCTGAGCGAGTGCCGCCTTCTCGGCATCCGAATAGAGCCCTTTGGGAGTGTAGAATCGGTGGAAAGGCATCGTTGTTGAAGTCTCAGTCTGGATCGCAATGGGGCAGTTGAACTGTGCAAAATCATACCATTAGCTCTTCTTATATACATACTCGCACAACGCCACGTAAGTCCCCGAGGGTCCGCTGACCAACATATCTCTTCGATGATAACTGCCTAGCATGACGCCTTGTCAAATTCGGCATCACGGGGTAGCATTCCTCCGATATTTTCGTCGCAGTAGCATCTCTGGCATTCGCCAGTAGGTCTTCGTAAGATTCGAGCGGGAACTAAGTTAGTATTTACTTTGGATTATCTATCGGGCTACATTTTCCCCATTAGTACCATCTGCAGTCGTATTGAAATTCAGACTCCTCCCATCGCTCGAGGCCCGCGCCGATTAGTCTGCATGGCACGTGATCGCGACTGTCTGTTCAACTCTTCGATCACTCATCCGGGCAGAGCCCGGCGGGCGTTATTATTAAATCAAGTCATTTTGAAAGGATTAGTCAATCCATATCGTTTTCGTTTACATTGATCGACCACCCAAACACGAGTCTAGCTGCGGTGACAATCCGCATTGCCCGAGTGTCTCCAATTGCGTTAATGGCCATGTGAAATCCTTACTCACACGAGAATTTATGTTTCGATCTTTGCGATTGATGTGTGAAATCGAGTCCGGTCTTCAAACCTTGGGCTGGAAAGATTCTATGCCCGAGCCCGTGCCCGAGGCCGAGACCGAGCATTGCGTTCGGATCCTGAAGGCGAGTTGAAACATGAAGATAGATGGGGACATGACATGCACCATCACAATCGTTCAACGGATAGCGTCATAGTTGTTTCGGCTCTGTTCTCTCATGAGTGGCTTATTTCTAAAGCAATTGATAGGAACGATGGTCAGACTCCTAGCCTCGATAGCCGTACTTACACTATCTGCGTCTTTTCATGTGATCGGGGCTCCGTTCTTTTTTTGCGAGTAGATGCAGGCATGATTCTAACCTTGACGCATCAGACTTGCTAATTCGTTCAGAGATGTGCGTACATACCCTATGGAGAGTACCGGGCACATGAAATCCGGGCTCAGATTTCAGGAGCTCACACTGCCCGAGTTTCGTAAGCCCGAGACCGCATACGCGGGCCCTCGGGCGTCCAACTCAAGCCCGAGCCCCTATGGCGCGATCTAAGAAGATGAAGCATCAGAGTTCGGTCCACGTCTAGAAAGAGAATTGTGCGGGTCAGAAATCAAGTTTCATATGCTTGACAAGGTTTGAAGACTCCTGAGACCATCACCTCGTCGGCTGTGTTCACAGCTACCCCCTCATCAAGTACGTGACCCTTTTCTTGAGTGATCACAGAAGAGCTGAGGTGGCCTTAGACTCGCAGCGTGTTTATGACGTAAAATATCTGGTATGACACCTGGATCTTTCTCACCTGTAGTGGAGGATTTCACTCAGCTGTCACTGTAGTATTCTGTCAACTCGAAAATAGGCCCGTCTTGAGCCATTTGGAGCCCCCAATTCGAGTTACACGAGACATTCACAGATATCGCTTGAAAATACTCCCATATAGCACCGAAGTTGATATTTCGCCGGTTCGAGCGCGGCCATCGAGACGCGAAATGAATGATTAGTTTGTCACGTGATCGTGTCTTCCATTTCCTCTCGACATCACTTCGCGTGAAATTCATTGACTTGTAGCATCCAGAAGCAGCCGTTATGGGCGAATTCGAAGATTCTGAGATACTCTCATGAGAGTTCACCCGCAGTGCTGAGTCGTGGGGCCCGGTGGAGTTGATTTGCTGGTTCTGGACATCCATTCTAGGTGCGCTGAAAGGACAGCTACGCTGCTCGTGTAAGATGTGATTGAAGGGAGTTCGTATCGGGAACCTCTGATCTCTATCTTATCTGGCCATCACTCTTCACTGCCTCACAGATCGAGCACCGCCCAAGTAACACATGGTAAGGTTGCCGACACCGAAAGACTGTCACCGGTCAACTTACATCACGAACAGCCCGTGATTCTGGAGCCCTGCGGCTCCCAAAACGAGGGGAATACCCTCACCTGACCTCAAGAAATGGTTCGTGTAGCCCAGGGCGCACAGGATATGATCGAAGAGGAGTTGCATTCAAGATTCTGGTCATAAAATAATGGGTAATCTATCTCTAGCGCTTAGCGACGTTAAACTGCCTTGTCCGCCTCGTACGGAATCGCCCTATTCTCTTTTTTCCACAGGACCTCTCCCTCACTTTGCGGTGGGGGAGGAGCCATACCGTTGATATTCCACAGCTGAGGCTGGATGAACGATCAATCTGCCGTAAGTGATCTTCCGAAGAGACAGATAGCTCACATCGGATTCTGCGACTACGATCTCCCAGTCGACGCCGCGCCCCGACGTATATGGCTTCAGCCTTTCCTCGTATCTTGCCATGAAATCGCGTTTGCGCGCAAATCTGACGGGGTATATAAACCCATGCCGGTCGTGGTTGGATTCGATGGACGACTCACCCGGCATCACCAGCGGGAAAAGTGCGCGCGAGGTGCTCCACTTGGATGTGGACCATGTTGTCGGCGCGCTTGGTTTCTCCGGAGACGAAAAAATTACCCGGATCATGCTCGATGAAAGAAACGACGACGTAAAATGCGGGAAGTGATGCCGGGGGCCCGACGTAGAGCGCAGTGATGGCCTGCGCGAGTGCCACCTTCTCGGCATCCGAGTAGAGACCCTTCGGGATGTAGAATCGGTGGAAAGGCATCGTTGCTGGAGTCTCAGTCTGAAACGTATGGAAACCCGGAAGGCCCTGCTCAATAACCGAGATGGCTGACAGTGATGGCGTGATCTGGGGTCCCGCTCACCGAATCGTAGACTTAGACATTGGTACTATAGTTTTGTAGATGACTGTGACCAGTAACTCCTCAGTCAAGCCTGATAGTGGCAGGAAGACTGAGGATGCGACAGAACAAAAAACAGTGTATAAGTAGAATCTCGTGATCTGAGATCAGTCACGTGACAAGCTGTACACCAAGCTGCACGAGTCCCTGGCATATCGGCATATCCCTCATCTGTCCGATCCGGCTGCGCATGGAAGTGGCCCCAAAATGGGCAAAATCTCCGACTCTAGGGTGCACGGTTTGGGGGAAATTCCACATCAGGTCCGATCAGGTCCACTTACGGATATGGGTCTCGTATCAGAGCTCCGATCCGGCATGCGTACAGATGTGCCAGGCAACCGACTACCAACCTAGTGCTACTGTACTACATAATTGTGTGCCATCTGTCTCAATATGCATCTATTCGCACAAAGCTGACCCCTTTTGTGTTGCTTGAGAACGATTTTGCGTGGCTTTTGTTGTTGACACTGTCTCGGGATCTCCCGCGCTCATTTGCCCAATGTGTGGTCATATACCTACATATCACTCTTTATACACATATCTCTTGTACATACTTACAATTCCTGCAATCTTGCGTCACTAGTCCATTCCAAACTTGAGCATACGGAAACACCCTCTATACCTGGGCACTTGTACGGAAACGCATGCTACAGATGTCCGATCCCGCCTGCTGACGGAGGTGTATGCTGGAAAGCTCCGATCCATTTGGCTAACGGAAGGAGCAAAAAATGCGCCAACCTGATCCATATGCGCACGCTTTCAGCTGAAATCCTCACGTACAGAACTGCCCGAAATGGGACATTTCAGATCAGACATCTTGGCCTATATGCTGGGGGCCTGCTGCACGTTACCAGGCCCACAGACACATAGGGTGAACATCCTCCAAAATAAAGTAAATCTGGCCAAAAATTTTGATTTTAATTCTCCGGGAAATAGCGTAAAAGTGCCTCAAAAAGGGCAGCAAGCCTCCGGAGATAGCGTAAAACTTTGCTAGATCCCTGCCGACCTTGTAAGATTTGAGCCCCGCACCAGTGTAAAATCGGGTGGAACCCGGCCTAATCCGGGGCAGCTTGGTGTACAGCTTGTCACGTGACTGATCTCAGATCACGAGATTCTACTTATACACTGTTTTTTGTTCTGTCGCATCCTCAGTCTTCCTGCCACTATCAGGCTTGACTGAGGAGTTACTGGTCACAGTCATCTACAAAACTATAGTACCAATGTCTAAGTCTACGATTCGGTGAGCGGGACCCCAGATCACGCCATCACTGTCAGCCATCTCGGTTATTGAGCAGGGCCTTCCGGGTTTCCATAGAAACGGAATGTCGCAGTTAAATTGTGAAAGTCGTACAATGAGCTCGCTTATATATGTACGAAACGCTACATCAGTCTCCGAAGCAACCCGGCGCTCCGATAATCAACATATCTCTTCTGTGATTCCTGCATTGCACGATGCCTTCTCGAATTCGGCATCACCGGGAGTATTCTCCCGATATTTCCGTCGTAGTAGCGTCTCCATTCTCCAGTAGGTCACCGTAAGGATCGGACGGCAAACAGGTTAGGACGGCTTATGTACTTTGCATGCTCCATCGGGCTGTCTTTCTCTCATCGGTTGCATTGGATCTCCGACGTGTTCCATTGCTCGTTGCCCGCGCGCTGATTGCTCTGCATAGCACGTGATCGCGACTATCTGTTCAATCTCCTCGATCATTCATCCGGGTAGAGTCCGGCGGGCGTGATCATTGAATTGAGTCACTCTGGAAAGCATTAGCCAATCTGTCTCACTTCAGTTCATATAGATCGAAGACACAACCGCGAATTCGACTGCGGCGACGGCCAGCGCTGCCCGCACATCTACAGGCGCGTCAGCCAACACGTCAAGTAGCTATTTACACAGATCGATGTCTATCTCGGTGTAATTAGTGTACGTGAGTCGGGTATCCAGAGCTTAGACATACAGGATTCTATGCCCAAGCCCCAGCGCAAGCCCACTGGGGGCTTGGCATTCAGATTCTGCAGCGAACTAGGAGACAGAAGGCAGATATGCCATGCACTTTTGCGATTGCCCAGTTGAGAATTGCATGCTTGTGTTGGCACTTTCCCTTGTGAGTGATCAGTCAGGAGCAAAAGTAAAAGCTATGCTTCGATTCCCGGCTTAGATAGGGATTGAGCAGATAACTTGTCGGTGAGGGTGATTGCTCGGCGTTAGCAAGCTTTCTGGGCCATGGGTCGCTCATTCCTGACATCCAGAGGCTGTGTGTCATCTCCCTTTCATTTGTCGTCGGTCCTCATTTTCCGTGATTCTGATTCCCTGTGTTCATCGGCTTTGTTCTTACCGATGCATACAGTCCCCCAGATGCACAATGGACTCCCAAGTCTTGTTGTTTTTGTATTTATATTATCTCACCCACTGTCCCTATTTCGCTTTACTAAATTTCACGTTCCCAACTGCATCACCAGTCCCTGGCAGTTGGGCGTGAGCTGCACCCACGGTTGGCCGGGTCCAGCTTCGGACCCAAACGACATCCGTATTTGCATCCAGACCTCGTTCCTTTCTCCATTCCTGAGCTCCCAAATTGGTTTTCCAAGATTCGTGACCAAACATGCCCAGCGGTCATCGACTCATCTTGACACTCGATGAATGACCGGGTTGACACGTGACCGTGTTATTGATTTCCTCTCGACATCACCACTTCATGGACTCGGAGCATCCAGCCGATTACACTTGGACACCACCTCAGTACAATCTTCTGAAAGCTCCTGAAGCATCTGGTGTATGGGAAGTTGACTCTTCCGGAACACTCAAAGGCAATTTTCCCCGCAGCGCTCGGTGGTAGGGCCTGATCAGGTTGTTCCATTGGTTCTGAATGTTCATCCTAGGTGCGCTGACGGGACAGCTGCTCTCGTGCAATGTGATCACCGGGAGTTCCGCATCTTGAACCCGTGATCTCTATGTTCTCTTCCCATAACTCTCCAGGTCTCAACTACACCTTCGCAGATCGGCGCCTGCTGCACAAGTAACAGACGGCGAGGACACTTTTCCGATATGCATCGTTTGACCTACTCCTAGGCGAAAGACTCCATTACCTCCCGTGACTTCGTCAACACTTTCCGGCAGCCTGATGCAATTGTGGACTACGCATGGTATCCGATGTCGAGCATGTCCAGTCCTGCGGCATTCTGTTTCGCGGCTTCGGTGAGGGAGACGCCTGTCAAATTGCTCGACGCCTCGGATGGGCGAGTGAGTTATGCTTTGGTGTGCAGGATCTCCATCGCTCAGCCGCGCGTTCCCAGCTCCGAGCGTCGTATCGCATCGTGGACCACCGCGAGCGTCAAATCGCACCGCACTCACTCGCATTCAACCCGACTGCCACCAAGCTGTACTGCGGCTTCGAGGATGCCATAGAGGTGTTCGACGTGTCTCGACCTGGTGAGGGGACCCGATTACATACTGTGCCCAAGAAAAGCAGCCGCGATGGCCTCAAAGGTCGGGGTCCGCACCCCTCGTGTCGCAGGCCCTCAACGCCATACCATTCCAGGGATAGTTTCCTCACTGGCATTTTCACCATCGTACGAATCCGGATTCTACGCTGCGGGCACTCTGTCCTCGACTCTCGGAAACATCGCGGTGTATTCGGAGGAGCAAGGCGATGTCCCTGTCCTGTTTGTCGAAGGGGGGCCCAAAGCCGCGGTGACTCAGGTGCGTTTGACCAACCCCTTCAGGACTGAGACCGTGTCTGTGACTCAATCTGCGCCGACTGCAGCTCCAATTCAATCCGATGCACCCGCATATCTTGTACGCGGCGTTTCGGCGCTACCCGGGAGTGTGGAGCTGGGACTTGCGCGCGAATGCCAGCGTTCCTGTGCAGATATACTGTCCCCCCGAACAAAAGCAGGATACAAACCAAAAACGACGGTTCGATATTGATGTCGCTGGCCGATATCTCAGCCACGGAGACCAGGTGAGCGGGTCCACCCTCCGGACCATTGAGCGCCTCTTCTCACACAAGATGACAGGAGGGAAACATCTCGATCCACGATCTATCTCAGCCTGACGGCCTCTCGCTCGTTCTGAGATACCCCGCTCACAAAGGTGGTTGTTCATCCCAAAGGCCTGCTCCCAAAGCTAATGGCCGCATCTCAGACGCTATCGGCGCCGTAGCTTTCCACCCCGCCGAGCCCTCTTTGCTTTCGGTCTCCGGGTCTCGGCATTTCGCTGACCCAGATGTGGTCAGTCTCGATTCAGATTCGGGTTCGGATTCGTCGGATGAAGACAAGTCGAGCCCTATCATCCGGCGTGCCACTGCCCCGGCAGTGCCGTTGCCCAAAGACAAGAGTGTCAAACTCTGGAATTTGGGAGGGTGATGGGCAACAGTGTCTCCAGCTCTGGATACAACCTTTCATCATTACCGAGATACATTCACATTTGAGTTTGTAAGGTACGGAGACAAAACAGAGGAAGGAGTAAGAGGGATAAGGACAGGACAAAACATGGGCTAAGTAAGTCAGCTAGATTCTGAGTTTGCTTGTGAAATACATGGAGAGAGTTGTGATTGGAAGCGAATATCCTTTTAGAAGAGTGGGTTTACTGTTGCTTGCAGTCCTGCGGGTCGACATTGGCACTGGAGCTGGCACCGGCACCGCGGCCCTTTGCAGGACCCCGGCGCCGGGTAGTAGGGACCCTGTCGAGGTCAGAGTCCTAGTCGACCTGTTAGCATGGTAAACAGGGGTGCAAGGACAAGCAAGCAGGAAACACACATCATCCTCGTCGCCCTCATCTTCATCATCGTCATCCTCGTCATCAATATCATCGAGGTCGTCCATGTCATCGTCGCTGTCGTCGAGCATCTCAAATTCGAGCGCCTTGCCAGTGAAATAGTCCACAGCACGGGGAATGATCTGGCAGAGTGTTATTCAGCCCTGGCCAGGAACAGCTCAGGGTACGCACCTTCTCCTTCAGATCTTCACCGACCTGGTAGTCGACTTCGAGCCGCTCTTCAATCTCTTCCAGCTCGTCGGGGTCCACGTCACCAGCCTCAATCTACGAAAGTTCTCAGCTTCCTACGCAAGGACTGCCGCAGACACGTACTGCGTCATCCGAAGGCATCACAGGAGGGGAAAAGAAGTTGAAGAAAGAAGCGGTCGGGCGCGACTTGCGGATGAGGCGGGTACGGTTGGTGTCTGGAGAAAGCGCTCAGATTGATGATGAAGATCGTCATAGTGGAACCGACTCTTGTTGCGCTGCTTCTTGATTTCCCACTCGCGAGTAAGATCCTTCTCCTCTTTCCATGCGATGTTGCTGCCAACGGCACGGTCATAGACAAAGTCGCCAGAGTAACCGATCTGAAGAGCAATTCAAGCAGATGAAACTACAGCAAGACAGGCAGCAAACCTCCTCCTGGTAGATGTATGTCTTCGTGAGCGTCTCGTTGGTGAAGAACGTGTTTGCAGCAGAGTCCCAGTGAAAGATGATAGTGAATCCGGGTTTTCCAGCAAACTCGCCTGGCAATCTTTCAGCAAGATCATGCTAGAAATGAAGGGAGGCTAACGCACTGTCTCCTTCCTTAGGCAGATATTCCAGCGTCACATTCTTCAAGAACGCCAGAGCTTCGGTGTCTCGCTCCGTGATGAGCTCGCCAAGACCAGGATGATTGCGGAGCGCTGTGGACCAGAAATCAGGGATACCCGTGATGTTCTCTTCGCCGGCAGCGGGTTCGGCATCCTGGGAATACTGAGCAAGAGCAGCCTGGACGGCAAAGCAAAACTACCTTGGGCAAAGGTTGGTAATCCTCATCGTCCTTGAGTTCGGCCGCTTCACCCTTAGCGATCTCCTCCGCCGTAGCCGGGGAGGCGCCGGAAATGATGGCGGCGCGCCGCTCGTAGAGGGGCTGCTGGAGGGCGAGATACTACATGAAAGTGTGAGCCAATGCGATGCGGAAGACTAAAAGGTGCGGGAGTGGGGTAATGGGCCAGGAAAAAGCCGAGCTTATCGCGTGCATCACATCATCGTGCCATCGATCGCGGGGACCAGCGCACAGCTGCACGATCGGGACCCTTAATACGAGTCGAAGGATGGATGGGACGCATGATACGTCTCCAGCCAAGATCCGGGACGGCGAAACGAACGAAAAGGGCAGGTGAAAGAATTGAGACAAAGACATACCTTACGCTCCAACTCCAAGCACTCGCGCTTGTACTCGTTCTGGAGTTCCATCTGCCTGACCTGTACGCCCTTCAAGCCCTCGACGTTGCGCCTGACCAAGATCGGGAGGCTCTCAACGTAGCCCGATGTTTGTCCGATGAGTGTCGACAGGCGGCTCTCGACCAAACCCAGCATCGCGCTCTGCACACCACCAGGACCGAGACGGGTGAGCTCATCAGCAGTCTCGGGCTCCTCCTGGATGTCGGGAACCGTGGGGCGCGACAGGCCCTGGGAGATGGGAGCTTGATTGAGTGGAGTGTTTTGCGGGGTAGGCGCCGTGATAGAGGAGTTGTTGATCGGGATGGAGGACATCGTCGCAATGTAGAGGTTTTCCTGTGTTTTCTAGTTGATTGGAAGCGCGACGATGAGAGGAGGAGTGGTGCGAGGGGTGGTCTGTACTGAACGCGGTGAAAGTACAAAGCAGAAAGACAAAATTTTCAAGCTCCGCTAGATCTCCGCCTGAATCATCATGCCAAACTGATGTTACTGCGATTATCTCTGGCGCTTTCTGACTGTCTCTTCTCGCTGTGCACAGACGCATCTCGAGCTTTTGCAGTTTTGCATTTAAGCACATCGATCGGGTAGGTAACGCCCTAGGATGAGGGCATCAATGCCGAGAACGAGCTCCGTCACCGAAATCAGCCAACATCACCCGAGGTGCGGCAGGATGAATGTGCGCTTTCCCCGTTGAGGAAGTGGGAGGCGTTGAAAGTGCGTTCGCTGAAATGGCATGGCGAGTGGCTGCTACGTGAAAAGCTTCGCCAGCTCTCTCTCTCTTATCGACTGCGACAATGGGCCCCGGTGCCACTCGGCAGAATAGCGCTCGTCAAAGTCGGCGAATGCAGAGTGCGAGATCCAACTTGCTCAGCGCGGCCAAACACAACCCGAAGATGCTTCCCTTTCTCCAGAACTTCTCTCCACTGCGCACCTTGGCACATAAGAAGATTCAACTTGTTGTCTCGTTCCATTCGTTCCGAACTGGGCAGGCTAGCCTTCCCAATCCATGCTTTCGCGATAGACTTTTGAAAGTAGGCCTGAAGCCAAGGAGAGTCTGAACGCGGGAGGAGTCGACAGGACGTATAATGCCCAGTCCAATGAACTGTGTCGCATTGGGAAGAAACATGTTGCGCCAGTACCCGATTGACAGAATGGGAGCCTCACAGAAACAGACTTCCAAACGAACTAATCTCATCGACGCCTCAAGCACGCGCCCGTCCACAAGATCAATCCGCTTCTTCGATTCCATGTCCTGTGTTCAGGATGGACTGTCACGCTGCAAATAGGGCGGTCAGCAACACAGTGACGACCGTAGACACATTCCGAGAACAAAAGCACCCGCAGAGACAGGCGCAAGAGCGCAAGAGCATAGCCGATCTCTGTTGCAGAGTAGGCCGAGAAAGAACCGACGACGAGGACAATCTTATTCGCACAGTTAGCAGCGCAACGAAAGCCCTGTGGATGCGAGACGCAATTTTCACCTCCAACGACGACCTGCCCCATTGTCCAAATCCCGGGATTTTGGGGACGTACGCCTTGGCCAGCTCTACGGCATTCGAGATGGTCACATCGAAACTCTCCACCAAGTAATCTTCTTTCAGTCGGACCACACCGGTGTATACGTCATCCGCGCCAGTTTGCGCGAGGTCAATAGCCGCTGCAAGCCTGTGCTGTCCTTCTCCATGTTTTCCGTTCGGGTCGAGTGAGCCGTCACAGTAGGGTTGTCGTTGATTTTGGGTGCACGCAGAAGGACGTAAGCCACTGAGTGACATGCTGTTGGACGGTGGACATCGACGCGTGCCAGGGCCGACGAGACATTGGCCTGTCCGATTCAGTGCTCTCGCGTGGATGCTGCTCATCCGACGCATGATCAGCTGGGATGAAGAGCAAGGTGGATTCCTCAGCATAGCAAAGATCGACCCTTTCCAAGGAAAGGGGGATTGCGGACTTCCGGCGGCTTCGCTCGGGATTATCGAGGTTCAACGGGTCCTGGCGAGTCCAGCAGTCAGGACGATAGGATAGTGATGAAGCCTGGCCGTCTATGCCTAGTCTGCGTAGCAACGTCAGGGGTTCGGAGCGCGTTCGACACGTTTTAGACAGGGCGTCGAGACCGAGTCCATGATAAGGAAGGGTCATTGGAAGTGGACAACAGGATTCGATCACCAACAGCGGACACAGAAGTCCACATCATCGCTTATGGAACTGACAGCGATGAGATCCCATGGAAGCTGAGTCTCTGTTGCTTAGTCGTGGGGATGGAGTGGTATCGTGACCGCGGTACGAGTCGTGAGGTCCCACCAGCAGTGTTGATTCCGAGAGCAGCGCGAGACACAATCCAATGCAGAACTTTTGAGGCTCACGGCAGAACGAGAGAAATCTAGAATCCGAAAGTGCATTCTACTCATGAGTGAAGCGAGCTGCAATGGAAGACGCAGGGATTGAGGCTGGGTGGCAGTGACAGTTTGCTTGTTAAGCTTTGTTAGCCCTAGTGGCTGCTCTTGCCACAACTGCAGTACTTAATGGTCTTCAGTAACTCAAGTGCTGCGTTTTGAGCGACGTAGAAGTGGTCGCGTGATCGATCCAAATGATTTTCGTTGCCCATCCCATGCCGTTTGACACTTTCACGACCCCCGGTTGATCAAACATCTAGTGGTCAAGTTTTCGGCCACGTGTGCTTGTCCCAAACATTCCGATCGAATGACGAAAACTAGATCGACTCGTAGCAGCGTAAAATATCATCTCTTCGTTCTTGCACAGTACATTCTGATCTATATTTCGCCAAATCATTACAAGGACGATTAGAACTTGGTTTTCTTGGTCATGGTCCTCGACAAGTTATAAGCAGCAGAAATCAACGTCACGTGCCTAAAGCAGCAATGAATGCGAGCGAAAAATCGACGAGGTGGACAACATACGTGAATCCTTGAACGGCGTTCCCAAGACTGGAAGAAAGAAGGCGAAGTTGAGATACCGGACGGAAGCCACATGAAGCGTGCTTACCCTTCGCCAGCATCAGATATTTCCTCGGTGCACAGGCCCACGTGGTTCAAGTAGAGCAAAAAGTCCTCAAACATCGAGACAGCCCGCTGCAGCATGGGCAGGTCGTATTCACCGGCACGTGTCAGTGCCTCGACACACCTGGCGCTCGCATCAGAAACAGGACAAAGATGAAACAGGAACTTCTCGTGATGTACCAAAGGGTGCAGAGACAGAATGTGCCCTCCTCGCCACCAACACCATCATCAGCTTTGCTCACATCGTAGCGGTAGACCAAGTTCTGCGTACAATCAGTCCCGTGTCATGATCCTGCCGCCCAGATGGCTCACATTGGCAGTCAGCCCGCCGCGTTCCGGCGTTTTCAGGATCTGCCGCAGCGTCCCCATGAATCGGGGGTCGCTCTGATGATGGCTGAGATAAGCAGGGTATCCGGAGTGAACACCTAACCCACCGGTTGGATGAAGAACACCAACGGCATAATCAGCACCGCAGAATCGAGAATGTCGCGATCCTCGTAGCTTTGACCGAAGACCTGCATCTCCGGGTTCCATGCTTTAGTCATGATCTCCTCGTACAGTGCATCACGAGCAGCGAGCCACTCCAGACGCTTCGGGCAGGGAAGGGACCGTTTGTCTGCGAGACGGAGGCCACGATCGATAGCGACCCAAAGCATCACTTTGGAATACTGGGGTGTATCGTATTAGACGAGGGCGATCAGATGCGATGGATTATGGACAGACCGTAAAATGCCGCTTCTTGTTTCTGACTTCCCAGATAGATCTGTGTGCATGATGAGCGCTTGGGCCACGATGGCTGGAATCGACATACAAATCTGGTTGGTGCAGATTTGCGACGACGTCTGAGCCACGAGTTGACCATAAGTGTGCTGAACGTGAGACGTAGAACAGAGATGCTCACAGTCCACTCTGCAAGATATCGTCAGCTGAGAACAACGATTCTGGAACTGAGACTCACAGGTCTCGCACCAAGAGCCTGAGGACGAGGCGGTCAATGATGAAACGGGACAGTCTCTGCGACTGACCATGTGTCATAAGATAACGGTCTCCCAGACTGGCAAAGATGTATGGGTACGAGTTGTAAGGCGAGGAAGACGAAAGATTTACCTTCTGGCCAAGATAGATACAATCCATGCTGATGCGGAGATGTTGACTTGGAGAGAAGACAGACATCAATGTAACTCACAGTTCACCGTAGATATCCTGGTTAACCAATAGTCAGAAACGGTGTACGCTCACCCAAGACTAACGACGCACCAACTGAACATGATCTGCGGCCCCATTTCCAATCCTTGCAAAGCCAGTGATGAGCTTGTGTCTTTGGAGCCAGCAGACACAGATCGCACCGCACTGGCTTTGATCCTTTATGTCCATCAAGATGGGTCAACTCGATCTCTTCGAGTTCTGAGCCCCCTACGCATCCGAACTCAGCAATGCCTCCTCACGCGACAGAGGTAACGCCCACCATGGATAGTGTACATGATTTGCAAACTGCCATCGGGGTTCTTGTTTCGTAGCCGCTCGAAGATGAATTCCATGTAAGCTGTACCGTGCTAGTCAGAGGTGGCGAGATGAAACGGTGACGGAAGCTGACCATCTGCTTCTTTGGTGAACCCCAGTCGGATCAGCGCATAGAGCGTGAACGACGAGTCACGAATCCAGGATGCGCTGACGGTTAATGAGTGATATGAAACCCAAATGGACGGCTACCAACCGATAATCCCTGAGACAGGCGTGAGTGAACTGGTGCTCGACACGACACCGAAGCAACGCACCAGTTCCGTGTCCCGCCGATGTACTCTGGTAGGCTGAAGGTCGGACTCGCCACAACCGCACCGGTAGGCTCATAGATAAGCAGCTTCAAGGCTAGGGCGCTGCGATGGACAGCTTCTTTCCACGAGCCGTTGTACGTCGACTGCCGAATCCAATCGAGCCAGTACTTGTTCGTTGCGGTGAGAAGACTGTTCACAAAGTCCTGCGTACATCTCCAGTCAGCCAATCCGCTTCCTTCTATGAGCGATACAGGAAGCGCACCACAGTCAAGGGCGGATCACTTCTAGGCAGGACCGACCCAGCTTGAGCTGGGCTCGGCAGATGGCGTAGCACGAAGGTCACGCATTGGCCCTCGGTGAGTGTCATCTCGCTTTGGATAGCGTGTCCCAGATGTCCAAGCTCCGATAGATCCAGCAGGGCCAGGTCGATCTGCGGCGCAGGAACGTTCGGCATGGTGCTTTCGGGTACGAAGCGAAGGTCCAGGGTGAGAAGGTCAGATTGAAAGACCGCTTTGCTGGTGCCGTCAGAGTGCGAGGGGACGATGTCAGTCGTGTGCTTGGATCGTGCGTAGTTGAAGGCGGGGGCGCATTCGACGCGGAGAGGGACGGTGCCGCGAACGACCTGGAGAGAGATTCGTGATATGAGTGATCGACGACAGATTGCGTACCTCGACGCGTCGGATTAGCCACGGAAGGAGTGGATGCTTGGTTCCACCGAGAGGCAGAACGGGTTGACGGGGCAGGAAGTCTGAAGAGTATGTGAAGCTGCCGCAGTGGATGAAACGAGCCTACCAGTGATGGTGACCACCCCTCCTTCGTTCATAAACTTGGTATGCAGAACCTGCAACCCGTCACCAGTGATCCGAAACAAGAGCGGTGGGCGGCACGAACGTTGGAGCTAGATGCATAGTTCTGCTTGGCGTTGTACGGGACCGTGGGTGTAATCGAGAAGTGTCCGCCCTTCTTCTTGTCCAAGATGCGCGCAAAGACAGACGGGGAATCGAAGTTTGGAATGCAGTAACTTTCGACTGGATGCGCATCAGGACGGCATGGGCGCACACTGTAAGCATAGGTGGACAGGACGATACTGACTGGAAGCATCGGTGCTGACGAGCGCTGCGGTGTGCAAGTTTCCGATCCTGTGCGTAAGGAAGGATCGATATACATCAGCCAGGGCAGCATGGAACGGGAGACGACCAAAGACGAACAATGCGTGGTCGGAGATCGAGACATAGTCTCTGGTGAACGCATTCATGGGTTGCTGCAGCGTAGCCATGGTCGGTGAATGTGAATCAATGCTGGTGGTAGAGAATGGACTCTCCCGGACTTTATGACCTCACCGAGCCGAGTGCTGATCGGCTTCGGCTGTCCGGATTGAAAGCGGTTGGCTGTTCATTCTCATCATGGCCGATTGTCCCCGATGCTTGCGCCGGACACGGTCACATGTTATCAACGTGTTCAATTCATAATTAGGGTTATGAACTTCTAGAAGCTCGGCAAAGCTTCGTCAAGCCGTTTTCGCGATCTGGAATCCGATTGCATTCGGGAATGCGAAATTCACTGGAAGTAACGTCTCGTGAGATTCGTGCTAGCCGCTGAAAGTACGAGACTAGTAACCACTCCTTTTCGAGTTACGGTTGTGGCAGACTTACTGCAGAGTATCCCAGGGAGAGCCGCGCGTCCATTTCAGATAGAAACCAGATATTGTTACAAATTCGTGCCATTTTTCTTGTTCTCCTTCCTACACAAACCCACCCTGTCTCAGTTCCTCGAAAGCAGCGTCTCTAGCGAGTTGCCACTCGGGCGGTTCCTCCGAATGCTCATCCTCCGAATCAAAGCTCTGCCAGTTGTAGGTGCCGTCGTCCTGCAACCCGGCTTCCTCGTCGACGTATTCTTCGAAGTCCATGTTTGCAATGTCCAAGTTGACAATCATTCCATGGGCTTCCTCAAAAGGCAGCCGACATCCGCGCCATCCTGATGCAGCAGAAGTGTCCTCCACCCTCTGCTCCTCCTCAGAGCTATCCACGTGTTCACAGACTATACACGTGGAAGTTTCGAAACCCTTCTCATCGATAACGAGCCAGAGATGCGGAGAGCAGTCTCCAGCGACTAGCTTGTCCTCGTTCGCCAGCATGTACTCATTGATCTGTTTCAGCGACATCCCAGCGAATTCGTTTTGGATCACTTCTTCCAAGGGGGGGAAAGTGGGCGCCGTCGTCTTGTCGCGTGAAAAGTCTTTGAGAGTGACGAGTTTCCATCCGCCGTTCTCAGGTGGATAGTCGTTGAATCTGAAGTCTTGGACGAGAAGAAATGCGCGGTTCAGGTCCTGACGCCGAGAAATGAGATCTTCGGAAACCTGATTGTCAGGATCGCATGCGACGAACTTTGCCCGAGGGGATGTTGGGCGTGTTGACGAATATGACAAAATAGCTAGTCATGATACAGGATGGTGATGGAGATGGGTGAGGCAGGAGTAGTATTCAGCACGTGTTTTCGAGCGTCCCTGACAGTTCTGGGAGTCTGATTCATGTCGAAATCATTCATTGAGCAGGGTCATGATGTCACTGACTTTTCGTGAGACAGTATAGTGGCGGTGCAGAGCCGTCGATCATCTTCAAGTCCAACGCACTCACTTCTTCAAATTCCCAAGTTTCGATCTTTGCGATCAGCTCCCTCACCAATTGTTTGGTACGAAAATGAATTGTTCATCAAACTTTTTAAGGAGTTGGTTAGCCTTCTAGTGATAACTAGCCTCAACTGTGTTGGAATCCCTTGTATTGCATATCATGGTCGAGATTTGGGCGACGGCATTGCTTGACAGGATGCGATCCTACTCTGCTTTTTCTACGCGAGCGTTCATTCATTGGGATTCCACGTTCTATGATGCTCAGAGCTCGGCACGTTCGTTTCAGCGACATCTTCACGTGCCGATTTACCTCGTTATGGTTAGGGTTATGCTCCCCACATCATTCCAGCGGGGGCCATCCATTCATATTTTACTCTCACCACCCGCCGTCATCTGCTCTCCCCTTCCTTTCTCGACCGCGCTCGCGCTCGCGCCGTCGCCCATCCCTCATACAAGTCCAAGTCGTCGGGTCTAGATCTGATCCGGCCAGCGGCCGCACACGTGTCTATTCCCAGGGGCTAAATTTATCCACCCCATACCAACTCTCCTCCGTCACCTACGCGCCGTAACCCGAGCACGATGGCGTCGTCGAGCAGAACATCATTGTCCTCCCAGTCTATTTCGCGCAAGAAACAATCTACTTTACCCTCACGCGCATCGTCCCTGCTGACCTCGGATTCCCGTGCGTCGGCGCTTCCATTCGACGTATCTCAGTGTGCGGCTGACCTTTTTTTCATCGGTTTTGTCGCGTATAGCTGCTGGTGCTGGTGCGGCATCGGAACCTTTATACCAAGTGAAGCTGCTCAATGCACTGAGGAGCGGTGAGTGCGCGATACCATTCCCCACCCACCCCCGAAACTTGGCCAGTTCCATTGCAGATGCTTACTTCTCATCAGGCGATCCTGCCCTTATTCACCCGTTCCTCGCTGAAATCGGTAAAGAGAAGCGGAAGAGCTCGGACCAGCGAGGAAGCAATGTCTCAAGTGGTGCGAGTGTGGCCAGCGGCGGAAAGGCCCTCCCGAGCGAGTTGGATATGGGCGCTGCCTCTCTTCACCTTGCGATCCGCTGCGCCTCTCGTATGTCCCCGTTTCTCTCTGCCTCCCTCTGACGCCTACTGAGCGGTTGCCACCGACTTATAGTGGATACCATTTCACTGCTCCTTTCGCACCGGGCTATCTCGCCCAACGGGATTCATCCTCCAGGCTCTGGCACGACCCCTCTGCATCTAGCTGCTTCGCTCGGACGAGCAGATGTAGTCAATCTGCTGCTTGAGCAGGAGGGCATCAATGATACGTTGCTTGATAACGAAGGCCGCGATGCTAAGGATTCGGGGAAGACCCGGGAGGTAGTCAAGGTATTCAATGGTACGTTCGTTCAATCTGGTCCCCGAACCTCCATCCAACCTGTTAATCGCAGATTCGCGAGCTTTTCTGAACGCATCCTATCGCTCTCTTCTCCGTTCTTACATACTGTCGCCTTTCGGGTCTCATCATCAACACTCCTCGTCCGCGGGGAGTCTATCAGCTGCCAGTATGTCTGCGATTCTGTATTTTGGCGGGGATCTGAACTATAGGCACTAGCTCCTAAAGTGCACACAAGCCCAAGCACATCTGCAGGACCTCCACCTGCGCTACTGTCTCTGCTTTCGTCTCCTCGTGTGGCACATGTTGATCTCAACTATCTGGACGATAGTAGCGGAAAGTCTCTGCTTCACGAAGCTGCACGGAGGAGAGATCTCCGATTGCTGGAGCTCGCTGTGCGCGCAGGTGCCGATGTCTTCGTTCGAGATATGCGCGGGAAGCTACCAGGAGAAGGCCTGCCGTCGACAACGACAGGTTATTCCGGTGGTGGGAAAGGAAAGGGGGATGGAGACGTCAAGGCGTTTCTGAGGCAACGTGCGCATAAGCTTCTGCTATCCTTATCAGCACGTTGACCACATTTCGCAGTGACGAACCAAGACCCGGCTCTCCTACAGCGAAGCCCCAATCTCAGTGGAGCTGCTGCTCCATCGGCGCCTCCATCCCTTCGTGGCCATCTGAACAAGTACACCAATGTCGCCCGGGGATGGAACACAAGGTGGTTCGTATTGGATGCCGGTGTCCTTAGCTGTGAGTCTGCAAGAATTCCTTCTGCGTGTGAATTGTCGTTGATTTGACTTGGAAAGATTACCGCCAACAACAGGATGAGCTTTACTCTAGTCGAGGTGCCATCTCTGTGACGAACTGTGTTCTAAAACCGCCTTCCGGTACAGATCGGTTGAGGTTCGAGATTCATTCGGGTGCCGTCAGCAATGGCCGGACTGGAGAGAAATGGCGGGTATCTTCGGTATTCCTTCCATCCTGATGCTTACGCGACGGCCAGGTACCTGAAGGCAAACCATCCGATCGAGGCTCAGCGCTGGATCTCCGCCATCCAGGCTAGCGTGGCATGGAGCAAGTCCCACGACGGGGAGGAAGGTGCGGACGATGTGCTCGGCACCAAAGCTAGCATCACCAGCGGGGCAAGCGCGCATCATCCGCATGGTCGGACGAGAGTCGTCAGTGCCATGAGACGACACACTGGTTCCACAGCAGCGCCCAGCCTTGACGCTGGCCCAACGCTTAGTCAGCGAGAGAGCGGGGAAGGCTATTCCGATGCGGAGCTCGGGGAAGATCCTTCACCACTGGAGGAGGAGGATGAAGACGAGGAATTTGAGGATTCGTCCGCAAGCGCCTCAATACGCACGCATCGGCTCGCTGTCCCACACGAAGCAACATTCGAACTTCTTGGAAACAGTGTCGTCACGCAATTGGAGCTTTCCTTGGGCCTGTTGCCCGAAGGACCAACCCACGATGCAGTCCGGGACTCACTGGCGACAGTGACCGAATATGTCGGGGTTGCTCGTGAGCGAGATACTTGGTGGCGCAAACACTATGCCAAGGCCAAGGCGAAGCAGAATGCCTGGGAGCAGAGCCTGGACAGTGCCGTCCGGGAGAGTGAAATCCTGGAGAGGGAGCTGAGAGCGAGAAGCCGGAAGCGAGGCAGTCGGTTCTTCGATTCCGGCGAGACTGCAAATGGGACGCTGACGCTCAAGGGGCGGAGGAGAATGAGCATGCTCGTGGCTACCCCACCGGTACAAGAGGTTGCCGCAGAATCGGAACTTCCTGCGGCGATTGTGGTATCGCCCCCCATTGGGGAGGCTCCGCTCCAGTCTCCCGCCCTCATGTCACCTTCCGCGACTTTGTCACCCCCTGTTTCATCCGATCCGAATTACTTCAACGACAATGAATCTGCAATCGACACTGACGACGAGGACGAGTTCTTTGACGCGATCGAGTCGAACCAAATCCCGAACCTGGTCATCAACCAAGCCTTGACGTCACCAACACACTCTGAATTGGCTTTGCCGGCACAGATTAGCGTCCAGTCGTACGCTGGGTATCAGCCCTTGCGGACTAAACTGCATCTACTGCAAGAACGACCGAATGCCAGTCTGTGGAGTGTACTCAAGCATTCGATCGGGAAGGATCTTACCAAGATCAGTTTCCCTGTGTTCTTCAACGAGCCAACGAGTATGCTCCAGAGGATGGCAGAAGATATGGAGTTTTCCGAATGCTGTGAGCGTGACCACTCTTCCGATGCATGCGCGACTGATGAAGATGGCAGTGGATGTTGCTGCAAAAGAGACCGATGCGCACCGACGGATTGCGTTTGTGGCTGCGTTTGCCATGTCCAACTACTCGTCGACCATTGGTCGTATTGCCAAGCCGTTCAATCCTATGCTGGTGTGTGGTGTGGCTGTTCTTCTGAGCAACGCTGACGGTGGATCGTAGAGCGAGACGTTCGAGTATGTCCGGGTGGACAAGGAATATCGATACCTTTCCGAGCAAGTGAGCCATCACCCACCTATTTCTGCCTGTATCGCAGAATCGCCGTATTGGTCGTACTTTGGCGAGGTGTGTGATAAATACGCCTCTGTTCGGACTGGTCTAACTTCTTGTAGGTCGACGCTCAAAACAAATTCATGGGCAAGTCGTTTGAAATTCGGCCCACCGGTATCGCACACGCAGAGCTGCTGCTGCCTCCAGAGGTGGCGCCGTCGTACCCGAAAGCCGGACTGAGTGGACCGTTCCAGAACCGAGTCAAAGAGCACTTCAGCTGGAAGAAGGTCACCACGAATGTGTCTGGATTCATTCTCGGATCACCGACGATTGACCATTACGGGGACATGGTCATCACCAATCACCGGACGAAAGACACATGCATTCTGACCTTCAAACCACGGGGCTGGCGAGGCAAGGATGCCTACGAGATATCGGGCACAGTCCAGGACAAGCATGGGCGGGTGACCTATGAGATTTCGGGCCGCTGGAACTCGCAGCTCATCGCGCGCCAAGTCGGTGTTGGGGGCGGAGGTGCTTTGAACCCCGATTTGGCTGTCTCGGGGCCGAACTCGCCGTCAGCGTCACCCGAATACATCCTGCTGTGGCGCAACTCGGAGAAACCGGAAGGCTCGCCGTTCAATCTGACGCCCTTTGCGATCACTCTGAACGACTGCCCGAAGGACACGCTGAAGCCGTTTGTGTGTCCGACGGATTGCCGGCTGCGGCCTGACCAGCGGGCATTCGAGATGGGCCGGTTCGAGGATGCGAATGGGCTCAAGAACGATCAGGAGGAGAAGCAGCGAGCGACAAGGAAGGCCAGAGAGATTGGCAGACTACCCGCACATCGGCCGCGGTGGTTTTCGGCGGAGACTGACGGCGATACGGGCGAGAGAGTGTGGACGCCAGCTCGGGGAGAAGATGGACAATTGGAGTACTGGGCGGAACGGGAAAGGGTGTGGAAGCTGGGAGGCAACCAGCCATGGAAAGCTGTGGACGATATATTCATAGAGGAACCGGATTACATTCGGAACGCATAGTTTTGGATTACTGCATCTGATAATGGATTTTATCTTATATCGTTGTTAAAATAAGTAGTGTAATCCGTCTGCGTTTCATCCGTTGCATCTCGACGGAATGCCTCGTTGGAGCGCTGTCAAGCGCCAGAGAACGAGGATATCCATGCAACCCGCCAATTTAAGCCGCAGTCATGTCGCCGGGCACTTGCCCCCTAAACACGATCGTTACGTTCGATGGATACGCCTTCCGCCCAGTGGGTTATTTATGCCGCTGTAGCTCTTCCTCTCTTCAATGCGTTGAATTCCGCTCCTGTCATTCGTGGTAGGCCAGAACATGCTCCAGTGGTTTCCTCAGCTGATTCGGGAACAATACCAGTCTAGATACCATATCTTCAACTTCCCACTTCTTCGGCGCCCAAGATGATGCATGGCGGAAGCATCGCGCTGGTCGTGCTTTTGTGTCTGACAGCGTTCTTCCTTTTTTTTGCGGTGATCGCCTACTTGCTCCGGATACGTGCCCGCGCACGGAGAGTCGAGCCCTTGGCTAGCGGCGGAGATGCGGAGTCGGGACGACAACGCCAGTCCAAGGGGTCTGGGGACAAGAGTGAGAGTCTCGCCGGTCGAGTGGGTGCGTTATCTGAGCCTCTGTCCACCGGCTTGGTTCTTAACATATAAGGGAATCTAGACCCCTTCTCGTCCACCGACCACTTTTCGTGGTTCAGGTCCGAAGACAAGATTTCGACGACGACGACGATCCTGCCTTCACCTTCCCCAACGCCATCGGACTCGAGCAGCAACAGCGGCAGCGCCGCATGCACTGTGCAGATCCCGCGGATCGTTGTCGTGACCGACTCTCGGCGGTCTAGTCGCGTTGTACAATTCGGCCGAGCGATCTGAATCGCGCTTTGTAGCATCAGATCCGATCCATGAGGTGCCAGGATGTTCCTCGTTGTATTATTTATATGAACGGGTAATGAATACCTACCTGTTGTGCCAAGAACCAGCCGGTGGTGATGCCGCCGTGAAGTAATGACGTCACCATATCCCGCGCTTTGACCGATGTCGCCGAATGGCATGCCGGCCGCCAGCAGTACTATTATGATGGGGAGTACATTGTAAGTGATACAGCGATGGATGAGCGGGAATCATCGCAGATCAACAATCTCTAGTTGTCCATCAGACAGCAAAACATGCCCGCGGTCAGCGTCCTGGTAGACATCAGATATACGAATGTGGATCCCAAGTAGATCACATACCGTGTATATAGGGACATCCGGATGAGGATGGAACGCTTCCCTGGCTGTGCATGAAAGCACGGTCTCCAATCCGGGCGGATCCGTTAGTCGGAAGATCCCGAAACTGCAGGCCAGTCTCAAATCATAATCTAAAACAATAAGCGTAAACGTACTTGGGCTCGTGTTTCGGTGCGCAGACGACGGCGAAAGATTCGGGCAACATCCGCTGGAAGCTCGCGTGTGTGTGGACGTCGACGGAAGACATGAAACACGATTGTGTCGGGTGGGTGTGGATCTACATTCAGATCCAGATGAGTGGGGGATATGAGAAGCAGGACAATTAGGCATACCCAGCCAAGGGTGATGAGACCTCTCTCCTCAGTGAACATGAGCACCATCTCCTCCTCGTCCATCGTACATGTGTCACTCGTCGCATGCTGTTTCGGAATCAGGAGCGTCTCTATGACGAATCGAGCTCGACCAGTGCTCTCTGCCTCAAGATCAGACAAGACAGCGGAAATAAAAAGGCCAACCAGGCAGACGGACCTCGCACGATTTCTCTTCCCAACAACAGCCCACAGGTCTCCATATTCCGTGACGTGTTGACCGTCGCAATAGCCAGGAAGCGGTCGATTGTCCGCTTCGGCAGAACACACGTCTTGAGTCTGGGCTTCCCTCCAGCTGCCGCCTGCTCCTCTGCTTGCAGTCGTTGCGCCATATCGGCATCAGCACGCTCTCGTTCTCGTTCTCGCTCTTTCCGTTCCCTTTCTCGCTGCTCAGACAGCGCTTGCGCCTGCCTCTGGTCTCGTTCAAACAGGGTGTTGCTGCGCTGCAGTTCTCGTGGGAGCGGAGGGACAGCGGGCGCAGCGAAGGACGTGCTGTAGCTGGCCGGTGCAGCCGTTGATGCGTTGGCAGCGGTTCGAGCCGCATCAAGAGCGACAGAAGAAGCAGGTACATAGCCCTGCTCTTTCTGGTGCACAGTCATGCTTCTCGCCAACGACGGATAGGCAACTTCCACGTGTTTCGACGTACTGCCTGCGGGTGAAGAATCAGTCTTGAGTTGTGAGTTGACTACAGAGAGAAACGCGCCCAGGTCCATGTTTGCCATGCCTGATGCAAGGTCGTTTAAAGCGTTGCGTGGAACCGAGTACCCAGCTCGCCAGCCGCTGCGCATGGACTCCCGGTCGGTCTCGTCTCCATCGCTATCATCCACGCGCAATGGCCGAAGCGGCATCGGCCCAGGAGTGACGAATTGCTTCGCAGGTGATGCGTTGTATGTCGTAGGCAATGTGTTGTATGACGGTCCGGCGACGGGAGACGTCCTGGATGTAGATGCAACGGGTTGTCGGGCGCTGGTTGATGGAACAGGAAACGACACACCAGAGCTACTGGGGTAGCTCATAGGTGGGACGGAATACGTCGGGGAAGCCTGCGTGCGCCCAGCTAAACTCGGCGGCACTGATGCAAGACGCGCTTGGGCCTGCGCGCTGGCGCTGACCATCGGATGCCCATGGCTGCCCATCAGGGAGACAGGAAGCGACGCGCCGGGAGGCGCTTGTTGCTGTGGCGCATAGGGTACACGAGCTGGGGCGCCTGATGCCGATGCTGACGCTGAAAAATAGCCATTGCCTAGAGTGGGCGTTGATGCCGATGCTGCTGCTCTTGCTGCAGCGACAGCAGCCGCAGCCGCACCTGATGCAGTACTGATCGCGGTCGATGGGCCCGCCCAGGACGCCTTCATCTCCTGATCCATCCTCTGCGCTTCCTCCCGTTGTTTCCGCCAAGCAGCTGCTTCGTCCGCCATGGCCCGATTCGTCTGCGACCGATGAGTGGGGGGCTGTGTCCCTTGAACGGGAGCCGTGCGAGATTCCGCCGCCATCCTAGTATCTGCATTCAATTATTTCGAACGACCAGCGGCGATGGGAGAGGACCTACTTTCTAGCTAGGCGGACAGGCACAGCATTGGGGTCCTTGTTCTCGGAGAGGAGGTACTTTTCGTATCGGTCCACCAAGGCTGTTTTGATTCTGGAGAGATTATCCAGCATCGTGTGTCCATTCTGCAGCTCGAAATCAGTATGGGGTACGGGACCAGAAGAAGGGCGGAGGATAGTTAATTAGATACTACGATGGAAACCATCCGTCGGAGGTCGGCGGAGATACGATGAGGCGTGGAGGAGTTGCAAGAACGAATTAACCTACCGTTTCTAGATTCTTCCTCTGCGTCTCTGACAATTCCGACATGTAGTCCTTGTGCTTGGGGATCTTGTCAATGATCGTTGAAATGGCGCGCACGAATTGGATGAAGGCGGCCTCCATATCGGCCCAGAGGTCGTCCGATCCATTCGGGTTGGTAGCTGTCGGTCCCCGGCCTGCGCCGTCCACCAAAGCGAGCGCCTCTCTTCGGTGCTGGTCTGCGCGGCGCAGGTAGTACTTCAACGATGCGTCGCGGGGAGCGGCGATGTCCCGTTCATCATTGGCCTCGGCCGCGAGTTCAGATATGGATGATGGTCGGATGGGAGGCATCGTTTACACAGAAATTTGGGACGTTTGACGCGGAAGTGGCGGTCGAGAGCAAGAAACTGGAGCGGGCGGTAATCAGTGCCGGGCACGTGCAGGCTCAGCTGCGGTACTTCATGTAAGTACCGCCACAGCACTGCCTCGCCATCTAAAAGCATAGCGTCATCGTCAGGACACGCGGACTTGCTTACTGACAGCGCTGAGCTTCGACTTTCGTTCGCGGACGACTGATTATCATGTTGGCGCGCCTCAAATCACTCGTGCTTGGGCCCCCTTTCAACCCGGCAGCCTACGTTGCCGCTCCGAGCGCCAGTATGTCTCTTCTGTCGCGTCGCGCAAACGAGGCGCGCCTTGACTGACAATGATGCGGACGATCAGATTCGCCGAAGACTGAAATAGCCACATTCGCGTCGGGTGCGTGTGCAGTCCCTTTTTTCCTTGGTCCTCTTCATGTCGCCGCAGGCTGCTTCTGGGGAACCGAACACATCTTTTTGAAGCACTTCCCACCCTCCCCCGCCCCCGGCAAAGGCATCCTGCGCACGACAGTCGGATACACAGGCGGGAATCCGCTCGTTAAGAATCCAGACTACAGAACAGTGTGCACAGGCGCCACGGACCACGCGGAAGCAGTGCGGATCGAGTTCGATCCGAGTGTCGTGAGCTACGCTCAGCTTGTTGGTGAGTGTTGATACCCGAGAGATGTGCTGCACGGGAGCTCAAGGACGTCAGAATTTTTCTATCGCTCCCACGACCCCACGACAGTCGACAAGCAGGGCCCAGACGTCGGCACACGTGTGTTCCGCTCTCTGCTGATTGCTGTTGATTCCCGCTGCTTATGACACCCATGCTGCCGCAGAGTACCGATCGGCCATATACACGAACACGTCAGAGCAGCTGGAGATCGCGCAGCAAGTGACGAAGGAGGTGCAAGAGAAACATTTCACTCCCACGGTGCGCCTCACGTCGCATCATTTTCCCGTCTGGTTGTGTACTCAGTCATCTTGGTCTAGAAACGCAAAATCGTGACCGAGATTACGCCCGCAGGAGAGTGGTGGGATGCCGAAACATACCACCAGCTCTATTTGTTCAAGCACACGGGCGGATATCAGTGTCCTACCCACCGGCTGCACTGGTAGCCGGCGCTGCTGGGTTACTGCTCAATCGATGTATGTTGTATCCATAATATGACTGTTGTGATCTCAGTAAAGTCAGTGTTGATCTTGCCTGGTCCCCTCATATATTACTTGTTCTCCAAATTGCACGACGATGTTTCTCAAACGACAGAGTGCGACTAGACGATTTTCCACATGCATGTGAGATAAATCAACTCACGCAGCGCCCTCTATGAAATCAGTCGATGTGCAGCAACGAGACGAATACAAACCGGAACCCGTGCGAACCATCGCGTCTGCGTTAATTTGCAGATCCTTTTTCAAGGCAAGTCTTGAGCATGGCTGCCAGCATTTTCTAAGCAATATATTCATCTCAGATTTTTGCGGGCGTTACGCCCGTGTAGGGTACTTTCATTGGATCCTGCGGTGCGTCGACATGGAATCAACCTGGCGGTCTAAACAGATAGTATAATCGTTAATACAGCCCCCAAAAAAACGTCGCAGTGCTTCCGAGACAGAAATATCGCGTGAATTTGGATTTTGAGTGCGCGTATCACGAAAGTTTTGTCTTCTCGTGGCCACTGTTCGCCAGAAACCCAACACTTGCAGTAGCTTGGATTAATCCTGTAGCCAAATAGACACATAATCCTGCAGCCTAATAGAATCACCTTAAGCTCAGATTAACAGCCTGGCAGGATTATTGTGCAAGATTTTGAAGGTCCTCGGATTATCGAAGATATGAATGTATAAGATTAGGTAATCGTCAACGATCAGGATCAAGGGTGCAGCCGGATTATGCAGAATGCAGGATTATGAACATGTCTACGTCGATGAACAGGATTATGGGTGCAGCCGTATTATGCAGAATGCAGGATTATGAACATGTCTACGTCGATGAACAGGATTATGGGTGCAGCCGGATTATGCAGAACGCAGGATTGAGAACATGTACACGTCGACAAACAGGATTATGAGTGCAGCCGGATTATGCAGAATGCAGGCAGGATTGAGAACATGTACACGTCGACAAACAGGATTATGAGTGCAGCCGGATTATGCAGAATGCAGGCAGGATTATGAACATGTATACATCAACGAACAGGATTATGAGTGCAGCCAGATTATGCAGAACGCAGGATAATGACAGGATTATAAACAGATGGTATTACTGAATGTACAAAATCAGGTATTCGTCGACGAATAGGATTACGGATGACCACCGTCGAGGATGCCCCATGATTGCCTACGTGCCAATGTACCTGGCGTGATTGGCTGTGTTCGTCGTAGCCGCTCTGTCCAGCACCAACTCATAATCTTGGTCTTCCCAGCTCAGGCCATCCGGAAGAGGGCTCCCTATCGGGTAGAAGTACCGCACCCCTCCTCGCAACTCGACCATCCGTCCCTGAACCATTTCGTCCACGACCTTCGGATGCGTTGAGCGTGAGTGACGCGGTGACTTGTCGGAAACAACTGCCGCTTTGGGGGCCGCAGCACGTCGGCGTTTCGTGGGTGTCCTGGGGATAGCTGTATCCAATTTGGTCTTCTTCGAGCGCCCGTTTGCACTAGACTTCTTCGCCTTCCCCTTGCGTTTCTGACCGACCTCAGAGTTGTCGTTGGTCTCTAGTTCCTCCTCGGGGCCCTGGCTCGTGCTTGGTGATGCTGACCCGCCATGCACATGATCCGGCAGGATAGGTCCAAACCCTGCCTGGCTCTCCTTTGCAGGCGACGGAAGTGAGACAGCCGGACCAGACGCAATAGTGGGCGCAGCTGGTGTCGCGACTACATGCTCACCATGCGGATTGAAAGACGGAGACGTAACGCCCGCGACGTAACCCGGTGTGCGATGTGCGTTGCTCCCAGTGAGGTCAGTCGCAGCCGCAAGAGTGAGGTTGCAGTCCATCGATGTTGCTGAAACAGCATGGGGTCCAGAAGGAGGCTCGTTTGGAGGCAAAAGTAGCCCGGACGTCGGCGTAGGTGGGACGGATGACACAGCTGACACAGCGCCGCGCTGAACGTCGAGCAACGAGTTCGATGGCAAGGGTCCTGCGAGACAACCAGACGACTCTCCACCGGCCCCCAGACCCTCGGTGCTTTCCAACGTCAACGGATCCCAATCCTCAGGGAAGCCCATTGGTATATCATCTTGCACCGCTCCGAAGTCCATTCCAAGACCGTGGAACACATCGCTGTTGTCCCTCATACGGTCCGAAACCTGCCCCTGTTCCAGCAAAGGGAATGTGTACTGCCAAGGTGTGTAGTTGCCGGGAGTCGATGCTAGCGCACGATCTGCAAAGAGAGTTGTAGTGGAATGCTGCCCAGGTAGAGGCGAAACAGCTGTGCTCGAGGAAAGAGATGATGTCCCTGCGTCTTGTCTTGCAGTATCATTACTCTCGAGCACCACGGGAGTCTCGGCAAAGCCTGTATCCGCACCCTTGTTGGGAAACAGGAAGGGAGTGACCCCGGCCTGCTCAGAGACAGGGTCGTCCACGAACACATCCTCTTTGGTGATGAACATCGCTTCTTCCCTCTTTGTGTTGGGCCGTTGTAGTTTCTGCTCTGTAAAGTTTATGAGTCAATCAGCCTGAGCCCTAGCAGTATCCACTTACGACCGAGTTGCTCTCTAGACCACACTTTGAACAATAGTGCATCGGCTTCTGTCCCAACAAACATCTTCGCCTCAGTTGGGTAGCGGACCGAAGAGCTTCTGCGCAAGAGTCAATGTCACAGTCGGAAACCAGCCTCAGCGCAGCATACCTGATGTGAGTCACCTTGCCGTCTGGTCGTTCCACCGCAATACGGATGTCCATGACGATGTTTCCGGCCTGGCCGGCAGCAAAGCCACGTTGTTTCCGTGCATAGTGTAGTATCTTGCCCATCAGGGAATTCTGATTACTGCAGAGACCGTCAGTTTCGATAAACTCCCACTGTTGTAACGCACTCAATCAGACTATCAGTACTTGGCTCCTGCTTCTTCTGCGACGTCAGCACTTCAGCTTCTCTGGCGAAATGTGCTTGTTCCTCCTCAGTCAGCTTCTCGTAAAGCTCCGTCCCAGCAGCCTGCCAGTGTTTCAGATGCTGCCCATCTCCATGTTGTACCTCAGCCTCCATCTCGTCCATTCTCTGCCGTTTCAGTTTGGCGATCCCAGCCCGAGCAGCGTCAGATCTGAGAAAGGCATCCTTGGCCGTGACTTTGCGGATCCGCGGAACAGGTCCAGCCGTCGGTGTTCCGTGTGTTGTAGCCGTCGTACCTTCTACCTTAAGCAGCTCGCGTATCTTGTTATTGATTGCCTTGCTTATTGCCTGAGTGTGTGAGCTCGCAACACTTACATGATGGCTTGAGCGCACGACATACCAGTGTGAAGTCGCCCACAACGAAGCCATCAGGTCTGCTGATGCCGAATCGGTCGTTGAGGTCAGCGAAGACTTCCTCAGCAATGAACTCATGCCGTGTGCGCTTGTCGTTTGCACGGTCCGATGCTTCCCATGCCCGGATTTGAGGAATGCTCGTCGTAATCACATGATTCCAAATTCCGTCGACTCTGGCTTTGAGCTGTGGACGCGCAGCCAACAAAGCTGGCCCCTCCGTTCTACTGCGCAGCTTTGACCACAGTCTCGTTGGTTCCGACGCTGAGTCGACAATGGCAGTAGTCTCATGATCACTGGCCATGATTGGCGCGGTGGCAGCCTGCAAGGTGTCGTGGGCCGGCGTGGAATCAAGAGGCGGACTGGACATGGATGGAGAGGTTCGTTCTGCAAGAGGGGGTGAAGTGGTCAGAAAGTCGGAAACAGCGCATGTATTGCAGTATATACGCACCATAAAGGACAAAGCGGTAAAAGGCCTGACTCTCCGCGCTTGGCCATGCTTGATGGCCACATTTGCGCTTGGATCATCTGAACGACACCACCACTGGCGCCAGCCGGAGATGGTCCCATCTTCTATTGTGTCAAAAAACGCCGAGCCGCTGCGCTTTTCACACAGCAGTATTCAGTTGACTACAATGTTTGCGCTGCCAGATACGCACCTTACGCTATGCATTGGTTAGCACCATCGTCGGTTCACCCAGGCCAGGGATCCAGTCGTCGGGGGATTCTATTCTGACACTGAGTCCGAAACGCATACCACGACGAAAAGTCGCCGACGTCGCGTCAAGCAATGATCTCTGGGTGGTCAAACAACAAAATGCTCTAGAATGGTCACGCTATCCAGATCATTCGGCAGGTCCTCGTGAGGATATGCGCCGACGCTAAGTCAGATATCGAGAGCATTGCCGACGTTGCGTCAGGCTTCGTGGAAGGGTGAGCCTCAGAGAAGATTCTGGCAGGAGTAAAGAAGACAGCGACGCTGATGAGATGATCTCGTGATGGGATCACATCCGCATTTGCTTATTCTTCGCTCAATGAATCCTCTGGGCCCTGGCTTTAAAGCTAGAAAGTTCTTGAAAAAGGCATTGTCAAACAGTATCATTTCATATACATTGTCGTAGTTTACTTTCCGAGAACTTGTACGGTGTATGCCTCCCACATATGAGGATGTACGCCCTTCAATCGCACAAAGATTGACCTGTGAGATTGGATGTGGTCAATGGGGATTCCCCAGGTCAACTGCATCCATTCCCGACGCTTCTTGTTGTAAACCTCGAAGATACGAATGCGAAATCCCAAGTCGGTCCCGACCACTCCTTGATCGAGTGAGATTCGGCCGTCAATTGGAGTGCAGGGATAGATTCTTGGGGTAGCACCGTCCTTTGAAGCTTCTGATTAATAAATCGACCACTTGACGCTCAAGAAACACACCTTGTACCAGAAAACAGCATTCACAGGGACAGCCTTCCCTGTGACTCGTGGAGACCTCTTGGCTCTACGCGTAGCAGATCGTGCAGGTGAGCTCGTTTGTTGGTGCTGCACCGTGGACGACGCTGGGTATGCACGCCGTTTTGGAATGGGCCCCGGGATTCTTTCCGCGAGAACGAGATAGCTTTCAATGATGCTCCGCTCGGACGCAGACAGGCGAGACAACGCCTCCTCCGCAGCTTCCGAAATCTGAAGCTGCTAAAACGGAAACACCATCAGCAAGCTTATGATATGTAGCAAGTGACTGACTGACTGAGTAGTTGTGTGGCTCACGAACGGCGGTGCTCGTATTCTTGACACTATCGTGCGACAGCCGATGTTGATCCAAGGCGGCCGCAAGCTTTGAGTATCTGGGAGTCGTGTTCGGTATCATGGTCTCTATCGGCGCAAGGTGTTGGAACCGCACCTTTTGAATCAGCCCACCAGTCCAAGCGCACTTTGGATTGCGACACAAAGGTCAAGTACCAGAGCGGCCGAAAAAAGGACCATGCTTGGACTCGCTTGGACCTACCCGATACGGGGGCCAAAGTATGCGCATTTTTGTGTCATGAACGACAAGATGGCCAGCGACGCTGAGTCAACTCTTGAACTGGCGTGCGGGTGATGCCAAATCTTCCCGGTAGTGGGGCTGCTGTGTTTGGCAGGAGAACGGACTTTTCGAGACAGCCACAAGAATACGTTCCACGTGTCCTTCTGTAACCTCGATGTCCCAGGTAGTCTAGTCTTGCGTCTCAATGGCGTGGCTGTGGGGTGAAATACACGCAACCATCTGCAAGAATTGGAATGTATAATAGCAAAAGGCATGCGAGAGTAAAGTACGATTAGTCCGACAGTTTGTCTCGATCAATGCTGTGGAGAGGCAGCTCCGTGTCATTGGCCAATGTCTGTAATCAATTGAGGGTCAACTTGGATGGCGGTAACAAGAGAGCTAGACCCACTGCTATCCAATTGATGCGCGGCTTCAGACATCGCGGAGCGCTCCGCAAACTCCTGCCAGAATGCAAGGGACGGACATTCCGCCTCATTACGCTGCTTCGACATCAGCACGAGCACGTTGCCAAAGCCACGCATGTCGAAGACCGATAGGCATGTGTCGAAAACATGCTCATGCACGCTGAACATGTCGAAATCTTCCACGACGAAATCAAAAGGGAAGCGATAGTCTCCAAGCTTGATTGCTGCTCTATCCGGAGCCCAGATATTCCCTTGCCAGAAGGAATCCTCACCGTTTCCCACAGAGGGGTATGCTATCACGCGAACTTGACTCCAACCCTGTGGAAACGCTGAGTGGGGAGGCATGAGGATACACACTTCCTTGTCTGGCGCAAAAACAGCTGGGAGCCGTCAGTACGTCAACGAGAGCAAGAGCAGGTCAATGACCTTTGTGGTCCTCGTCCAGGAAATGTACTGTTTCGGATCGTTGGCCAACGTCCAGCACATTATAGAAGCCTGAGTGCTTGTTCAGTTTAGACTGTATCGTAATAACTGAATCATCCTACCGCCGTTACAACTGTCCATCGTTTCCGGATTAGGAGGAAGCTGGTCCGACGACATCAAATCCAGCAGGTATCTGCATGATTTCAGCTGCGTCCCTGGAATATGCTCAGCGCATGGATCGCTGGAAGTTTGCAAACTCTCACCGATGTGTCCTGCCGCCTGCGGAGGAAGAGCAGGAAAGATTCCCTCGCTCAACACACTGATGGCATCTGCCGCAACCTCTAGCGCAGAGGCAAGACACGCCAGTGCCTCGGCACGAGGTCTGAATTCGCGAGCTAGTGAGCGAAGTACTGCCTCTTTCGAGTCCGTACGTTTGAGGGGGTAGTATTGGGTCGCGCATTTCTTCCCATTGATTCCGTCGCAGAAACAAGCCCAGGGCATGACTAGCGCATCGTCGAGATCACCACTGCACAGAGCAAAGAAGTGCGTGTTTCCGGTGTGCCGGCCGTCTGCGTCCAGGCAGACAGTTGTGAATTCGGCAGGATTGGGCGGGCCGTAGATCTCGAGGCACATTGCTTTGGTATCGTCCACAGGTGTACGAAATGTAATCATCCCGTGAATGCACTGGAAAGAAAAGAGTTGTTTTTTTGAGAGCTCACCTGTTCCAGTATGTATATATCTCCCCCAGAGTATGTTGTAGATGCCATCGAGGTGAGACAGAATCGATCCTTTTGTTGTTGTTTTTGTTCCTCTCCGGTGAAGCCCCACATGCCCGCGTTTATTGTCTGATTTATTGTTCGGGGCGTTGCGCGACTCTGAGTCAGCGCAACCATTGCGAGCTGACGCATAGTCAAGCATCGTTGTGGGTTGAGGAGAAAGCGCCGGGAGTGATTGAGTAGCATGTGGCAGTGTTGATCTAACTGACGCATCACTTAGGTCTGTGATCTACTGACGCATCACTCATGCCTGATCCATGCCTCCACACACCGCTGGTGACTTCGCGTCCCTGTGGTATTACGGATGACTTTGCGTCGCCGAACGATCTCTTGGGGCCTTATCAGGTCAATACGAAGTCTCACCTGTATAGCTCACTCGTGCTTCGTCGCCCCGTCCCCGACGCACTGATCACTGCGACTTTGCCTTGCCGCCTCGCCTTTGCCTGCTCTGCCTCGTGAGTCCTGTCGGGTGAATTTGGGACGCGTATGATGCTACTATCTCATACGGATCACGAATTTCCATGCTGCTGTCTACGCGCTTCGACCACGAATCGCAGGACGAAGGGTCAAGAACAAAAGCGAGTCAATAAACATCCAACTGGGCAGTACGTGCTATTGTCTCGGAGATGCTATTTGAAACCGTGGGTCCTCGCCTCCATGCACCCCATTCATCCTTACTCGCGATGCCAGGGAGCTCTGGTTCTGCCTGCTTGCGTCTTTTGGAGCGTGTCGTGCCCAAACCTCTCCAGTTTGAAAGAGAGGAGTGTCGACACTCCTGCAATCGAAAATGGAGCCTGTGCCTCGGTGCTACACAAAACACGCGTCACCGAATTGGCATCTGGACGTACGGGGTGAGTGGTGTCTCTTTCCGGCATGGATTCAAAGGCTGACCAGGAATTCAGTGCTGGTCGGGCAAGGCGGGGTGTCTGCGCTCGATGAGATCGGCTGCACCCTCGCCAGAGATCCAGGCGGACCTTCATTCTCTGCTCGCTCAGTTCAAAGTGATCATGAAAGCAGAGGGCGAGATCAGAGCCCAAGCTGAACTCAAGTCCGATATATTGAGACTGAAGGAGCTTCTCGTGCATGATGGTAACGTTCTATCTCTCCAGATACTTCCACAAAACTGAACCTCGTCTCGCAGAAGACACAGTTGCGCCGACATACGGGAAGCGTAAGGCCCCATCAAGTTTCAGTTCATCGGCCGCTAGTAAGCCGTATGATCACATACTACTTAGTGTTGACGCTCCTGCATAGAATGGAGACTTACGGACACGGCCAAAGATGAGGGCATATCGAGCCCAGAGTCGGATGACCCAAGTGAGCTGACACTGTCGCTATGTCGCCATTTCGCTCCGCTTAGCTGCCGAGCTCTCACAGATCAGTACGATGCGAAGACATATCATCTTGGTTTAGCTCAAAGTAGGTGTATACGGCTTAATTTTTTCATCTTTTGCTCAGACACCGAATCTAGCTATGCACGTCACATTGGTTCTCTATGTCTGTAATGGCTTGCCGACCGTATTGCATGCAAAATTGAACTATCCAACGCGACTTGATCTGTCGAAGCTCAACTTCATTGGCGATTTTGAGAAGACAAGAATCGACGGGCGTCCGTTTTCTGACTTCGAGTGGTTCTGCCCGCTGCACAAACAGTTTTTGCCGGATGCATTCACTACGCAGATCAACATGCAAACTCGTGGAAATGTTCTCATTTGCCGCAAAGCGAGCCTTACCGAAGCCGAATGCAAAGATCTGTCGTCCTGGATGGATCAAGTTTACTCATCGGTCCTGTCTCTAGCTAAAGGTGTGTCCGTGGCTGCTATTGCGTGTGTTTCTGATCGGTCTTGTTGTAGTTCTAGAGTCCACAGCAACCGCTGGCGAGGGAACTAGTACTATCCAAGCACGAACGCGAGCATCTTCCCCCGTCGCCGGACCCTCAAGTCGCATCGGGCATAGCAACTCCCTGCGCTCCAGTTCCCCTGACCCAGTTTATTCGAGTCGCCAGTCGAAGCGGCCGGTTGGCGCGAGGCAGCGGCGCGATCCCGAAGTCACCAACTACGAGGAGGCAGGACGCGATTCTGCAGGAGAAGAGGCCTCTTGGGACATCATCATTATCAGTGACAACTCGGACATTGAGATCATTGAGATTTCGGACTAATGACATACACGAACTGGACTTTGTATCTTGACCGATCAATTTAAATTGGTAGTATCTACTCTTGCATCCTTCAACACAAATACATATGCATTCAGCGCCAGTTGACCAGCGATGTGTTCGCTATCTAATTCTCGCGCTTTTAGTAAACTTTTAGTCGAGAGATCATGATAGCACATGATCTGATGTGGGGCTGTGCCTATCACGCTCCGACTTTGCTTTCCTTCCACTCGCACAGACTCAGCGTCGTGCAATTGGGCTGCAGACTAAGCGTCGCAGCTGTCGCTTTCTCTTTCCGAACGACGGCGAAAAACACGATTGGAGGCTAGCAACCAGGCAACCCTGTGGGTTACCTTCCAAGAATGCCCTAAACAGCGCTGAGCGATCTCTTAGATTCATCGACCGACCGACCACGCACAGACTCAGCGTCGTGTGATTCGGCTGCAGACTCAGCGTCGCAGCCGCTGTACTTCATGTCGGGACCTTCTGTGAACGAGCGCTTCCTGGTCAACCGCAATACAAAAGGTGCGGCCGGTGCTGTGCTTAGCGAGACAATTTGCTGATATACCCGCTCCAGCCGCACTAGGACCTTTCGACGGACGGAACGCGGCTGTCTTCTGCTTCCAAGGGGATGAATTTCTTGTCACTACCCTGGCACACTATGTGCCTGCATTCCCGTCCGCACTCCGTCACCAGTTGTACCTCCGAGAAGACTACGGTTACGGCGAGGACGACTTCACGCGTTGGCCTCAGCAGTACAGTGCTCAGTACTGTCATTTGGCTGCTATACGCAGCCCCGACCCTGCCTCTGACGAATTTGGCATCGCGTGGTGGAAGATGACCCCTGACGCTTTTGTCACCAAGTCAGGGGATTCGACTCTTACACCTGGCCTGGGTCTCTTGCGCAGCGACAAATGGGAGGCCCTCAAGTTGCTAGTGGGATCGCTTTCCCACCGAGGCTCAACCATGCAAGCCCGACAAGGAGGTGCTGCTCCTCGCATCCTCGCTGCACTTCTCGCTGCAATTCAATCGGGCCTTGAGCGACTGCGGTCTATCCCTACCAATCTGGCTCAGCTTACACTATCGATCGCACGGCTTCAGTTCGCTGTCCTGGAAACGGATGCGATCATACAGTACATGAACGTCTATCACCCTCGTATGCTCAAACCGGCAGCGCAGCCGACTTGCCTGGCACCGTGCATTGGCGCGTATACGTCGGATCCCTCGGTGGCTCAACAGTTTCATGCTGCCGGCCTTCCCTGTTGGTACATCCGTCCGAGCGGAGCTTTTGTACGAGAGAACATCTGGGAACTGGTGGAGCAAGTCGATCCTTCTCAGCATCTTGTGCTCCAACCACATCCTCGGTTCACTGAACGATTCGAGACCTCGAACAACACGGAGAGGAAGATCAGTTTTATCCACCAGTCAACAATGATCAAGTCGTGCTATCGAGATCCATTTGATGACGGGGACAGTGCCAGAGGCGACAGCTCTACCTCGGCTAGCACTGTGTCAGGTAGTAGACCGGATGTCGTCAATGCACCTTCACGAGCTGATCGACGCTGGAATCCATGTATGTTGTCTCACATCACAGTGCGCACGTACGCTGACCAGTATCAGACAAACAGCCTGCTGCCCGTCCATCGCCGAAAGAATCAGCAGGGCGGAACAAGTTCGAGCCCCTTCGAGACCGCCCAGGAATGCCGGACGAGATATACACTTGGGTCAATGCGCTCAAGTCCGTGGATCGCTCCAACCACCCTCGATACAATCCTGGCCCGAGAGACTCGTACTACCTCTTGCCTGAGCCGGCTCTGCTTCTGTCTCCGGACAGGGAGGAGAGTCGACTGCAGCGCATCTTTCACTTCATGTTACTACGAGACGCACTTGAGCATCGATTCCACCATGTGGAAGACGCCAAGGATCTTCTGCTCTCGTCACAAGAGTGGAGAGAGGTGTTGGCCGGAAAAGTAGTCAAGACTGGCCGTCGTGAAACCAAATCTCGTCAGAGAACAGCCGCCATAGAAAAGGTCTTGGCGCCAGCGTTGGCAGCCTGTGGCATTGACGGTCGCTCACTCCCGGTTCCATTGGCGGAAGTCCCTCCCTGTTCCAAGTATCGCATGCGGGAGATCATCTGGCAGCTGGGACAAGCACAGTTCCGTTTTGAGCTCATGGCCCTCGACCGCAGGGCCAGCGGATTGTCTCGTGAAGCTCAGTGCATGTCTTGTTTTCCAAGCGGGGCTTTGATCGCCATTGAGCTGAAGGAGAGCAAGATGGGGATGTGCTCGACCATGCTTCGCGATCGACTGCCCTATCTGCGGTCGTTGTTGAACCTGATGCACGATTGGCGGGGTCTGGATCAAAAAAACCTCGAGCGGTACAGGGGGGCCTACACACAGGACGAATGTCCATTTGGAAATATCTGTCATAGTTCGACTACTTTTTCATCTTATCATCGATGATCTCATCTTATCTTGGCACGACTTATCTTATCACGGATCACGGCATCAGACGGTCCGGGCTAGGGGTTCCAGGGGTTATCTCTATTGATTCGAGGCTGCGCGACATATGTTCCGGAAGGTTCTACTACAACCCATGACCAGTGCTCCATGCGGTACATAGCCTTATGACTCATTAGTTGTAGATATGACTCAGACTGGACTTGGGTATAAATACTGTAGCTACTTGGTTGTATTCCCCAGTCTTCGAATTCACTTCTCTTTTCGACTTTGTTTTTGGGTTGATTGTCACATAATTCGAAGACTCCCCTCATACCCTCCTACCTCATACCTCTTACCCTGCATCCCGCACCGCTACGCCCGCTATATCCTCTTAAAACCTTATCACCCCACTCACCCTTTTACCGAATCATCTAGTCGTCCTCCACTATCGCAGTGAAGGGTTCATATCAAGCAAACAGCACCAGGCCACGGGTAACGTTGAGCCCGACCCAAGCCTTACGGTAGCTACAAGGAGTGCTGCGGAGACCTTCGGGAAAACGCACCTCGGGATCATCGGGCACGTGAAGAGTTAGGCCCGGGATCTTTTTGCTAGCAAAAGAACCCTCCCTCGAGTGCTTGTACAGCACACGATTCCACCATTTCGTACCGATTCCCATTGTCGTCTGGGAGTCCGTCCCCTCCCCCCATCATACCATCGTCGCCCGATCTGGCGCATCAAAACCAACCCGGGCCCTCCAACCCCTACCTCGCCCTCCCACCGCCTGAAGACGAGATCCCCGACCTCGACGAACTGCCCTCCGAACAACCACCCTCGCCCCCACCTCACACGTCTGCCCCTACCATGTCAGGGCATCACCGCATCACCCTCGCCGCCAATCCCCCCTACTTCGATGGCGACAAGTCCAAATACCTGGGCTTTGTGGACGCGTGCACCACTTACATCGGTGCCTATCGATCGGAGTTCTCGCAGGATGAGACCAAAATCCTCTTTGTCCTCTCCTACCTCCGTAACGAGAACGGCACAAGCTGCGCTGCCTCGAGATGGGCAATGAACTGGAAGCAGCACAACTTCGAGGGCTTCCAGGGACTAAAGGCAGGAGTCACATCAAAGAACTTCCTGGAGGAGTTTCAGAGGGCGTTCGGGGACTCCAATGCGGAACAAGTCGCCGCTGCTCGGCTTATGGCCCTGCGCCAAAACAAACGGTCCTTCGCGGACTACATCTCCGACTTTGAGATGTTGGCCGCAGATGCAGGCTACAATGTGGTCGACACCACCGACGACAAAGGCGAATACAAGAAGGGGGACCAGGATAATATCCTCATCGAGTTCCTGGAGCGCGGACTCAGCAGCGAGATTGCCAGCCGTCTCTACAACACCGGTGTCCCTCTGCCCAAGGCCTATGGAGCGTTCAAAGCCTGGTGCATCAACATCGAAGCCAATGCTCTGCGTGACCAGCTGCGCAAAGCGTCGTATGGGCACCCCACACAACGACCACCTCCCCAGTTCCGTCCCCAAGCGGCACCAGTGGCGCCCGCACCCGCTCCGGCCCGACCCGCTGCCAACGAACCGGTTCCGATGGAAATCGATCGTACCCACGCCCGCGGCCGCAATATCATCTGCTACAACTGTCAGCAGCCGGGGCACATCGCGCGGAACTGCCCGGAACCAAGAAAGAAGCGCACATTCTTCAATCGGGCCACGATGCTTGAAGAGATCGAGAACGGGGACAAGGACAACGAGTTCCTCAAGGAGATTGCCGAGAAGCTGCGCGAGAAGGGTTTTTGAAACGCTCCACTCCTCTAGCCAAGGAGGTGGAGCGTCCGGACTATGGACGTTTTTCTGTACTTGTTTCAATTAAAGACATGAACGATTCTACACATATATATACAATCTCGGACTCACTACGTACGAATATTCACGATTTTCTCATTGCTGATATGGAAAAAGAACGCCAAAGAAAAATAGCTTTAAATAGGGAGTATTTACAAAGTAAAAAGGATCAGAAAGCTGCAGATAAATTAATTTTGGATTCATACATATTTATGGCTCGTGGAGAAGGAACCACGTCAACAAAGACCGAAAAGGGGAGCATCGCTCCGGAGGCTCAATCCTTGAAAAAGGAGGAAGCGCCTAAGGAATCTGCCGAAATCAAGGTTCCAGAAGCACCTAAACACACCAGGGTGCCAGATGCCGTCCAGAGGAAATTGGCGGCCGAGAAACAGAAGGGCCCGCAGCCCGGCAGACTGGCGCAGGAATTGCGCGACTACCAGGCCGAAAGGAAGAGACATTCGATGGACGTATATGTCCAGATCACGGGTCTGGACTCAGGAAAAACGCGCGGAGTCAAGGCGTTGCTCGATAGCGGCTGCAGTACCTGTTGCATCGATACCGACTACGCACGGGCGGAGAAGTTGGATATTCAAGAGCTTCCACAACCCATTGTGGCTCGTAACGCCGACAACACCGAGAACATCAGCGGTCGGATCACGCACTACGTCGATCTGAGGATGAGAATCGGTCCTCATGTGGAGACACGCACGTTCCTTCTGACGTGCTTGGGGAAAGCCCGGATCTTCATCGGTCTCGATTGGCTGATGGAACACAACCCCGAAGTGGATTGGCAGGAGCAGACCATGAGGTTCAGCCGGTGCCCAGAGCGGGGTCACATGAGGGGTCACGAGGAACATCAAGCGATGATTGACATGGACGCAATTGACCTGAACATGGGCACACCGGATCTGGAAGAGGGAGAATCGATCTTGTTGGTCGATTTTGGGAAGGAAGTAGACCTGCGGCTGAAGGAAACGCCGGCACAGAAATTCGCAGAAGAAGCGGAGAAAGAGAAGGAGAGGATGACCGAGGGGAGGATTCCAGATCAATATCGGGAATTTGTCAAAGTATTCGCCAAGGAATCGTTTGACTCGCTACCAGACCGACGGGCATGGGATCACGCAATTGAGCTCAAACCTGGTTCCAAGGCAGTGGACTGCAAGGTGTACCCGTTATCACGCAATGAACAAGTCAAACTCGACGAATTCCTACAAGAGAACTTGGCCAGTGGACGGATCAGGCCATCAAAATCACCGATGGCATCAGCATTCTTCTTTGTCAAGAAGAAGGATGGCTCCCTACGCCCCGTCCAAGACTATCGGAAGCTGAATGAGATGACGATTCGGAATCGATACCCGCTGCCGCTAATATCCGAACTAGTCCATAATCTATGTGGCGCCAAGTTCTTCACAAAACTTGACATCCGGTGGGGATATAACAATGTACGGATCAAAGAGGGTGATGAGTGGAAGGCTGCATTCCGCACGAACCGAGGGCTGTATGAGCCCTTGGTCATGTTCTTTGGTCTCACAAATTCCCCGGCAACGTTCCAAAACATGATGAACGACATACTCCGAGAGTTGATCAACGAGGGTCACGTGGTAGTCTATCTGGACGATATACTGATCTTCACAGAAAACTTGAACGAACATCGGCGGATCACGAAACGAGTGCTCGAATTGCTCCAAAAACACAAGCTATACCTGAAGCCCGAAAAGTGCGAGTTCGAACGCACGGAAATCGAATATTTGGGTGTAATTATTGGACACAATTCGATGCGGATGGACCCAGTCAAGATCAAGGGCGTGATGGAATGGCCCGAACCAAAGAGCGTCAAACAAGTCCAAGCGTTTCTAGGGTTCACAAACTTCTATCGGCGCTTCGTCCGGGGATACGCGGAGGTTGCCAAGCCATTGACACGGCTGACAGGAAAGGCAGGATGGTCATGGGGTGCAGATGAGCATGCGGCATTTGATGGATTGAAGAAGAGAATCGCGGAAGATGCGGTCCTAGCACTGCCAAATGACACTGGCCAATATCGTCTGGAAGCCGATGCTTCGGAAGGGGCAACGGGATCAGTTTTGAGCCAAAACCAAGACGGCATTTGGCGCCCAATCGCATTTATTTCGCACGCACTGACCGAAACCGAGCGAAATTACGAGATCTACGACAAGGAAATGCTCGCAATCATGTTATCACTTGACGAATGGAGGCAGTTACTCCTGGGAGCCACGGAGACGTTCGAGATCTTCACCGACCATCAGAATCTCGAGTACTTCCGGAAGCCGCAGAAGCTCAATCGACGGCAAGCACGATGGATCACGGAGTTGGCGGAGTTCGATTTCACCTTACGACACCGGCCCGGCGCACTCAACCGCAAAGCGGATCTCTTATCTCGACGAGCAGATCACGATCAGGGCAAGAACGACAACAAGGACGTCACGCTACTAAAGCCCGAGTTTTTCCGATCACAAGAAGTCACATTTGAGGGACAGGATCAGCAGCTAATCGATGAAATCAAGGCCATTCGATCAGTTGATGGAAGCGTCAAGGCGGCCTTGGAGAAGTCACTCGTCGGATGGAAGAAGGAAGATGGGCTCATCACGTATCATGGGAAGCTCTATGTACCAAGGGACGAGGAGTTGCGGGACAAGATCATCGGACTACACCACGACACCCCTTTGGTCGGACACGCTGGGACCAACCGAACGCAGGAGATGGTGGAAAGGAACTACTGGTGGCCAAGGATGGGGAACCAAATTCGGAAATACATCCAGACGTGCGAAGCGTGCCAGCGGACCAAGACCAGAAGAGCCAGGACAGGGAGTTTGCACCCGCATGCAGTTCCAAACGCGCCGTGGGAAATCATCTCCATGGATCAGATCGGACCCTTGCCGGTCAGTAACGGGTATGACGCAATTCATGTGTGGTGTGACACCTTCACCAAAATGATCCATGTCGAACCAATCAGTACTGACATCAGCAGCGAAGGAGTGGCACGATTAACCAGGGACCGAGTCTTCCGCTACCACGGGATCCCTCGCAAGATCATCACCGACAGGGATTCGCGTTACATCAAGGGCTTCATGAGGGAGACGAATCGGATGTTGGGCGTGGAAATGAACCCGGGGACCGCATATCACCCGATCACGGATGGGCAGACAGAACGCATGAATCAGGAGATCGAGCATTATCTCCGCATCTACGTCAATTACCATCAAACGGACTGGTCGGAGTGGCTGGGAATGGCGGAGTTCGCATATAACGACAAGATGAACACGTCCACCAAAGTATCGCCATTCTATGCGAATCACGGATATCACCCGTGGAAGGGAGTGGAGCAACGGATGGAGTCGAGAAACGAGTCGGCGGAGGAATTTGTGAAAAGAATCAAAGAAATACAAGACGAAGCAAAAGCAGCACTAGAAAAAGCAAAAGAAAAAATGAAAAAATACTACGATAAACAAAGAAAAGAAGTTCCGGAGTTGAAGGTTGGGATGAAGGTGTACATAGAAGGGGAGAATATCGAGACGGATCGACCATCAAAGAAGATGAGCGACAAGAGATTGGGGCCATACGAGATACTGGAGAAGGTTGGAGCGGCTGCATGGAAGCTGAATTTGCCGGACACGGACCGAAGACACCCTGTGTTCAACGAGTCACTGTTGACACCCTATCACGAACCACCCCCCCATCGCCGAGAGAAGAGACCCGTGGCCAAGATGATCGGAGGAGCAGAGGAGTGGGAAGTCGAGGAAATCGTGAAAGAGCGAAAAGTCGGCCGAGGAAAACAGTACTTGGTCAAATGGAAGGGATGGCCGCACAGCGAGAACACCTGGGAACCATCACGTCACCTTAACCACGCGAAGAAGGTCCTGAGAGATTGGCAGAGGAAACAATCCAACCCAGACACACGCATTCGCCTCCTACCAACTCTCGAAGCCGGACATTGGGACTATCTCATCCATCGCTACAAACCCAAAGACGAGCGCCTTCCATATCCCCAGCGACAACTCTTCGATCCCTACGAGAACGTCTTCACGCCCATTGGCCTAGTCGATGAGGACATCGACCCTAGAAAGGGGGTAATGTCATAGTTCGACTACTTTTTCATCTTATCATCGATGATCTCATCTTATCTTGGCACGACTTATCTTATCACGGATCACGGCATCAGACGGTCCGGGCTAGGGGTTCCAGGGGTTATCTCTATCGATTCGAGGCTGCGCGACATATGTTCCGGAAGGTTCTACTACAACCCATGACCAGTGCTCCATGCGGTACATAGCCTTATGACTCATTAGTTGTAGATATGACTCAGACTGGACTTGGGTATAAATACTGTAGCTACTTGGTTGTATTCCCCAGTCTTCGAATTCACTTCTCTTTTCGACTTTGTTTTTGGGTTGATTGTCACAATATCCAGTCGCTGGAGAAGTTTGTGTCCCGTATCTATTGCCAACAGTTCTACGAATACTTTGGACGCGCTGCTGTTATCCCGACTCGACTGGAACATGATATTGCCACTATGTAATCTGCTATCCTATCGTCCTTGCTTTGAAACGCTCCTGCCTCCTCGCGATGTCGCCCCACTTGTCTTACCTATCGTGTACAATATTGAAAACGCATCATCGTATCAGTCTCATTTCGATATAATCGCTACCTACTGTACATACTTACAATTCATCGTTGGACTACGTACACAAACCCCAGTTTGGGGGTTAATGGCATCAAAGTGTGCTTGGATCTCGCGCTTGTGTCTCACCACCATCACCATCTTACCTCTCCCACTTGTGGTTCCAAGACTTCCACATCCTGGGCTTGACTGAGCGTCAGCCCCTCTTGTCTCTGATTTTGCATCGGGGCTCACTGACTGTATTCACGCGCGCTCACAGCATTTTGTGACGCGAGCCAGGCTCTAAGCTTGCTTGTGTCTCACCACCACCACCACGTGTAAGTCCTGGCCCTGTCATCTGGACACTTGTCCGCCTGGGTCTGACTGAGCGTCAGCCCTTCACGTCTTTGATTTCGCGTCAAGGATCAACGACTGTATCTACACGCAAGCGTACAAGGGCAAGTGGTACAAATCTTCCCGCCGGGCCTGTCCGGTACGTTCATCAGGAGTGTGTTTGCCAATCTGACTCAGATATGGTAGAACATGGATCTGCGTGAAGACGAGGGCGATACGATCACCAGGGGGCCGCGAAAGAGAGTCAGCCGAAAGCGGGGCATTGCGATTGTTGACGATGATGAGACGCTGAATGGAAGCCCGATGTCTGGCTTCTCGAATCCTGGGCCAACAGGGATGGCTCCAGTGACCGACACGCGCAAACGAACTCGCAGAGACGCGCTGGTCCATATGATCGAGGACGATGTGCCTTTGTCGGTGCCACTTGACCGCCAACTCGCATCTAGCACCCACGAATGTATGCAGTCGCCTTGGTCTGGCTACATGGAAGACGAAGAGATGTCAAACCCAATCATTGCGGATGCTAGTTTGGAATCAACCCCGCCACGCAACTATGGTCCAAAAACTCCGCTTGTACGATTTCAGGTAAAGTACTGCGTGAATGCTTCAGTGCAGACTAAGCATGTCTCTTAGGGTGCATCGGTGGCTATTAATCAAGTGCGGCCTCATTTCGATACCATGCAACAGCACATCCTGGACAGTTTCTGCGCGCGGGATTTGGGGACTCGCTGTCGGTGCGGGAAGGCTGAGGCTGGCGACACGTGTGTTCGTTGTCGTGACTGCTTCAAGGCGCCACTGCTATGCGACTCATGCTTGGTTTCGTCCCATGTCAACAATCCCTTTCACGTTGTAGAGCGCTGGACGGGGACTCATTTCGAACGCACCTCCTTGCAGGATTGCGGCATGGTGATATTCCTGTGCCTCAACAGTGCGGGCGAACGGTGTCCACAAGTTACCGAGAGATCTGCCCGACGCACCAACACGGTTGTTGTGGGAGACATCACCGGTTTCCAAACCATCACGATGGAGTTCTGCAGCTGCGTTGCTGCAGGTAGCAGTGTAGTGAGCAACGACTGGCAGCAGCTGATGGCCCTGCGTCTGTATCCCGCTACACGAACCTCGATCAAGACCGTCTTTACGTGGCGAGTCCTCAAGCAATTCCATATCCACTCTTTGACCTCGAAAAAATCGGCATATGACTACGTCGGTGCTCTACGAAAGCTAACAGATAATGTCTCGCCTTCCACTGTGCCGGTCAGTGACGACTCTGACAGTAGATGCAAAGTGACTGACCTGTAACGATCCACAGGACCGCTATCGTGAATTCAAGCTTGCTCATCGGATATGGCGCTTTCTGGCGCTGAAGAGACGAACTGGACAGGTGCATGGCTTCGACAAGTATGTAACCAATCGTCGGAAGGAGTCTCTGGCGGTCAGGTGCCCAGCTTGCCCCGAAGTAGGCTTCAATATGACTCATGAAGCGATGGTGGCAGCCTCCCCAAGTGAAAGGTATGTGAGTGCATGCTACCTAATGACAACAATTGACGGAGGCAGGCACAAGTATACGCTGTACCTATCTGTTGACGGGAACTTCAAGTTGCAGCGTAAAAACAAACGGGATGACCCTAATGATGTGGCTCTCAATGACGGGAACGGCTACTTCGTGCACACGGCAACTTACAATGAGTATGTAAAGCAAGTGCGGCCTGTCGATGAGGTAAGTGTATCATTCTTCAAATGAGATCTGATTCAATGGTGCCCTACACAGACAAGCACTTGTTCTCATTTGCGTGCAGCCCGGATGCAGAACATCGCCAAATTCAAGAACGCGGTTATCAGTGGCGTAGTCGGTGTTCAGTGTGCTCGCCATGGCTTCTACATGCCTCAAGGAATGGTTGATTTGAAGAAAGGCGAAGCGTAAGCTCTGGTCAGGGAGGGATCACACTGGTTACTGAACTGCGTTTTAGATTCAGTCTTACAGATTATGCTCTCGTGTTCGCCCTTGCAGAGGCGTGGACTTTACGCTGGGTCCTAGTAACGTATGATATCTGGTGCCAGTACCACGTCAATCTTTGAAAGCGAATTGAGCATTGGTTTCCTTCAATGGCCTGGCTGTTCACGCTGGTAGTCTTGTCCGGAGCCATTGGCAAAATGCACATCCTCAACCACCAGGCTGAGTGTCAGATCCGGTGGAACCTTAACTGGCTGACATTTGTTTCATTTACAGTCGGAGAGATGATTGAAGCAGGCTGGGCTGAGCATAATCTAGCTGCGGGAAGCTCGAAGGAGGAGAACGATGGGAATCGTCATGACTCTATTGACGACATCAGTGGTTCGTGGAATTGGGACAAAACAGTAAGAATGGGTAAGCAGGACACTTCTTCAGAATCAGTTCTCATGGTAGCCTGTAGCGTCGGCACTTCAACATCTTAGTCGGGTCTGTCATTCCGAGAAGCGTATTCGATCAGATCACTTCGAAGAACTAAACAAGACAACGCCTGCAAAAAAGGTCTGTGAATGGGAGGCGATGGACGTTCAGCCACGTATGGTGGAAGGGAAACTAGTCAGTGTTTTCCAGACCAATTTCAACAAGGGTATGTGAACACTGGGTATCCGGTCCGAGGGGCTTATGGATTGTTCAGGCCCACCCACGCATGCCGATGCCTACGCCAGACTCCTTGCTATCGAGGGAAAGAAGTCTTCCGACCTGGCAGCACTGCCTGCAAGTGATCTGGCCCTGGTGACAAGTGCTTTGCTGCTGGAACGTGATCAGTGAGTGCATATCAGATCACCAGAACGGCGCTAATCTTTTGACTTGCAAAGACATCATGTACGTCGCATGATCGCCACAAAGGCAGAAGAAGCGTTGGTTGATGCTGGGCGCCTCCGTGTCTTCAAGTCCTTGTTGGACTTCCGGGCTCAATATGTGGCCCGAATTCCGGTGTTGGCCTCGCACATGAGGGATGCGGATGCAGAGAAGCCTGAGCTGGAATCCTTGTTCCTGCCATCATGCTTCAGCCTCCCTGCACGCACAGACATGCAGATGATGGCGTTGGCAAATATCGAGTACAACTTGCGTGAGGGCCAGGCATTCGATGCCTTGGCGGAAGTCAGAACGGCAATCCAAACACTCAATTACAATATTCAGCTAAAGAAGACACAGATTCATGGCATTGGGGCAAATACAAAGACGCAAAACTATCTCAGAACCCTGAGCAACAATATCCAGATTGGGGCGGACAAGTATCGCCGGAGTCGAAAAGCCCTCATCGAACTGGGTCTTCCTGTGGATGATGGGTCGCTGCGACCTCTGGAGAAAGAACATCTGGTTGGCAAGAGCAGGAGGCAGGTCAGGATTGGAGACGCCAAGACGCATGAGTCGTGGATTTGGACAACCGGTCGAGGGGCAAATATGGATGAGAGCGATGTGAAGGAATGGGAAGCAGAGCGTAAGTCATTTGCTGAGCTGCTGAAGGAGTGCTTACGCGATTGTTCAGTCCAGCGAGTGCAATGGTTCCAGGCGCGGGCGCTGCGTGACAGGGCCGTTGAGGAGGGAGAGACTCTGCACGAAGAGTGGAATCGCACCATTGCCGCTTTCGAGAACTATGCTGCTATTTGGGTCAGTCTTGCTCAAGAGCAGACCCGTCCGGGAGGGAAGGCCTATGGTTACAAACAAGCTGCAATGTACACGAAGCTGGCAGATGGGTGTAGGGAGGCTCGAGCAGCATTAGAGGGTCTATACAATGCTGATTTCAGAAGAGAGGAGGAGGAGAGAGTTCAGCACTGCGCACAGATAGAGAAGAAGCGACAGTCCCGGGGTGATGGATTTGACAAATACGAGGTGAGTTTTGTAGGTATCAAGCCGCGTCGCTGACACATGCAGTCCAGGCATACTACGAGACAATCAAAATCTTGCTGGTGTGATGGATCACAATCCCGTGTTCTGAGCTGCCGAGGGCGGATAATCCCAGTTGTGGTCACGGGGCTCGTAATCCTCGAGTAGTCGACCGATAATTGATCATTCGACTGTTGTCTATGTTATAATCCTATTGTAATCCATGTCATAATCCCACAGGCTATTTGTCTGGGCTTAAGGTGAATCTATTAGGCTACAGGATTATGAATCTATTAGGCTACGGGATTAATCCGCATCACTGATATGACTGAGAAACCTCGGAAGTGTGACAGATCGACAGTCGACTAAAACTCGACGAGGTCGTATTCCGCTTCAAGGCACTCCGATCTCGTCACTCGACTTCTGACCGACGGCTCTCTATCTCAGAGCTCAATCGTTTGGATCTGGATGCCTTCTTATGCTCAAATCCAAGCGCGGACGCCATCGGGTCAGTGGCGAGGTTCAAGTGTGCACAAGACCGCTCCAAGGTCGATCATCCCCCGAACCAGCCCTCTCTATGTGTTCGAGTCGAGAAAGTCCGGAAAATCTATATGGATATCTTCAGCACTTTCAGGCTGTGTCATGCAACGTTGCAACAGATATGTTGGGTAATTCAAGAAATATCATTCTCCAACCATGGGACAGATTCAGACGGATCTTGGCAAGGCCTGTCAAAGCGTCTGACAGGTTTGACAGCCCAGATCAACTTCCTGATGCCGCATCAGGATACCTGCCAGGCTCCTCATGCTCGCCTTCTTCCTCCTTCCGCTACCTTTCCTCCATCTCGTCGAAGCCTTCTTGAACGTAACTGTCGATGACACCGACTCCTCCATCGGCTATATCGGCACATGGGAACCGTCATCCTCCCATCAGTCGCCTCTCGACTTTGGAGGCAGTCACACGTTCAGCAGCGACGATTCGGGAAAAGCAGTCTTCACATTTACCGGTAGGTGGAATCCATGGTGCATCTACCGCGTCTGACGCGATTTCTTATGGTTAAGGGGTAGCAGTGTACTATCTAGCCCCACGGTGGCCGTATGCTGTGAGCACGCGTCTGAGTCTTGACAATGGGATCGCGACATTAGTCAACTTAACGGACCCGGATGCCTCAACCACGCCTCCTGGAGGCTCAGAGTCGACATTCTCATCCGTAGCATGGTCTGCATTCAATCTGTCGAACTCCACACACTCTGTGGTGGCCACTGTGGGGATAGAGGGATTCATCATCGTGGATGGTTTCATGCAAGTGCAACCCATTGACGGTTTCGAGGGGAGGTGCTTAGTCTGGATAGATTCACCGTCGATAATGGATCGATACCAACCTCGTCGTCCGCGTCGTCCAGCTCTGCGACCCCATCCTCCATCGCGTCCCAATCATCATCTTCCGTCACCTCCGCTACTCCTACCGCGTCTCAGACATCTCCAGTCTCGATAAAGAGCAACCTGAACGTCGGTCTCGGTGTCGCATTCGGCGTCTTCGTCTTCATTGGCGCCTTCCTGCTTTGCTTGATACTCTATCAAAGGCGGCGAGAGAAACGCGCAAGATCTGCGCGGCCCAAGCCACTGATCGACGATTGGGGTCCGATGTTTGATAGCGAGTACTCACGTGGATCCTATGCTGCAGTACCCCTGGGGCACGCTTACGAGGCGTCGGGTCGTTTGCTACCGGTTGTGGATCCTTGGGAGCCGGATGAACATCACCGGAAGTCTTTGGGTAGCATTAGTGGCCCATCGAGCCCACCGGCACGGTCGCGGTCGAACATTCCCGCCTTGTCCAGAATCCTGCCCCCAGGCGCCATGGATCCAGCCGTCCCAGGACCCTACATTGACCGGCCGCCACCTACTCCAACCTATCTTTTCGACTCCGATCCTGTGCACGGAGAGTTATCTCGATCGGGGACAGTGGGAATGAGCTTGAGGTCTTCTGAGGGAGTTTCGGGCTCCGACATCTTGTTCACACGGCGCGTGCACGACGGAGATGACGCGAAGCCGCCCGCATACTCCGTGAAATAGCTTCTTGGATCATTTTGTGTAGGATGCACCATGAAAACAGATGTCATTCCAACTGATTGGGCAACCACGGGGATGGCAACATTCGTCAAGATGGTAGGACAGAGTGAAAGGGCATGACAGCCAGCCTTTTGCGTTATCACGTGCAGCTGCCACTCCATCCGACCTTCGACTCGTGCACCAACGTTCTGCCCTCTGTCATTGATCGATTGATCATCGATGCGCACATCGCGCGCAATGGCTCACGCCATGATTGGTTCAGAATTCCGGCCTGCGGAAGAGTTCAGCTGGGAAGCCCGTCAGGGTCGTCATTTGACCAGAACTTGCTGTGTTCCCAATCACGTCTGATATCATGCCTCACTTGGCGTCTTCTCTAATCTTCCCGCGCCAGTCACCCGACCTCCCTTCACCGTATGGGGTGCAAGTTCTCCGGGCCTCCTTGGCAAGCTATCTTCACGAGCTCAGAGGGATGGCTCGCAGCCGCTCTGGGGTGCGTCGGCCATGGGCGGGTGTCCTTCCCATCGATGCATACCGCGAGAATTTGGTTCTAGGGACCCTGGCAGGAGTCCTCTTCTGGTTTTAGATTCTCATCATTACTCAGCTTGCACGAGAAGCAGAACCAGCGCGGTTATTTAAATGGGGACGGTCGCATGTCCGCAAATCCTCCCACCCACCTCCCACAACATTCACTATCATGCCTTCTACTTGCGATATCGAGCTCGACACCGAGTCCTACAAGGGGAAGATCCACATCGAGACCGGGCTCTTCATCGGCGGAAAGTTTGTCGACCCTATCGAGTCAAAGGAGCTCGTAGAGTGCGTGATCGTGTTTGGATTGGCGCCGCACTGTCCGCTCACCTGTCTCCACTGGCAGTGTCATCAACCCAAGTGGGTGCCCCGCGCTATATTTATGCACCATTTAGCTTCACGATTCGCAAGGCACGGGTCTGAAGATCGCGAGCGTCCAGATCGGGACCAGCAAAGACGTGAACTTCGCCGTCGACACGGCGTGGAAGGTGCGGGCGCAGCGGCGCCATCTCAGCGAGAACAAACGCTGACGTCACGGACAGACTTACCGGTCCGCATGGGGCCTGAAGGTTCCGGCGGCCCAGCGTGGAAAACTTCTCGCGCGTTTGGCTGATCTTCTCGAGCGCGACTTGGATCAATTCGCGGCTCTGGAGACGCTCAATGCCGGTGTGTTCTGTCCGCTCCAACGGTCCCCCGGGAAACTGCTGATGTCACCGCGCAGGCAAACCATTCGCCGTTGCGCAGAGGAGTGACATAGCCGGAAGCATCCGCTGCATCCGGTACTTTGCGGGTTATGCTGACAAGATTCACGGCGACACGATCGAGACTCACGACAAGCGCTTGGCCTACACCCGCCGGGAGCCATATGGGGTTGTTGTACGTAAATCACGATAATGGCGTAGCTTGTGCTCACTCATCCTAGGGCCAAATCATTCCTTGTCAGTGTGTTGTTCCCATGATGCTCTGCAACTGAATCGTGTTCTTTCCGCAGGGAATTTCCCGAGTAAGTCGAACATTGTCTTTTCTCTTTGAATTTCCTTAACCATCTTACAGTGATGATGTTGTCTTGGAAAGTTGGACCGGCCTTGGCCACCGGAAATTGTATCGTCATGAAGGCAAATTTCTTCGTTCCTACCTTGAATCTCATATTAATATTCCGAATAACAGCCTTCCGAGCTGACGCCTTTGTCTGCGCTCAAATTCGCCGAACTCGTCAATGAAGCCGGGTTCCCTCCCGGTGTTTTCAACATTGTCAACGGCTACGGTATGGGATTGTTTTCCTCATGCGAACATCAAGCCGATGTTTTATCCATCAGGTCCTACTGTCGGCCAGACTATCATCGAGCACCCGGACATCCAGAAAGTTGCGTTCACCGGAAGTACTTTGGTCGGACGCAAAGTTCTCGAAGCCTCGGCGCGGACGAATTTGAAAGTGGTCACGCTGGAGCTCGGAGGAAAGAGCCCGAGTATTGTGTTTGACGACTGTGACCTCGAGCAAACCATCCGTTGGGTCGGCGCTGCTATGTAGTAAGTGCGATCGCTCCATTTTCTCTTCTTGTTCGCTCATTTCATACTCTTTCTTCAGTGATAACATGGGTAAGAGTCATGGCAAATCTTTCACGTCACGGATGTTCATAAAAAACAGGCCAATCTTGTGTTGCTGGAACACGTATCTTCGTGCAAGCTGGCATCTACGACAAATTCATCGGGCGTTTCACCGAGCTCGTGAAGACGCTGGCAAAGGACACCGGAGACCCATTCGCGAAGGCAACCAGGCACGGACCTCAGGTATGTGGATTGTCTTCGCTCTTCGATCTACACACGTTGAACTCGTTCGTCTCTGCCACCTAGGTCTCCCAAAATCAATTCGACGTCGGTGCCTGTTTTCTACTTTTGTTCCGACCACTGACTGTAACGATCAGCGAATTATGAGCTTCATTGAATCCGGTAAGAAGGATGGTGCTACAGTGCACCTAGGAGGAGACAGGCACGGTTCCGAAGGATACTTTGTGCAGCCCACAATCTTCACCAATGTCAAACCCGAGATGAAGATCGTCCAAGAAGAGATCTTCGGGCCGGTTGCCTCGGTCTTGAAGTTTGAGACTGAAGAAGGTGCGTGCACATTCGTCTCCTTCGAATTCTCTCACGAAAAATTTCTGCAGAGGTCATCGAAGCCGCAAACAAGACATCATACGGTCTTGCTTGCCTGGTATTCTCTGAAAACATCAAGCGTGCTCTGCGCGTCGCACACCAGCTCGAGGCCGGCTCTGCCTTCATCAACATGCCCCAGATGACCGATGCCGCAATTCCTTTCGGCGGATTCAAGGAGTCCGGAATCGGCCGTGAGCACGGAGAAGGTGCTCTCGAGACGTAAGCTTCTGCGCTGTGCATCGTTATCTTTTGCGCTGACGACACGTTGATGGATCAGCTACACCCAGGTCAAGAGTGTGCACGTCAACCTGGGTATGATGGCACCTTGAGAAATCGAAATTTGTATGCAGTTTCTATGTAATACTAGCAATCAAGCATCATATTTGCTTACCCCTCGTCACGATATGATGGCGACGCGTCGCGTCAAGTCACGCGATAATCACGTGATTCGATTCTTTGTTCTTACTTTAGCTGAATCCAACATATCTGAGATCTCACAGCTTACAGTGTATCTGGCAGTTCTAAGTGCAGGGATACTTGCACTTCATGTTAATAGCTCCTGGTGATGCTGTCCGAGCCTGCTGTGTGTCATGCACTCGAGTAGACATGTGACAAGCGATCATGAGGGTCATGCACAGCCTCTCTCGGGCAGGCGCCCGCATCGTTCTCTCAGCCCTCACACACTCTAGGAGAAATGCGCGCGCTGAGCTCACTACCACTTGATGATGACATCGTCCACTCTCTCATGACATTCTGCCCCGACTTTCGAACGCTCCAAAGCCTGATCCTTGTGTCGAAAGCCTTCTTCGCCGTCTACGAATCTCATCCGCGGGTGTGGTGGACTCTGGGTGCGGTGTCCCGGACACAGGCTGACAGATTTGCAGTCTATCACTCGATGCGTTGCCTATAATGTCGTCGGCCCCGCTCTGCCGCAGGCTCTCCGCGTGCTTAGGTTCCCGACAAGCGAATGGGCGCGGCAGCGCGATGCCAACCCGGATGAACTTGCGGACACGTGTCCGGAAGACCACGAGCCGAGTGTGATTACCTGCGAAGAGAAGAACCTGCTCCAGGATAATGCGGAGATGATCGCTAGGTTCGAGAACATCTACAGCTTCAGGTGTGCTGCTTCATGACGCAACCCTCATCCATCCATCCCCAAGCTTTTGTAGATTTAAGGACCGAAACTCAAGGACCAGTGTGCTCACTCCTGAAGAATCTCAAAGGTTCCGGCGCGCCGCGTATCGTATCTTGCTGTACTCGGAGATCTTCACCTCAAGAGGATGGGATGTGAATGATATCCTGGACATGGAGGCCGATGAAGTGATGGACTTTGTGAAACAGCGGACCGCATTCTTCATGCGATTCCCCACAGACGAGTTGCTGGAGATTTGGTCTGTCACCGAGTACATGCGGCACATATACTTGGAGCTCGGCATCAGGGAGGAGAGTACAGGTGCGTCGAGTATCTTGTTGAGATCTCCACGCCCAGTGTTGATCAGCCGATCATAGATGTTGCAATGATGCACCTGCTGACTTTGGGACCAGAAGCCGTCGTTCAGGCATGGGACACTCGCAATCCGTATGGCGTTCTTTGTGAGATGGACGTCGATGACTTTTCGGAAATGGACGAGGAGCCTCCGTTATTTTCAGGGTTCTATGACGCGCCTCTGCAGAAGATATGGTCCGTTCGGAAGGTCCAGGCACCCAAAGAAGACGATTCTCCTTCCAAATGGGTCTTGGACACCGTGAACGGCGCGAATGATACATGTACGCCTGTTTTCGACTCTTGGGACATCGACTCTTCTCACTGCCTCAGGCTCTCAATGCTCCATGGTAGGGGGGCTGCAGCTTTTGAGTTCCGCAAGTCCGTTCCTTGTCCGAATGGCCCTTCGTACTTTGATTGACTGTAAAACGCCAGACTGGGGTCGCTTTCCGTGCAAAACTACCAGTTTCTGGCCAGGCAATCTTGCTCGTAACATCTCTCTTTGGAACACGATTGACCAGCTCGATGTGGAAAGGCAGAATACTTCGAACTGGTTTGAATCATGGATCCTGGGGGTCTTCGACGCTCGACCGACGGACGCGAACTCGGAATGGGCAACTTGGACTCCGGACGATTCATATTGTAAAGACTGTATAGCCAAATTCCTGAATGGCAATGCCTGGCGCTGGTTGCTGAACAAGAAGATCGAGAGTGGCTGGAATCCTCCGGAGAACTGCTGGTCCGTGCGTCTGCGGTGGTGACGCGTCCGACTGATGTTTTCTTGCCAGGTATGGGTACAACTGCCGAACCCAGACCCGCGTTTCAACGCACGCAGCCAAGTTGAACGTGCGTTCTGCTCTTTGTTTGTCTCAACGGCCCTTGACCCTGATTAAGCACCTGTGCATTCCTACTCGAGGCGATCCGTGAAATACCTAAACAAAAGCTTTAGTTCTGAATCTACTCTATGTCACTGTATCTATGTAATAAAACAATATATTTCGGACTTCCGGACAACGCAGGACCCTAGAAAACTCGTATGGTAGCCTCAAGCTGATGGCGGTGCATCTTCTCGAGGTGAAGCATTCATGACTTTCTATCTGCGACCCTATGCACGACCAAGAGCATCTGACCCTTCACGCCGAAGAAGCGCTCTTTGTCGCACCCCTGAACTCAAAGTACTGTGCGACGTGGGCAACGCTTCGAACAGACTTCGGGAGATACTCGGGACACAGACGGGACGTGGAGGTAGAAGAGCAAAGCTGGGATTCGGAGACCATCAGCGGACAGGTGCAGCCGAAATGACACAACTTTTTGCGCGTCCGAGGTCCGTCAATACTAAATCCGAAATTCCACGAATGCAAGTCAGTGTCGAAGAGTGAGTTCGGGGGATGCCGAGCACGATCAAGCCCTTTGCTTATGACTCTCTATGCCTCGTGCTCTCTCTCTTGTCTTCTGCCTGCACCATGACCATTATACAGGAGCCAGACCCCGAACCTTTTCTGCCGCCCGAGCTCGAATGGCTAATCTTCGAATTCGCCGCTAAAATGCACCCGCAATGCATCGTCCAGTGTATCCGGGTCGCGCGTCGTGTCCGCATATGGTGTGTACCCACCACGTACGTCTGCTCTGCTCCTGGGCAAACATTCAGCTTTACTCTAGGTTGGAGCCCCTCCTCTACGGAAAGTTCCTCGTCGAAGATTCCACCGCCGAGCATATACGCGCAACCGTTTCGCTGGACACCATGTTGGGCATCCTCAGTGCGAAACCACCGGACTTCCTGCGCAGGCACATACACCACCTCGCTCTATCGACCTCGATGGAAGAAGACGTGCTGGCCCGTCTTCTGCAAGCGTGCAGCAACGTGAAAGATTTGTGCCTGTGGTCCGGCGGCACGTCTCTCGCCACCTGGCTCCAGGTCCGGCGCCTTGAGAACCTGGAGCGTCTGTCGGTCAATATGCAAACTTTGTTCATCGATGCCTCGGATGGGGAGACATACCTGCCTCCCACGGTAGAGCTGCTTACAGCATTCCGACACATCACGCACCTCGACCTGTTCGGGCACATATCGCACGCGACGTGGCCGGTTTTCGCAGCGCTGCCTGCCCTGACGAACCTCGCGTTCAATGACGACTTTTTTCCGGAGACGTTGGACGCCACATTCGAGCGATGCCCCAATCTCCGCGTGCTCGTCGTCATCTACAACGCCTGGGAGGACTACCACTGCAAGTTCCAAGAGCGGGAGGACGTGTCTTTAGATGCGCGCGTGTGTTTGGTGTACTGTGGGAACTTCACCGGCGATTGGCTTGAGGGGCTCGCTGGAGGTGTCGACTTTTGGACGAGGGCCGAGCAATTCCTTGAGCGCAAACGCCTTCGTCAAGTTCCAGGTGAAGTAGACTCGCGACGTTGGCAACGCTGTGCTGATGTTTGTCGGCCAGAAACGCACTTCTTCGTCGATATCAAGGCAGCATAGAATGCTTGACATTTGGCCCAGGTCAGTTCGCGCCCGACTTTCTTGTTCCGGCGTTGACTCGTCGCATGGCAGCGCTTGCATACATTCACCATCGCACGAAGGTCTGAATCCACTAGAAGCAAGAAACCATCGACGTCTTGCCCACGGACCTCTTCGCAATACTCGAAGCTGCAATCGCGACGGATATTCCAGTGTCAGCTCGTCACACGCCGTTGCAATGATCAAAGTGGGCGAGCGATGTTTACAGAATCTCTATCCCCACTCGTCCAAAGCGATGCATCACGGGAAAGATGTTATGCTGATGCCCAAGGTGCTCCACAGCGCGGGGCTGATAGCATGAGCACAAAACTCTGTTTCAAGCGGTAGGAACTGGAGAACTTTCAGCTTCAAGGTAAATAGTGGCTCGTATGGTATCGAGTGCTTGCTCCTCTCGACACAATCTGAATACTTGCTTGTTTGATTTTTGCACCATGCCTATCTGAAACTGCCTCATCTCATTGCCCTTTCGCTCTCCCCTGATTGTCAAACTCTGTAAAGATTGGCTCACGCATCTGCATTTCGAGCCAATGAGGGTGATCGTTGATAGCACGCTTGAATAGATCATAGTTGAATGTAAATCTAGTTGTGAGGTCCACGCGGTTCTCACGAAGGTGAGAGGGAATAAACTGGCACGGACCATTCCCTGCGTTAGGATCCCCACTGACTGCTTCCTGCTCCGGAAAGCACTTCAGCAGATACTTTCTGTCCAAATTCGATGTAGTCATTGGACGAAGAGCACGTTTTCTTGGAATAGCTTAGTGCTGGGGTAGCAAAGTGCCCCTGAAGAGATCGGGCCTTTGTAGTCATCGAGCCATGAGAATCTTCTAATGTTCAAATTGCCCTAATCAGGCTGCTCACACCGGGACACTGAGTCAGCCTCGCGTTTCTTCCAGTAGCGAGGTAGAGCCGGGACACTTGCACGGAGAGAGCAGAGCAGAGCATGATCCCATTTTAGTGGTTGAGAGATTCTTAGGCCAGGTCAATCACAGCGCCACTGGTACAGATCATACGGTTTTCGATGATCCTGCGCTGCTGTGACAATTGGCCAGCGGCGATCTTTCCTGATCCAATTTTATCTTATCACCGCTTGATGTCATCACTTTTCCCATTGTGAACACCTTCCATACCTTGATCCTCTCGTGCTGTGGCATTTTCCTACTGGCCAATCAAGGCGGGAAAATCTTGGTGCCATCTCACCCTCGGTAGCAACGGCAGGCTAGTCATTTTGCAGATCCGCCAGTGATGCACCGCACCCGTGCTCCCTACAAATGCGTTGCTCTCTCTCACCCCCTTTGCCATGTCCCAGCCCAAGTCCATGTCAATCCCTATACCTATACCAGCCCCAACGAGGGCTAGCGACGGTGGCGAGAATCCGATGTATCTTTCGACATCCGAGCCTTCTTCGTTCAAGTCGCAAATGTCGTCGTTGTCCATCGCCTCCTCGGAGGCAAGCTCCCAAGGTCGCATTGCTTCAACACCAGTCACCTCGTGGCTTGAGAAGGTCCACAATGCTCTTCACAAACACACTGTACCCGAGGTGGACCCGGACCTCGAGCGTACCAGAGTTGTGCGTCTTCCGGTCATTGCTCCATCTACCCACTCAGGTTCTCACGTCGACGTGCAGAGGGTTATACAAGCTCTCGCGTCGATCGGTACCATAGCTGTTCCACTTGCGATTGAAGCTGTGTCTTTGGCACCCGTTCCCGGGATGTCCGTCGTCGGGAAGGTCTTGCAGAGCATCTGGGACTCGTGCCAGCTGATTCAGGTGGAGCGGCACAACAGCTTTCAGTGCCGTGGTGAATTGACTTGGGAATCTGAATAGACGAATCGATGCCGATGCCTTCGAATCACGGAAAGGTGTGCAACGGTGCTGATGGCTATCAACAAGATCGTTTCGCGTTCGAGCTCCATCACGCAGAAGGAGCTGGACGAACCTTTGCGGGAACTCCAAGAGTGCGTCACATCAAAGGCTGTGTGACGCTCTCAGTCCGATTGATTTGTCTCTCGATCAGACGTTTCCAGCGATTCGAACGTTTCGTGAAACAGCAAACGGAACTTTCTTTCTTGACCAAGATTTTGAACAAAGACGATGTCAAGGACCAATTGGACAGACACGACCAAGATATCCGGGACTGCGTCAATTTATTCCAGGTGACCTTTACATAATTTACGCCACTTGGTCGCAGCAGCTCTGACAGTCCCCAGACTGACATTGACATTCGCATTCTCGACGCAGTGTTGAGAATCACCGACGGCGGAAGACCAGCTCCTGTTGTCATGCCCTCCTCGCATTCCGCTCCGCATTTCCCAACGGTCCCCGATCACGACCTTGGTGATTTGGACTCTCTCCACTCGTTTCCCGGATTTCCGTCGGGACCGGCACAGCCAATGCTTCTCGGAGGTGGCGACGCAGCTTCGGATCTGAGCCAACGACTGCAAGCCATTCACAACGGACAAAACCGCCTTGACATCGCCCGGGACAACGAAGAGCTGGCGGAGGAGATGCAGTCTGCCCTCCAGGCCAGCAACCTGCCTGTGACCATGCTTTTGCAGATCGCAGTGGATGAGATCCCGACTGCAATCACGCTGCTGTTGAATCAGCTGGAGCGGCTCAAGCAGCAGGAGGATCAGGCGGTCCAGCTGTTCCAGTCGCACGTCGGGCATCCAAGAATCGTTGCGTCTGAGGTTTCTCCGTCTCCGCGGATTCGGGCGCTGAGCTGGCCCCTGGATGGAGTTCCAGCGAGACGACTGCTGCACCGGCATTTCATGGAGGCAACACTGGACGCGCTGAAACAGGAATTATTGGGAAGATCGGTGCTGTCTCGAGCGCATCCGCTTCTTCGGTCGCCTACTGTTCAAGGAGCGACATGGAGAGTCGTCTCTCCCTCGTCTTCCTCATGTGAGATCTAGATTCCGTCACAGAACAGCGTTTTGATATCTGATCATCTCGAAGCCCTTTCCGACTACAGCTCTGCTGTTTCAACCACGACGATGGCCTCATGCTCAAATTACGACAGGGAAGATCTTGGCACCTTTACTCATTCTGCAGACCTCCCCGTCACTGACTCGGCGATCGATTTATCTACATCATCGGGAAAATCGCCAGCAGAGACCGAGATCTGTTACCGCATCTCATTATCACATGCGTTCCATCACTTGAGCCGTAAGCACCGAAAGTCTAATCAAGGTCGATCTGTCTTGACTGACGAGATTACAGCCTCGCTTCCATTGTGGTCCCCCAGCTTGGTAGAAATGGGAGCCGTCGGATACCTCTCGAGGCCGACCGGCGAGTTCCGAACTCTCTTCAATTCGCGTTTTCCCGACACCACATCTGCCGGAAGCAAACTACGAGGACTGGCTATCCCCGCGCTGTCGTCGGTACGCATCATTGCGGAGGAGCAGAGCGAGGAGAGCGCGACCATCAAAGCGAAGGGAAAGAGATTCCTGACCAAGCTCACGAGCAACTCCGCGGACAAATACAAGCACACTCACCACATCTCCTCGTACGGCGAGACGGCGCATCTGATTGCGGAGAAGGCGGTGTACCATTATTTTGACTCGCTGGAGTCGCCCAAGCGGTGGTTCAGAGCGCATGCCAATACTATTTTGGCGGCTTTCAAGGATGAGGTGCTCGGAAAGGACGAGTTAATTATGGGTAGGCCGGCCACTTTCATCATGCGAGTGTGGTGTAACTCAAATCTGGTTCATTAGTCACTGGTACGGTCAATGTGCGAGACTATGCTTTGCTAGTTGATCACGGAAACGAAAAAGAGGTTAGTCTACTCGACACGTCCAGAAAATCGATATTGATGGGCAATACTCAGCTCAGACGTCACCGCTTTCACGTCTATTCTCACCGGCAAATGGGAAAGCCATGGGGAACGTTTGACCATAAGCCCGAAACTGGCTCTTTGGATCTTTCGAGACCGCAAGAAAGACCTACGAGCTCCCAGACGATGTTCAAGGTATCTGATGTTGGACCTGAATTGGCCACTGTCCTGCTGTCGCGCTTGAGATTCAGTCCGAATCAACTGGAGCCCACCTCGCAGTGACATCTGAGTAATTTCCCTCTCATTCTCTTGATTATTCTAGTATATCGCGCAAAATTTAATCGCATTCGCCATTTTAAACTTCGGAGTCGGAAGTTGAAACTCAACTTCAACAATCGCTCACGTGGTCTGAAAGTTGATGATCGGATCGATCCGGGAAATCATCGGACTTATCCTCGAAATCTCCTGCTCCGACCACTCATGCACATCTTGCACCCTGCGATCGCGATGCACCCGTCTGCGTTCACTTAAAGGCTATGTTTTCGCATATCCGTGCTGTTGCGAATCATACAGCACTCCGTTGCTGTGCTCCGCAGAGCTACTTGCCGTCTTGATACTTGAGTCATATACCCCAGCGAGGACAATGGAGACACGCGAGAACATCTTAGGATGCCATTCATAACACTTTATTGACCACCTAGACTATCTTCTGAGTGGGAGAGGTGTGTCTCCACACTGGTCGCTCCGGAACGCAAGGCGCCGACACCCCGTCTTACGTTGGGCAAAGAGCGCATATCTGGCACCCAGACTTGACCCAGGTGCTGTGCTTCCTCCGGCACCTGATCCAAGGCCAGGGAACTTCCTTTGAGACCACTTGGTCATACAACGTTCCGTGCGACCGCTTAACAATTGGACAACACCCATCGACTGTCGCCCATCGACTGTCGGACACCTCGTTTTCCCCTTCGGCCCGTACACGGTCTGAACCTCAGCGGCCCTCTTCCTTCAGGCATACTTCACGCGCTGATTGGTTCCTGTGACAATGCTACCAACCTCGCACTGTAGATCTCCATCCCGGGACCTTCCCCTGACCTCCCCTTCACGGAACGCATGCCGCTCACGCGCTTGTCATTAGACACTACCCACCCGCCTCTTTGGTGGTTTACTGCACATCAACTTCTCGCACCCTGCGTTCCGCATCCCCACCCATCTACGCCATCGCAGCGGGACTCGACCCATGGTGCCTCAACGCGGGGACCGTCGACGCACCGGCGCTGACGCATTTCTCATTTCGGGACTGGTTTCGTCCCTGTGTCCTCCGAGGAGCGCTGGCTCATTGTCGCTTGCTCCGAGGGATGCGCGTCGTCTGGTCCGGCAGGCGTAAGGCTGTTGACATCAGGGAGGGGTTCATGGTCATCTGCGAGGACAAGTTAGGCGACTGGGAGGTCGGAGGCAGAGGAGGTAGGGATATCTGGTCGCAAGCCAGAGCGTTCATTGAGCCGAAACTATCCGAAAAGGTGAAAAGTGCGCCGCACTGTCTTTCACTCAGTGGGAGAGGGTCTCTGATGCCTGCTTTCGCTAGCCTCTCGAATGTGGCTTTGATCTTAATGGACCCCCATAGTAGTGTACTGCTCTCAATGCGTATGGAAACTCAGTAAAGCAGGTAGTAATTGAGCGTTATATGTAGCTTGCATTCAAGCAGTCATTTAGTTCCCTCACACACCGGAGAGACGCACGCACCTGCAAATCCGCGACTATCTGCAGCCGACCATCCTCGTCCGTTGGTGAAATCAATGGCCTGCTCCCGCATTCCTCTCTTGGCATAAAACAGTTGTCTATGCTTCTTCCCAACGCGCCCGATCACCTCGTCTCGGACAATTTCAGTCTCCTCGATGCAGATACCGACCTTGTGCTGTTTTGGTCACTCTTGCCGAAGATCATCCTCCCGCCAGCGCAGTCGACCTCCCAGCTCATCGAAGCTCTTGAATCCATCGCGATTACAATGAGAGTGAAGTCGGCTCCTTCCTACGGCTTTCTGCGCCGTTTCCTGGACGAACGATGGGACAATGAGCGATTCTTCAGGCGGACATGGGCCCGCTGTGTCGATCTGGCACTGGAGATGTCGGCTCTTTTCCCAGACGGCACACTCGCTCCTCTGTCCTCCGAGAACCCTTGCGTGGCGTTCAGCGCACGACAAATCGCGTGTCTCGTCGTCCACCAATTTCTTTGCACCCTCCCTGAATTCGCACACCAAGCACCAGACGACTCGCAGGATCTGTCCATTTGGTTCCACGACGACCAGCCTCATCCACATGCAGTAGAAGCGTATCTCACTGCGCTCTTCACCTACTTCGACCGGATTGCGGGGAGTGATATGGCTGGAGATGTCTCGTTGACCTTGTGCACGGGCCCACCGTCCCAGAGCATGGCGCAGGCCAGCGTGGAGTTCAGGCCGATACGAATTATACCCCTTGATGCACCGAACACCTCGACAACACTCATGGGTATCCCCCGCGGCGCGTGCGTCATCTCCGCCAATTCGCACATTGGATTCGGGCGCACCGCCTCGCAGGAGGAGATGCAAGTCGGTTGCACCCCAACGGCTCTGCCCGCTAAACTGGTCACCCCGCCGCTATCAGACACCAAGGTCCTGGTCGTTCGTGGATGCGCGCCTGTAGTCGAGATGGTCGGCTACGGCCGTGCTGCGGTTTTGCACCGCATTGTGCCGGCTTATGAGCACGATTGGAGTCAGAGGGTGATGCTGTTCATGGATGCGTTGGAGCTGGATGGATACGACTCGACGTCATGCACGCCGGATCTGTTGCCTGGGCACATCGATCGGGAACTCAACAAGGCCCTAACGGCCTTTGCGTCCGATTCTTACGAGGAGGTTGTCACCGGGCATTGGGGATGCGGTGCATTCGGCGGAAACAAGGAAATCAAGGGCGTGGTGCAATGGTGTGCGGCGAGTAGAGCTGGTGTTGAGTTGGCGTTCGTATGCGATACGGTGCGCCCACAGCTCACTTACAAGTGACTCGCATTCACGAATACTTCTGCATCTAGCAAGATTCGTTTGGCGTCGACTTCAAAAAGTTCGTCGACCAAGCATTGGATCGGCATTGGAAGGTCGACGATGTTCTATCTGTGCTGGCGTCAATAGGACCTACAGACCCTGCCCGACTGTCAATCTTCGCCGCCCTCTCCACGCAAATGGAAAGGCGAGTCCCGCAGAGATGACCAGTTTGGCATCACAATCCACCAAATGCTTTGCACTGTGACTACGTGCCTCGGATCTTGGAGTGCAGCCACGATGTCGAGGAAAACTGGGTACAGGACACGAGCGAATGCGCTATCTGTGGATTCCGGCATGGACACCTTGTAACACATATGCAGCGGGAATGCAAGGAACGACGTGCATTCATATTATAGAGGCCGAAGAAAACGAATCTGCCAGAACATATCCACTCATGTCGAGCATGGCCATAATCGAACAAGGGTGCTATCTGCTGACGTGTCAATAAGGGCAGGCCAGAGACTGCAGACTGTGTACGAAGATTGCATGGATCTGGGCTGTGGAGGAGTCAGAGGGAAATGAGCAGCTACGATCCAGTCTCTTGGAATCGGAGCGAAGGCAGAGGAGACGGAGTCCGATGGAATAATGTAATGGTACCTGCCATGTTTCTGTCGCACCCTGATGCCTCACATTTGTGTTCAGGATGCTTCTGTTTAGGAAGAAGACGTTACCGGGGCTGAGATCAAGAGCGAGGAAGAAGTAATGCCAGTCTCTGTGAAGTTGAAGATGGAGACTCGCCCCTTCCACGCTTGCAGAAGTCGACTAGCGAGTACAGAAAAGATTCTGAAGAAAAAACCTGAAGCCCCCAGAGGCGAAGCAAGAGAGAACGATCAGAGAAGAACCTTAATTTGAAGCGTGTTACAAAAGTGTAAGCCGGCGCCTACCACCTTACTGGATTCGTGTATGAGCGCTAATCCGGTTCGACATAAAAACCCCATGAAGCTTCGTTTTTGCCCCACCGTCTCTCCACCTCTCCCACCGTCATGACCCACCAAGCGACCATGAGCATTCCCGAACTGGGTAACTTTTCCATGTCTCACTCGACTCTTACACTGAGCAGACCAATACCAGTCGATGCCCATGAGCGTTTGAAGACGATGCACGAAGACCTCAAGATCAAGCACGCAGAGACCAAAGACGAATTGAGCCAGGTGAAACATCAAGTGAAAGATTTGGAGACTAGGATCCAGTGCATCGAGCCTGGTCCTGCAGGCCAAACTGTCGAAAAGTGATTGCACAAATCTTTCGAAATACTGAACATCGTCATGTATCATACTCTACAGGACTCGTCTCTCCACGGGCATGGACGACAAGTGGGTCGGTTAGTGTCCATTTGTGTCCGGACTGCCCGTACGCTTCCGCTCGGAGCGGACGAAGAAATGCATCGACTTCGATTGGGCCGGCGGCAAGGGATGCCAGATGCTCCATCAGCACGACTTGGGCGTAAGTAATGCCAATCAACATGTGAGTTGAACCGTTCGTGCACCTGCAGCGAGCACACGATTCAATATTCATGACTGAGCGGGCCGACAGTTCGAGATCAGACCGGCGGGACCACGCGCATTCGTCATCCGGCACATCGCCTCCTCCTACTTTCTGTGCATCTCCAAGGAACGGCACGAAGGGGGGTGTTATATGGGAATGAGCATGAGCCCGACTTTTGTGGTCTTCGATCCGGTGCTGGCGCAAGGCAAATACACGGGGCGGGTCAGAATCCGGCTTTTCGAGTCGCTGGAGCGGACGGTGCAGTTCGAGAAAGGCAACGCCAGCAACGGTACCCCGGTCATCGCGTGCGCTGAAGGTGGTGCCAACGACGAGTGGTATGTTAAGCAGGCGGGAGACAAGACCATTTGAGTTGCATCGGAGTACACTAGAATTGCAATATCTGTCCACACGGGAAAACGGCGAGAATATAAGGAAGATAGAGCGGTGGTGCCTCGATGTAGAGTACCCGCCCGAGGATTGGTGCGCAAGGGACTTCCAACGAGTGTGGATCCAACGCATGATCATGCAGCCGCAGAGTCAGCAATGATGTGCTGTTGCCAATGACGGTGATGACGTCTGCGAGCCTCAATCCGGCGTGGGCCGCGATGCAGAGCGTGGAAGTGAGGCAGTTGATGTACAGCGCTCGGAGCACCGCGGAATACTGGTCCGCCGTGAGACTGGGCAGTCTTGGCAATAACACAGTCGTGTCGTGGCCCGGGATCGACACAAACACAAAGTCTTCCCCGTCGACGCTGAGGTTGTGCACCCCGCGGAGCCAGCCGCCCTCTCCCTCGAAGACACCAGCAAGCCGATCTCGCATGCTCGCGTGTCCGTCTTTGCGAGACCACGGCCAGGGCCAGGTGAACCCAGATGCCTGCAACTGCCGTGCTCGGGACACCGCCAGCGTCCCATTGCACATGACGACAAGCATCTTCGCGTCGCCGCCGGCGCACACGGAAACCAGCTGCGCCATGGAGGACACGTATTCGTAGGAGCACCTGTCCCGCACTAGCTCCGTTGGAGGACTGGGGAGAACGGCCAGCCCAGAAACGAGCCATTGCACATTGGGGTCTCCGCACACGACGGTGATCCTGCGGATGCAGCCAGGCTGTGCCCGTGAGATGAGGAAGAGACGCCGGAATTCGCTAGCGTAGTTCAGCACGAAGTGGCCCGACTCGAGTTCCGAAGGCTTGACGTGGTATAGTTCTTTGAGACGAATCAGGCACAGCCGGTGCAGTGGAGTGCAGACACCCAGAAGGATCCATAGTGACTCGGCGTCCAAAAAAGAGAGGATGAGGAGGATGAGCTCGTTCGGGAGTTGAAGCATCAGGGCAAGGCACTACAGCGGCTGCTATACAAAAACACGTCAGATTGCAGTCAACGGATCCTGACAGGGAGGCGGCAAACAAGGACTCTGAGGATTCGCCGCGCGGGGACTACAGCAGTTGGCTCGGTGCTGACGAGAATGAGCGCCTCGGAAACTTGTTCCGCGTGGAGGCATCTCGCCGAAGGCGTAGGGCTTGACCACGAGTCCATGGCTGCGCCAGACTTCGGCAAAAGCGGATCGATAGCGATGACAAACGAGGGATGAGCAATTTCTCTGTTGTCGGGCAGCCCGAATTCCCTCGAATGACCTTCCCAGAATCCACGCCTGCTTTCACGCATTGACATGGCCACCGAGCCCACCAACTCGACTTCGCTCCAGGACGAGGGCGAGCGTTTGTAGATTCAAGTGGAGACGAATCGGCCCAGATATTGGGATATTTGATCGGTGCTTCGTGGACACTAGGTCCATGACTGAGATCCGTCGGAGACCGGGAGCAGACTGAGAGAGTGTACGGTCGAGGCCGCGTGTGAGCGCCAGGGCAGACTCGGATCAGATCTGATGCATGATGGTGCATCCTTGATACCTGTCGTCACGTGCTAACATGTTGAAATGTGGCTCATATTTACAGGAGTCTTTCAACTGGATCAAGTGTACTGAAGGATAGCATTGCACTGTAGTGGGCCATTTATCTTCTTTTTTTCACAGAAATCATAAATCAATCTCCAGTATTGTATCTGTAGAAAGCAAAACGATACTAAAATCGACGTCAATTTACCAAACAATTTGTACGAGGAATAGACGTCTCTATCTCCATAACGAGTAGATTGCGTTTTCGGATTGGACTCTCACAAAAGGAAAAAGAACATCGAAACAGAAACATGTCTCTTGCCAATGTCTACTTTCGCAGAGACAAGCGTTCATTTCTCCCGACAAAGATTCTGAGAAAAAGACTTTTCTTTCTGAAATCTTGTTCAAGCATGAATTGATCTCGTTTTGCTTCGGAAATAGAAAATGAAAATACGACCTTTTTCCAGCGCTCGTTCAGGCTCTTCCGGGTACCTAAATGGCTGGCTGGGGCAAGCACCATATTCGGTACTTCCACAACGACGGGAATGAGCATTGAGTATACACAGCCGCAGTGGTTAGCTCAGGGATCGGCGCCGACCCCTGTGATTGACTGCCCTGTCTCTCTCGTGCTGGAATGTGGGAGCATCCAGCGGCGTACATGCAGTCGAGTTTGTGCTTGCGTCGCTCCAGCCTCACGTGGACGGGGCTGCGATTACTGTTGGGTTTCCATGCTGCCAGTAGACTGATGTGGTCCCACTCAGTGTAATGCACTCGGCTGGGCAGATTGTAGTCTTCGTGACAGATCTGGCGCTGTCCTGCACGACCCAGGCGGTCTTATTGTGACTCCTACCTGTCTTCTGCCTCCTTTTGTTGCTCGTCGGATCCAAACTCAACATGGCCGGTATGCCCGATCATCTGACAGATGCATCATGATCGCGCCAAACATGATCTCTCGGCTTACCATCCGCCATCATGTCGCTGCTCAAAGTACCGCTCTTGATGCTCGGCAGCATCGCCGTTCACACAACGATGACTTCTCCGAACCCGGCGGCACCAACAGAGCGTCAGCTGAAGCCAAGCGGGCTGGAGCGGATCGCGCCAAAATGGGCCCCGGTCCTTCTCAAGGTGGGTCGCTTTGGACATCTCGTTGTTCATGTACCTGTGTTTCTCTGTCCCAGAATGCGCATTACTCACGAAACTCCCTCCAGGGAGTCTTTTGGGGCCTAGGGATTGCCGAATGCGTGACCATCCTCGCGCAACACTTCCCTCATTTAGAGACGATCTCGCAGGCGTTGGACCCAAATAACGGCGCAGCACACCTGACGCTTACACCGACATTCCTCGCCGGGTTTATTTCGAGCATCGTGGGCACCTCCATCCGCCTGCACTGCTACTCTCGTCTCCAGAAACACTTCACCTTCGAACTGAGCACGCGCCCCGATCAACAGCTAGTCACGGACGGCGCGTACGGGCTGGTCCGACACCCGAGCTATCTGGGCGCGCTGTTCTCTGGCATCGGCGCCGCTTTGTGTGTGTTCGTGCCCGGGTCGTGGCTCGTGGCCTGCTCCGGGCTCGTGCGGCCCGGCGAGGCCTGGGAGCCGAAGATATCTGCGATTTGGGCGGTTGCACTGACGCTCGCCGCTGTTGGCCTGGGCTCTCGGATCAGGAAGGAGGACAGGATGATGAAAGAGAGGTTCGGAAAGGAATGGGAGGATTGGGTTGGGCGTGTGCCTTATCGTCTGGTTCCGTATGTATTTTGAAAATGCCAATTACACATCACACGTAGCTAAATCACGCCGGCGCAGTTTTCGAGCACTGTATACTCCGCGCGGGCGGTCAAGCGGCCATGAGGATCGGAGCGAACTTCATTTGTGAACAGTTGGACGTCCACAGAGTAAACACCGGGGCCAACGCTGACAGACGTCTGATTGGCCAGTTCGGGCAAAGCGTCGCCGTCTCGCGACCACGTGATGGTATAACTTTCATCAAGCCCGGAGACCAGGCTGGCCCGGAATTCGGCAACCGGAACCAAATGAAGCTCGAGGGTCGACGTCGCAGATTTGGCATCGCAACTTGTCTCTTTCAAACTGTCGATCAAGGAAACTGTCCCGAGCAGACTTATCCAGAGACCCTCCAGACAGGCCTTGCAGAAGTTGGGGGTGGTCACGACGCGCATCAGACAGTCCTCGTTTGTTGGGCGGTAGGTGGTGGCGTTGTCCAACGAAAAAGTCGGGTACAGAGAATAATGCCCTGCGGTGGCATTGAATCTGTCACGATGATCATCATGTCGCTCCCCATTATTTCGGCTGGGACCCACTCACTCGGTGTCGTCACCAAACTCGAGCACCTCGGTGCTGCACAGCTGCGCATCGGGGACCCGATCTTCATTTAAAAGCTCGAACGAGACCGTGTGCAAACCCCCACTCAACCCCCCCTCGCGATACACGTCAAAGTGCCAGCGATCGACGCCAACCCCGGGGTGCGGCTCCCACCCCAGATCCTGTCCGTCCAGTGTCACGCGCAGATCGCTGGCCGCGAGGAGCCCCGAGAGCGAAAATCGCACAAGGTGGCGCGAGTAGGCGCCCGAAGAAGGAAATGTGATGGACCAAGGCTCGCTGACGTTCAGGAGCGACCAGGGATAGGCTTGCATCGGCATCACACTGCGCTCGACTCGCGGGGAGGCCGACAGCCAGTGGGACCACGGAACGACACTCTCGTCGGCGGCTGCGTTGGGCCCGAAGTAGCCCCACCCGCCGTCGTACTCTTCGCCGACGTTGATGATCGAGTGTCCCAGCTCGTGGCGCAGAACGAGAGCGCCATTGGCCAGTGAGGGTGTGATGACGCTGTTCGATTCAGTCAGATATGCCAACAAGAAGGTAGAAAATACACACGTGAATCGCCCACCGAGACCTGATTGAGAAGGTTGCAAGCATCGACCTGGACAGAAAGCAATTTCTTACCTCCGTAAAGAGGGTCGTTTCCTGCATCAGACTCAGCAAGATGTTCCGGGCAGCGTAATGGGGGTAATCCACGCACCCACGAGAATCGGATAGTCGCATTGCTCACCGAGAGACGCGCATGCCGCAGCAGCGACGTCGGGTTTGGCGTAGTAAACGCCTCGAAGCTCGGTTCCAGGTCGATACAAACCGTAGACCGTGCTAGGAGAAGTCACATGGCATCAATCAGCCTCGTCAACTGAAAGGAACGAACAAACACACTCTTTCGGAACACCCCCCACGCCCACACCGCTCTGTACGAAAGAATGCCCGTCAACATCTCGATCGATTCAACTTGACAGCAGCAATCCATGCTCGCCTCGGCGCTGGGTGTGAAAGCGGCCCAGAAATTCATCAGCGGCTTGACTGTATTGAACGTCTGGTTTCCAGAAATGTCGTCCGCCAGGCGCGCTGCGTCTGCGAGGAATTTGTCGCGTTCCTCCAGCAAATCTAGATGCGCGAAGATGTTACACAAGGACGGGTCTTGTCGTGGAGATCTGATTGTGCCACATACATCCATCAGAGAAGAACACCAGATCGACGCGGTTGGAGATCGGACCCGACACCACCAGAGGCAGAACTTCGAGCGGTGGGCTCGGAACATCAGCAAAGGGGACCTGCGACGGTCCGGAAAGCAAGGGGGCAGCAGCGAACTCGGATCCCGGGTCGAGCTGGTGCACGCATTTGTCTGCGCCATGCGCGAGCACGCGGGGCAGTAGTGCTGCGAGCAGCGGCGCGAGCAACATTGTAGGTCAGGAGAGAGCTGTGAGACTCGTTGATGATGATAAGAGGGCCGCGGCAACTACGAAGTCGTGACGAGAGAGAAGATTCGGGTGATGGCAACAGCAGTCGGCAGCCCGCCCGGGAATCAGCGGTACTGGGGGGCGGCGCCGGAGCTCCCGCCGGAGGGCCGCAATGCAGGCATCCATGGACTTGACAACCAGAGCCAAATCTATGGTGACACGCTCACGTTACGAAACAGCACATGAATCATGGCAAGGATAACACTGGCATGATTCACAACTAGAAGATAAGCTAAGAGACCAACAACAAATACAGGGCCTTGGAAGACACGCGTAAGTAAGTAATAACTGCACCCATCAGATCACATCAAATCGAATCATATCATATCAGATTAGTCATGCTTGAATCCACCCAGAGGCAGCGCGACCAGAGCTGCCTTCTCCGCCGCCAGCAAATCCGCGAGGCCGATGTAGTACGCAATGAACGCCGTGATGATCCCCATGGCACCGCCAGCTTTCGTGATCTGCGGGTTGGTCACGAACTTCCCGACGCCGAGGAGCAGGAACGTGATCGACAGCGCGCCGAAGAGGGCGATGAACGAGACCGACTTGCGCAGCGCGACGATCCTGAAAAGAAACGAAGAAAGATGTCCGCGTCAGCTCCGTGTCATCCGATTGGCAAGAATATGCGAAACTGTAACGATCACTGAGCGGCCGGCCCGGTCGGCGCGCATCAGTTTCACGTAGTGCCACCGCGCCAGCCGTGAGACGGAGCGCCCGCCAAGGAACGGGAGCGCCGGCTCTCACAGACTAGGCAGATGGGGCAAGAGACTCTCACCCCCAACCATGACAAAAATATGTGGGGTTACCCCGCCGGACAAACGGGGGGAAGAAAAATTAGCCGGGAAAAAGGGACGCACAGGAATAGGAAGGTGACGATGAACCACGAGAAGAGGTAGATGCCGAGCGCTTTCTCGAGCTCGCTGGTGTTGGTGCCGTAGGAGGAAAGGATGCCGCTGCCGGGGATGAAGATCGTCCCGAAGGACAGCCAGAACGCGCCATACGAGGTGAAGGCTGCGACGATGACGATAAGCCATCCCATGTGGACGTGTCAGAAGCTAGCAACGCGTACCGGTGCCTCCGAAGGCATTCCCGCGAGGGAACTCCCACATCCCTGCCAGCAGCTGGGCAAGGCCGCCGCAGAACAGCGCCATTCCAACGACCACATTAGGGGTCGCGATCCCATCGACGGAGACGTTGTAGAAGCTGAGGATGAACGTCGTCGAGGCGAAGGAGAAGAGACCGAGGGCGCCCGGGTTGGCGATGGTCGTCGGGCGGGGTGCGGGGGCGTATTGGTGGCCGCCGTCCGTGTGGGTGCCCTTCTCGATGTCGCTCATGTTCTCTGGGTGTCAAATGGACTGGGTGGTGGTACGAAGAGAAAGAGCGACGGGATGCGAGAATCCTGGGTGGCGTGGGGAAGGATTAAGAAGGGGCCAAGGCGGATAATAGGCGCATGACACGATGTGATCTCCGAATAGCTGCTTGCGTAATGCTGTCAACCATCGGTTCCTGCGGAAAGCTTGAACTAATTTACTGGCATGCCCGCAGACAACTCGGTTCAGCGTCTCTGATCCTTCCCCTTCTGCATTTGCAGCCCATCCCCGGCCGCAGGCAACAGAGAAGGAGAAGAAGAGAATCTGGTTGTGATAAAAATATTTTTGGAATGACAAAGATCCCATCGCCATTTGCATTTTTACCCCACATCACGCGGCCAGATTATTGACAGTTCATGATCAGCCGCCAAACTCGGTCCCACACGAATGGTTGCCCTGAGCCCGAATAGTCGATATGTTTCCCGTCAGGAACTTCACGCCCGTGAGATGCGTGTCCGTGTCTGTGGCACTTGTTCGTCACGGAAGGGGTCAATTTGAGCCATCGTGAAGTGCCCCCGCCCGATTGCGACGGCGGTGTTGCCTCTCACGGGGATCACAAGGTTTCGGTCCGACTCCTACTCCCTGTCCGACTTCAAGTTCCGTGTCCCTATAGTCCTGACGGCCGGTGCTTGCGGAAGGGCTGAGTGCAGGCTCACACGCATGCTCCTCGGACTAGTGACCGGTAATGTATTACGGAGCACAAATCAGGGGCTGTACATAGCGTAAATCAAAATAAGCCCGAGATCCCAAACTTTTTCAAATCTGGTACGAGACAGTGAGATAATTGGCTGGAGGAACTTTCAGAATGACGCACTTTTGGGGATGTTGGGACGAATCGATTGTGCCCAGACCGTCGTGAAGGCGCTAGTTAGAAGCGTCAGCGTCAGCGTCCAAAAATGACTGCGAGTCGCGTACTCGGGTTGTCCGAGGTCATTCCGCTGACCGGGCTCGAGACTTCCCGTGTCGGCTCCACAGCAGGGTGTGCTCGTCCCCCACAAAGGACCCGCGGCCCACGCAGACCACCCGATCCATTCGGGATTGTTGTTCAGGTATTGCACCAGCTCCGTCACGTACTAAGGAGGTATTTGTCAGAATACATATATACGAGTCGGACAGAAATCGCATACGTTGAAGCAGTTTTGGTTGTTTCCTCCGCCAAACTCACTGAGAATAGCCTTGAGCTTGTTCTCCTTCAACCACGCAGTGACACCAGCAAGGTTCGAAGGGCCTGATCCGGGTATGAGATTCCCGAAAATATTAGTTTCACGTTGGAACATACCCGGCTGAGTGCACTCTGCGTGTCCTCCAGAGAAATCGATATCTGTCCTATCCCGTCAATCCAAAGCTGAACATCTCGGCTGGAGATACGAACCCAGATACTAGACAACGGATCAGTAAATTTCCGCGGCGTGCGACAAGACATGGAAATCGAACCTCATGTATATCGATGGCCAAGTTAAAGATCGGGTCGTGCAACTTGTTCATGAATGCGCTAGACGGCTCGGTGTTGCCGCCAGTGCTCTGGTTCCAGGAGTGGCCGCCAGTGAAGCCGTTTCCAGGTGCGAGAATAAGCTGCAAGGCGCCTGCAGACCGGATGCCGTTGATCGCGGCCTGGTTGTTCTCCAGCAACAGCTGATTGGGCTGAAAGGTGATGAGATCAAGCGGTTCTTTGATCTGTTAGAGAAGAGTGTGCTTGGACTGACCATATCGTGTGGCTCGTTGTTGATGCCGAAGACGACCTTGGGGTTGAACACGAATCGACGCGCCAATTCGTGCCAGAACGATTTGAACTGGGCAGTCGTTGCCGCGGTGGGGTCCGAGACATTGCCAATCACCTGTTTATCGCATAAGTTTGGGATGCAGAGGCCAAGGAATCAGTCGTGACTGACGCTGCCAGAGAAGGGCTGACTCGAAGGGTCACTTGTGGAAGCATCAGTGTTGTCCTTGATCAGAACACAGATGGCATCACGTACTTGTAGCGCATGTAGTTGTGCGGGTCGATGAGAACATAGGCGCCTTTGACGTTCGTGATGTAGTTCACCGCATCGGCGTATTCGGCGAAATACTTGAGCGTTCTTTTGAGCCGTTTGGACCTTAGCGTGGCAGAGAAAGGCACGCACAGTTTCGTTGAATTTGCTCCCCAGACCGTACTCCAGGGGTGCCATGCGCTCCATGAGGAAGCAAACCCGGAAGAAGTTGATCTTTTCTTGATCGACGAAGATATCAATCGTGCTCTGGAAATCCATGTCAGTCACCTGACGGTTGGAGGACCGCTGATCTCTCGCCTTGTTGATGAAAGCATAGTCGACTCCAAAGCGTCCGGGGAGGCCCTGGCCCTTTGTTCCAAACACACCGAACTCTCCACCAGACTGCCAGGAAAAAGATTGGTCAACATGGACAGAAGAAGACGCACGGCCCAGTCATACGTACCTCGTTCACTCCCGCGAACAAGATTTTCGCCTGAGTCGCGGCCAAAAGCGCCAGAGACGTCCAGAGCGGAGAGAGGAACTTCATGTTGCCGGGTGACGGTCAAGAACCCCCACACGCCTGCATCTTTTATAGGGCGACATAACAACCGAAGCGCGAACCTCGAGACCACAGCTCACCCCGGAAAAATCTCGGATAGAGCGTCCTCGAGACCGGGGAAACACGCCGGAGGCATTTCCCCACGAGGGCTGTTCTGTGTGTTATAATTGAAAAGCAGCGAGATCACACCTGCTCAAAGTCTGCAGTGGGGCGGTGTTTGAGGGACGATTTCGGAGTCGGCGAGTCTTGGAGTGTGGTATCGAATCGCCGAGAAACAGACAGCCTTGCACCTGGCTGCAGTCGGGGAAACGGAGGGTGAGAATGAGCCGCATGGGATCGCAGCAGTGCTGCCGCTGACGCTCGAGTGTCGATATATGCAGTATACTGACGTCGATACCTTTCAGTCTGATATCATTCTCATCCGCAACGTGCCTGCTTCAGTCTTTGTCTTGCATGAGAGCGGGCGGAGAGTGATCTGAACGCGAACGTTCAGGCATCCGTCACAAGAAAAGGTGAACAGTGCGCACTTGTCACATCACAGCCAGGACTTTTGGTGGGCCGTGGCAGTGGAAGCATCGCCTGATCATTCCACTGATTTGATGCGCGGTCCGTCGCCGATGGCAATTTGGATGTAACGCCACCATGAGCATATCGAGTTCTTATGCGGTTGCTATAAGTCGCGATCAACCCCAGGAAAATCGAAAGCACTCGCCACTCGGATTTCCAGAAAGTGAAGTATAGACCCGCTTGGACTCAGACGGACGCAAATAGACCAGTCGAGGACAGGATGTGAGCCTCTTTCCTGCCGATTTCGAGATCGCATTCCTGGATCCGCCACAATTCAGACCACTCTCGCGGGATCCGCCGGTAGTTATCAGAGAATCTAGACCGAGGTCATCAATTAAACGGAATCCGCCTTCCCCGCCCCGCTTGGGCTATTGCCCTGATCAAGAGTTCAGCTTTGGGGTTCTATGGGCTTGAATTCAGAGGCACACGCAAACAGCTGTGTGCCACGTGCACCCATAGAGCTTAAACTACGCTCGAGTAAGCCCACTGGCAGAGTACAGGTGGCGTATACCCAGAATATTAATCTGCTAACTCCACCACGTTCTTTTTCTTGGTCGAATACATGCTGGGAGGGATCTGGGCAACGGGTAAGAGAACAGCTCTTGCATGAGTGCAGTAGAAGCATTCGTGGCTAGGCAGTCGGCTCCTGTGTCGACTTATCACTCTAAATATGAATGCTCGGATGTAAGGTCGAGGGCGAAAGGTGCCAGCCAAAGCCTTTCAGCCCGGTACAATCCCGGTCAAGGTCAACAGCGGTAACTCAGCCGAGACGGTGTGCCGAGGAGAACGAAGGTTGAATGGCTGGTTGATGCCAAATGAAATCAAACTCCGGTCAGTTGGGAATACATAGACAAGCGTGCCGCAGATGCCTGTCTGAAGATGTAGAGCAAGAAGGGCATCAGTGGCCGCAGTGTGACTGTAGCCATGAGTCGCCGACATATATGCACTGTCTCAAGACTAAGACCATGACATACAACAAATTTAATGCCAACGACTGTTGACTGTCCAGATAACAAAGATGGCTGTTTGGTCAAAGTCGGCGGCCCCAAGTAGAGTGATATTTCAAAATGGCAGAACAGCCAGATGGCGGAGTTTCTTTCAGCTCCCTATCCATCGCAAGGACCAGGTCCTCCGTGAAACCGTGCGAACGCCACTTTCGCGCTGTATGGAAGCCCAGTGGGATTGCTGTTCTTGCAAATTCGGTTCCCAATCGATCAAGGGCTGGATCTGCACCCCAATGTGAGACCGAACTGGGTGTAAACCAAACGCACGCACCGCACGAGCCTCCTAAGAGATGCGTGGAAATTACCTTCTGGTCGACAGTGGCAAATGCACCCGTTGAGCGGAGCAGATCGGCCTCCTTCCTACCGATCTGGAGGTCGCATCCCTGCATAGACCATATCTCGCACCATTTTAGGAAGATACGTGCTGTGCTGGGTCCTCCGGTCTCAATCAGGGAGTTGAAATCGTAGTCCTCGATCAGCAGGTATCCTCCGGGCTTGAGCACTCCGATTATTCGATTAATGAGAGCTTCAGGGTTGGGATTCTGCGGCTGAGCGGCGGGTGCAGCGGTAAAAACGGCGGGGACATACATGCATGAGAACGAAACGGGCGTGGACAATGTCGAAGGATTCCGGCTGCGTGTCGAGATAGTCGAGGATAGAAGTTTGGTGGAACGACGCGTTCTCGGGAAGACGCATGCTACACCCAGTCATCAGAGCTGCCGCCTCACTCGTTATGTGGAAATGACGCACAGAGACCGTGAGCTCATGGCGGAACTATCGACTGCGACGACATGTGCGTCAGGAAACATCTGGGCTGCTTGGGCGGCCCTGACGAATCATGATACCAAAGGACACTCGAACGTAAATGGCAATCGTACCAAAGGCCAGTACCGCAGCTGCACGGGTCAGCATAGTGCGGGGTTCGTGAGGGGGAAGCTCACCCAAGTTCCAAGATTCTGCGGGGCTCCAGTTCTTCCAGTGGAGCATAGCACAATTTGTCGTGACCGAGATGTGCCTGGATCGCCTCATGCTGCTCATCCAGCCTGCTGACTAGTAAGCTATGCATGACTCGTGCAACGCACGCAGGATATACCGGGTGGATTAAGTCGCCGATTCCGCCATGTTCTGACAAACCAGCAGTCAGACCCCAAGCTCTACGGGATGCAGTTCTGACGAACGGGCAGTGGGTACTCGGAGACGGCAGGGGAAGCGGAAGTATCCATCGCGCCGTGTCCTTCCTCTGCCCTCCCCACGCGTCTTCTTATCACCGGTCGGCCATTCTTGTTTAGGTTCGAATCCACACAATCCCCGCAGCTGATAAGATTGTCCATTCTCGTGGCCGAAAAAGGCATTCATGTCGGGTGTGTGCCGATGTCCAGCAGCCGCCTTTGTCGGTCCCGGCTATTGGGTTTTGGACTAGCATCTGAGTGACAGTGGCTTGAAAGTGCGTAGGCCAATGTGTTGCACTCTTGTATGTACAAGAGAAGCTTCGCCGTAGTGCTCATGTCAGCAGCGAGACCTAGAGACCCTCGTGTTTGCACTAGTCAACTCGGCGCGCCCAAGCAAAGTAAAAGTCCATTGTCGCCCCTCCCATATCCATGTCGCGGACCGTCTCTTCCGCCAAGCCCGGTTCTTGCCACTTTCGCACTAGCGTCAACGCCGCATTCCTGACAGGTACTGCAAAACTTGCTCCCAATCGGTTGAGTGCGGGATCTGTGCCCACTCGGAATCAGAACCGGACAGTAACGCATATAGGGATGGAAGAAGCACCCGCAGAGGACGAGTCCCCGCCCAGAGGCATGGGAATCTTCGTTGACCCGACTTGCGCAAAGGCACCCGTTGAGCGAAGGAGATTCGCCTCCCTCTTGCCGATCTGGACATCACATCCCTTGTCACGCCACATCTGGGTCCACTTGGCCATCAAGCGGACCATGCTTGGTCCTCCCGTGGCGATCAAGGAGCTGAAATCCGGATCCTCGATGAGCAGATATCCGCCGGGTTTGACTGTGGCGGCCATTTCGTCGATGAGGGCCTCAGGATTGGGATTCTGAGACTCAGCTTTCGGCATCGGCCGATACTGCACAGACGCACATGCATGAGCACCATCCTAGCATGCACTACATCGGATAAAGGCGGTTTCGAGTTCAGATAGTCGAGGATGGACGCTTGATGGAACGAGACGTTCCCCGGAAGCTGCAGACTGCATGCCATGAGAAAAGACGTCTGGCTGATCGCATGAAAGCAGCGCACAGGGCCTGCTCAGACATGGCCGCACTATCAACTGCCACAACTTGGGCGTCTGGAAACATCTTGGCCGCTTCAGTAGCCCTGACAACTCTTTACATTGAGAAGTGGCAAGGAGACTAGACGGTGTACCAGATGCCAGTGCCGCATCTGGATTATTCAGCCCACATGAGTAAGGATCAAGGACCATAGTACTCACCCAAGTTCGAGGATTCTGCGAGGCTCGAGTTGCTCCAGAGGAGCATAGCATAGTTTGGTGTCACCCAGGTACATTCGGAAACAGGCATGCTGCTCATTGAGCCTAGGGCATTCAATGCCCCCTTCGAGCCACAGCGCACAAAGTGCGTACCGGTCGGCTTCTTCCAGTGACTCGCTCATGGTCTGCAATCCAAGTCAGAAAGAGCCCATGTACAATGTAGCGCCGTCGTGTACAGGAAGTTGGTAAGAAAAGACACCAGGTGTGCCGCCGTCCATAGCTCGATGCCCAAGTCTTTCCATGTTGCAACCTTGGAGGAACACAAGCGGGAGGCGAGAAGCAGGGTTAGGGGGCCTCCTCATGTGCTCACTTCCCACGTTTAAACCAGATTCAAGCAGGCGGGCTGCTATATCCGGTATTCGTGTGCAAAATGGTTGGCCCGGATAGCAGATGGTTTTGACCAAACCGTTGGCGTATCCGATGCATACATCGAGTCCACTTCTTTGCCCTCCCCATGCTTCCACTTTTTCGAGCTCACTCTCTGCTTGGGACGAAGCTGCGCGTTCATCGAGAACATCAAACAGACATGAATTTCAAAGCTTGCCCTTGATCATCGCCTGGACCTTCTCAGGCTCGAGGACGCTGAGGGGATAAGGCACAACCTGTGTACGCAGATGCTCGGTACCGCCCTCTATGCAGAGTATCTGTCCCGTGACGTAGGATGCCGCGTCACTAAACAGATACACAGTAGCATTCTCGATGTCAGAAATCGCCCCCATGCGTCCTAATGGGAACAGCATCTCCACCGAGCCGGCGCCTTTGCCCTTTCCAGGGCGCGTTAGCAAGCAGCGAAACGGGCGCCGATCGCAGCACGCACTTCGAGCCGATCCATTCCCTCCGTCCCGGCAATGGGCCCCGGTCCTATGACATTGGACCGCACCCCGTGAGGTCCTTCTTCGACAGCTAAGACCGCAGAAAGCGCGTCGACACCGGCCTTGGCGGCGGAAACGTGGGCTTGATAGGGTGTTCCTTCGCCGCGTATAGATCAGGCCTCCCGAATAGTGGGAGTGGACGCACCCTTGTAGTGCAGCATAGCGCTAACATGGATGTACGCGCCCTTCGTTAGGCGCAGCTGAGCGATGGTCGCTTTGATGGTGTTGTACGTCCCAATTGTGTCGATCTCGACGACCGTTCTGAATGCATTTTCGGACAGCCCAGATATGGGGGCGAGGAAGTTTCCTGCGGCGCCTGAGAACGGACGGGTCAGCTCATACGAGTGGAACTGATATCACAAACGGACCGCAAATAACGAAGTCGATGCGACCATACTTCTCGATTGTCTTCGCCACAGCATCCCGTAGAGTTTGCGGATTGCGCACGTCGGCCTGGCAGGGCAGACATTGGCGCCCGGTCTTGGCGGACAACTCCTTGGCTGCTTGATTCAGACGGTCCACCCTTCGAGAGGGCGTCAGAACCCCGCCTGAAAGAGGACGACTGCACGTACTTGCGCCCTACAATCGCGGCGTCGGCACCATGCCTCATCTATATTTGGCGCATGTTCATGTTCGTCATCATATGCTTGCGGAAGGAACCGTCCACACCATAGCTTCAGTCATTCCACGACAGATCCCGGACCCTCCACCCGTACAGAAGAGCACCTTGCCCTTGAAGAGGTCCTCCTTGTACGTCGAAAGCGTGCTGTGGATAGGAGCGACGAACGATTTGACCGACATAGCGCGAGCTGAAGAGAGGACAGCATCCTCGCGAATGATAGATGCGTGTTGGCGGCCGGGTACTGAGATGACCGGTAAAAACCGGGGACATCAATGGTCACATCATGTTGCGTCACGGGTCTTCTCAATCAGCCCACGGTGTCTTTCACTTTCTCCCAACGCATTGGCGGCTACCAAGAGAGAAAAAATCACCAGTATGAACAAATTTGAAACGAATTCTGGGGTGCTCCATTCTTCTCGCTCACCGGAACTCGTAATCAAGATGCAACTGTCGACTCGGGACGGTGAGCGCATCTTATCACTCTCCATCAACCGCTAGACCCTCCGAGTTTCCAGATCCGTATCTGGTTGACACGCACCGCTTTTCTCTGGAATGAATGCAAAGAACCCGCAGATCCTGGGGGATGCAACTGAATGGCTCGTGTGGCAAGTTCTGTCTCCGGGGTATTCAAATCTCTGAGCAGTTTAAATGTAGAAGCTTCGGCGTCCACATCGAATGAAGCAGGGCCCTCCCAATTCATATGTCTTCGGCCGCTTCCCACAGGACCCGCAGCCGTAAGCTCCCGTGATCCTGACTGCAGTCTGATCCTGGGTCCTTGGATTGGTTCTGGTTCTTGTTCTGGAGTTGCGGCTGAACGCCTCCAGGATTCGCACGTGGGCTGTCCAGTGACACCGTCCGGCGACAGTGGAACTTTTCCTTTACGGGTCACCTGAAACGACATCCGATGCCGGGATCTGGAACGCAGGTCCTGTTTGCCCGGAATCTCGATAGATTCTGCCACATTCGCACGTTATGTTCCGCTCCATTCCCCTTGTCGACGCCTGAGCTTTCTTCGCGTCTGTTGTGGTGATTACGCGGTCACTCAACCCATCCATCTTTGGGTGCGGGACCGTCATAACCCCGAGAAGCTCTGAAGCTGTTCAGGTGTCGGTAGTGACTTGGTTGCCGACGTCGACTCTCCGAGGATTGGGTCCAGATGTCTGCAGATGCCAATGCTGCCGCTTGGCACGGATCAGGGCTGCTCCCCTTGCCTCCTTCCCAATGCATAGTGTTCGCAAGTGATCGACTGATGTTCCTGTGTTCCCGGCACTGTTCGGCAAGAGATTCCATGTTTAATGTCGCGCTGTCTCCTCATCGGAATTGCTCTTCTTGTCTCGCTCTCCTGGACGTCGTCGCCATATCGAAAAGGTTCGCTTAGGGATCGGCTCTGTTCTACATTTTCTCCTGCAGCCTTCGATCCTTCCGATCAGCTTACCCGTTTCGGGACTGATGACCTGCTGCCATCTCGCGATAATCGATGACATCCTCAGCGGCTCAGCCCCATGCCTGGCCCAATCCTGCTCTCCGATTCTCACTGTCTGACATGCGCTAAAACCACACGGCACAGGCGTGGTTTCACGTATCACTGCTTCGCAGGTTTAGCAAGTCAGAGGACCACCCAAGAAGCTTATAGCTAGCATCCGACGAGTAGCGCCCGTGTGTGACTCTTCCTCGTCCATCTGTTCCAAGGTCCAAACTCGCAGATACCGTGGCTGCCCTCAAGGGACCTTTAGTCGGCAGGTCACGAGACCGTGCCTATGAGATCGGGTGACCGTGATTGCAGGAGGCTCGTTTTTTCGAACCTGATTTTCTTCTCCATCGCGGGAGGGTGTCTTCTGCGGGATCTTTGCCAGCGCGGGTAACATCCGCAGCGGAGAGACGGCCTATATGTGCCGCCGCTGAGCACGGGGACTTATCAACGGGTTTCCCGATCACACGTGCTGTAAAGCTGACTAGTCTCAGCGGGCAGCGTGCGAATGCGAGAGATACGATCTCCTCGAGTGCCCAGGCCCTCCCCGAGCCATGCCGTCTCTGCCGAAACGCGCTAAGCACGTCTCCCAGCAGCACACTCTCGCGCAGGCCTACTCGGCAAGCAATGTTCCGAACAAGCCTTGTTTTGCGATTTTCGCGCATTTGCGAGGCTATGACGCGCTGGCGTGACTCGCTGCTTGCCAACGCGCTGAGAGGCACGTCATAGACTGATCCTCATCTGAACATGACTTTGCGCCATGGGTCGAGTGGGGACAGCGCAGAGCAACAAATTGCCATGCTCCCACACTGGTGCTTGTCGAATCTATCTCTCAGCCCGGTGATGGAATGAAAAACCGAGTCACTCGGCTTTCCTGCGCGAGGTTCTCGCATTTGCCCATTCTATTCGGATACTGCACTCCGTTCAAGTCTGGCATGCAAATCCCGCTCGGCGAGGGAATCTGCCACCACGCAAGTGACGCTGCAGAATTCAAGTCTATCCGTTTCCAGGGTCTACAGGTACTCGGGATCTTCAGAGGACAGTCGACCATCCAGTGCACAGTTTCCAGTTTCCACACCCGTCGTGTCCAGGCACAACATCCACCGGGCCGATCATCCATCACACTGCAAGGTTGAACAATCTGGTCTGTGCGGGGCCGCCGACAGTCGTGCTGTTGGGTCTAGCCGCTAGAATTTGTGTCGAGTTTTTTCGTCTCTCGTCTTGAATTCATTTCAACTTTGGCAGCAGATCCCACATCTCACCACCTTGGAAAGCCCAGCCTTTGCATGCTCACTGGAAAAACCCGAGTTTTGATGGGAGCGGATAACCAGATAAGATAAGCTCAGTCTTTTGCTAGCCACTGCAGGGTGTGAATACCAAAAAAACGCACGCGCTCAGCACCCACTCCAGCGGTTGGGGCGGACGAGAAATGCGGATGATCTCCGCTGCTTGTTCAGAGTCTTGGCCCGAGCCGTTATCAGCGGTTGATGTCAGCAGCACATTCCTGAAATGCGCTACTTATCGCACGAAGTGTCCCGGTGAGAGTCTGTCGCCGTTTACAAGGGCCTAGACCTTTGCGACATCGTGACCCTTGCTCAGCATGGAGCATCGAGATGGATGTAGAACATGGGGTTGGTTGGAACCTGGAAGCGGCGGGCTAGCGGCAAAACTTGCGGAACCTGTCGGAGGTCCTCAACGAGAGACACCGATTCCATGTGTGGCTCGAGAACGCTCGAGAATCGAGCCCGCTCTGGAGGGAACTTTAATTTGATCCTCTTATCAGTATCAGAGGTCGCTGCCTTCTGTTGATCCGTTGGCAACACTGACCACCGTTTTGACCAGTTTGCGTCCCTTTGTTGGACACAATCGAAGAACTGACCATTCCAACACTTATGCGAGGAGCTCAAGCGGCAAGGGTCCCGCAGGACCTGATCGTATCTCCCCCGTGTAACGCGCGCGAAAAAAAAAGTGGAAGCCCCAATGAAGATACGACTACAGAAAATACTGGTACAGTGGGAGTGGGATATATAGGTGTGCTAGACAATGATTCAGTATGATACATTTTCGCGTTGGTGCCTAGAGGGAGGTGACATGCAAAATAACAGGAGTTCACAATAGCTTCACGGTCGTCTCCGACCGCCAGCCCGAGCCAAAGTCCGTGCCACCAGAGCCGCTGAAGTACGCATTCAATCCAGGCAATAGGGGAGACCCCGATTCCGTTAGTGAGCGGGGCACGGAACTCCCCGTGTACGACGTTGATCCGGTGGAGAAAGGAGTAGGAGACTGGGTATTGTATCCGGAACTGCCACTCCTCGAGTGAAAGGGCGAGTATCGGGCAGCACTGGATGATGGTCCGGGAGAGTGGGGTAAAGAAGGGTATGAGGAGGCGGAGTGTTCGGAGGAAGCCGACGTGCTCCGCGTCCCAAGGGCCGGAGAGTAGGAGGAGCTCGACGAATAGGACGAGTGAGCAGACATGCCAGACGACGGTAGGGGAGACCATCCCAACGGCGGGGACATATCCAGCCCGATCATTGAGGGTGACGGACCGGACGGCAAGGACATCGATGGAATGGAGGGAATACTCTGCACTTTCCGCAAGCTGGCCCCGTACGACTGGTGCGTGGCAGGCGAGGATTGCGAGGAATCGTACGGGTAGAAGGAAGAGTTGACGGCATGAGCTGAGTCGTAACTGGGCGGATGGCGGTGGGCATGTTGCATTGGCGGGTATGGGTACGACGTGCTGCGGGCGTGGCTATAGCTACCAGAGTAGCCGCCGCTGTATGCGGGGCTGCTGTACGATCCGGAGTATGACATTCGAGATGTGTACTCCTCGCCGTCCGTGTTTGGGCTGCTCGCATCATCGCTGTCACCGCCTTTGGTCTGCGGCAACGGACCAGGGAAAGACGCCGGGGAGGTGGAAGGGGAATGGGAAGATGCGGAGCCCGTGGAGGCTGCGGCGTCCGAGCGCCGACGTTTGCGTGTGTTGTTTGGGCGGCGACGATAGACATAGTCAGGGTACCGCTCGTTGAACGAGGCTTTGAGCAGCTTCGCCTGGTTTTGGAAATACTGCTTCTCGCTCTGCAGGGAATCAGCCCGAAACCGAGTGGCAAGAGCGAGGGGGCGCACCGTAGGCATGGACTTCCATTCCAGGCTCAGGATCTTAGAGATGTCGCCAGTGCGCATAGACTGGTTCTCGGAAGAGACTTGAGGGCGTCTACGGCGAGCAAAGATCATGAACGCATTCATGGGTCGTTTGGGCGTGCCGTCCGCGTTCAAGGTCTGCGAGGTCAGGGTGTGATCCTCTGCGGCCGCAATACATGAGAAAACGGCTATGGGAGATGTGGAGACGCGCCCACCATCATCGGGGTCCTCGAGCTTGAAGACCGTGTCGTCGATGTCTTCTGACGGACTTGGCTGGGAATAATGCATGGAGGAGGATGGAGGGAAACGAACGGAGAAGCCGGTGTCTTAAGACAAGCACTCCTCTTGAGACTGGCCATGTCTCCGAGCCCGATTCTCGATCTCTGTCCGATCGAAATGTGTTAGTGAACCCGCCGTGATGGGCAGGCCAAAAATGGAAGTGAGATCCCGATCGAAGCAGACCCCCTTGACCCCTGAGCCGGTCGGCCAAAGAGACGCACACAATGATGCAACGCTCCGTCAAATGTCGCGCGCGCCATCGAGGCCTAGCAACGAGTCAGACGGTCTCCAGCCCGTAGCCGTGCCCGTGCTCTGCCACTTTTTCGAGTGATTTGTGGATCACACGGCTATCTATCGCTGGGGCAGGAGACGTTTCATCTGGGCGCCTAGCCTTGTTTCACCGTGACGCACCTCGACCTGGCTTCGCTCCGCCAATCCTTGGTGGCGCACTGCACTTCCCTTCCCTTCTCGCGAGTGCTAGCGTCCGAAGCAAGAATCCACTTCTGATTTGCTTCCCGGCTTCTCGCCTTCGCTCTCTGTCCTTGCTGCGGTGCGAACAGGACCCGGATCGAACGCACTTCGCCGCGCCTAGAGGCGCTTTATACTCCGGGCCAACCCAGATCCTGCGTTTTCCCTCCATCGAAATACCGTGAAGACACGCTTAAAAGGCTAAGAAACGTATACGGATGACTAACCTCTCGCTGGAAGATGTAAAATGTCGGACATGCTTTAGTGCTTTAGCCTCCAGCCGCTTCCAAACAGACTTTTCCACTCAGTCGGCCACGCGAAAAAACTCTGTGCTTGCTACCACGCGATGATCAGCGCTTCTTGAACGGGGGGGCCAGCCACAACACGATAGCACCCTCAAAAGTTTCAAAGTATCGTGTCGTATCGCTCTGCGCTTGTGGTGGGCCTCTCTCCCGTCGGCTTTCTCCGCTCTCGGCGTGCGGCCCACTTCACAGATCACCATCAGCCTGGCCAACTATTCGCTAAGTCCTCAGTATGAAAGCGCCGACTAACGGCTACGACCGAGATGAAACCCCGGCCGACCAGAGCATTCCTTGTTCTATTCGGTAATTTCGCTCAATGTCGTTGGAACTACTTCCAGTCAGCCTCAAACGTCGCCGGGCGGGTCTTTTCCCAGACAGTTTGTCTCCTGTCGTTTCATTCTCACGTTGCAGAGGATGCGCAGAAAAGCAAACGAACGGGAACTTGACGGCGAATCAAACCAAGAAAAAAGCTTGTTTTGAGTTCTATGAGTGGCCCTTCTTTTCTCTTGCCTTGGCCTCGCCGAGATCTAGCTCGACTCACGTGACTTGACCCGCTTACTTGCTTGTGATGTTGAACTCTGCATTTTGAAAGCTTTGTCATAGGAGCTGTGGACATTGCCTAGGGACTTGGAGTCCCGAGATCTGGTCTTGGTCGGGAGTCGGTTGAAATAGGGATAATTACTTCATGTCGCCGCGGAGGCTCGGAGAAAGACAACACGAATGCGAGCCCAACGCATCTCCAGGAGGGGCGTACAGATAGCGGCACATGGCGGGTGATTTTCTGCCCATGCCCACATCTGAGACTCCCCGTCAAGCGGTGTGAATTTCTGCCTCATTCTCCTTCAGACGCAAGACCCTTGAAAAACGAAGCGTGCATCGCTACGCCGTTTCAAGCCCACATCTGAAAAGAGAGCGCGTCCGGCATTCAAGCACAAAGTCGATAAACTCACACTAGACATAAATAGATGGCGCTAGTTATCGTTGCGATCATAACGAGCGATCATAACGAGTTGTTTCGCATTTTGCTGATCTCTGTCCGGATGGATCTTCGGGCCCCGGAATCTTGGCTAACAAACGAGATATGCAACCCTCACCTTCGACAAATTTGGGCTGCACAACACTCCAAGCTCTAGGCACGTGCGATGGTTCGACGCCGTGCGACAGTGAGCAGCTCATGCTTACATCCCCAGCCTCTGCTGTCAAGTTGTGACCAGCGAATAGTATCGATTTCGTGACCTGTCTCCTCCGAGGATTGGCCGAAGTGATGATGATGAGCCGCTTGACGAACAATCGAACAACCCACATATGTAAGTACGCGAATCGGGAAGGGCGATCGTGAATGACGCTCCGGTACGGTACCTGAGCGTCCCGGCCCGAGCTGTTCCGTGACAAGCACGGAGCGAGCGTCGGGCTACGATGATTTACCAAGGCACTCTCGTAACACAGCACATGAACGTTTCTTCATTTTCTTGTGTCCTAGAGGCTTGAATAGTCAAGCACTGCCCGCTGCTCCAGGCTGAACCCATCCAGAACTCGACTATCTGCCAAATCCCCTCGAGCGATGCCGGAACATTCCGACCCCTGACACAGCCTCTATTCACACGCTCCACCTCTCTGAAGCACTGACATCTTGTCCACTACGATGAAGCACACTCTCACAGACGCCAGTGCGAACAAACTCCCAATTATCCTCTTTTGGCCCCGGTGGTGATCACGCACCACTCTAGATTTTCCACGCACCGCCGATCTCCGTGTTTATCATCTGGGTCTGCGTCCTGGCGAGATCGCAAATCGCATCGTAGGCAACCCAGTTGATGAAGCGCGATGAACAGACCCATGATTTTCAGGTCACTGTCGGATCCCCATCCCGTGCCCGGTCAATCGCTGTTCATTTCGACGCCAAACCCGAGCCGTTCGAGCTCTCCTCCGAGCGTGGATTTCTTACCATCACGGGGAGATACAAGGGAGCCCCCGTGTCTGTCGTCAGCATCGGCATGGGTCACCCCAACGTCGACTTCTTCGTCCGCGAGGTGCGTGAGTGTATCAGTGGTGACATGCTCATTATCCGGTGCGTGATCGAACGGAGGCGATTGGCCCATCGCACTCTCGTCATCCCCTTACTGCCGGTTTAGATTGGGCTCCTGCGGAGGACTCATTGACATACCGGTGGGATCTGTCGTCATTCCAAAGGACTCGGTAGCTGTTGAACGGAACCTCGACTACGATTACGTCCAACCCAGCAACAACACTACCGAGCAGCCGTACAGAGTCAGCAAACCGGTGAGATCTTGTGAATCTCCGCACTGATGTTCCTGTCTCATGCGTGCTACGTGACGCGACCCGAAGGCCGTCGCAGATCCAGTATTCCATGAGCAGGTGGCGCTCTTTCCATCCGATTCCGACGAGGATAATTCACAGGTGTGCAGGTTTTCAAATCTCTTTTAGCTGCGAAACCGGCGGAAGACAAGGGAGAAATCGTAGCCGGAAGCACAAATGCATCTGCTGACAGGTCCTACTTTCAGCCGATGTTATCGATTCCATCTGATCTCGGAGTGCCAGTTTCTATTCCTCACAAGGCAGACAAACTTCATTCCCAGATCAGAACGCGCACCTCATCGGGCACTTGCAAGCGTCGGTCCCCGGTTTGGCTACGTTCGAGGCGCGTAGCTCGCCCACTCGCGATGACGTTTGTTGGTTAAATTCTCTATATATAGATGGAGACTTTCTGGCTGTATCACCTGGCGGCTTGTTGGTCGGGTCGCAAAGATCTGATTGTGGATGCCGAGACGCCACCGCTCGCCACTGGGCCAGTGAAGCCCTCGGCAACCGCTCCTTCGCAGCCGAGCTCGGGAGGTGCTGCGCTCGCCGGACATGATACTGTCATTCGAGCTGCAGCGGCGCACATGGTGTTCGCCTCTCGGACCTCGCAGGACTTTATCACGCCCGAACATGTGGGCCGGCTGGAAGCGTGGACGGGAAAGGTGGATCGTTTAGCCCATGCTCGCGCCGAGTGACTGAATAACTATCAGGGCGTTCTCGACGCGCTCGCGGACATGTCGATGGCACCTGAGGTTCGTCCAAACTGTCACGATGGCTCTGTATTTACTCATCTGATTACAGCGACTGCACCCTCAAGAAGAGAGCGTATGGAAATTATAGATACTACGACTAGAATGAAGTCCAGAGGACAGTCTCCACGCCCATAGCCCGGAGTGATTCCGCGTGATCTTCGTCGATTAAGGCACATCCCACAATGCGAACATGCCGGAGCCGTGCAGGCAGGTTCTGGTCCAACTCTTGTTTGTTCCCGACCGCCTGTCTCGGAAGCTTCTTCATCGGCCGCGCCTTGGGCTTGATAAATTGGAGTCTGCGGGACTGGGAGTTCAGGGCACTGTGAGCCCCATTGCGCATCGATGCAATGGCTATGAGAGGGAGCACATCAACATCTGAGCAGCGCCACAGCTCGATAGAATCCAGATGAGAACAGACCCTGGTAATGCTACCAGAAACAGCCGAGAGTTGATACAGGCATTCAAAGAGCTTGCCGACGCCGAGACAGTTATCGAGAGTGAGCGAAACAAGATTCGGCAGATAACCCAACATGGCCTCCGCTTTGCCCAGTTCCGCCGATATCTCGAAGTGGCAGATGGTGAGATGGGTCAGTCCTGGTAGGCGCGGGTCTCTGAACATCGACTCCAATCGAGGAAAGGTGGGTAGCGCCTCCTTGGCCCTGTTGCGGCCGCTCTGAATGGAACCGCTCACGTGACCGATGTCGAGTTTCTCGAGCACCGGAAACCCGAACTTGCGCAGGACACTGCCTACAGTCTCCTCGTTCAGACATTGCAATGTGATCTCGCGCAGATTGGAGAGCTCGATGACGCGGTTTTGAGCGAAAAGTTGTGATGCTGAGTGGTCAGAGTAACCTCGCAAGAGGGCGACATTGTTCCGGACGAGAGGATACTCGTCCACGTCAACATCAAAACGCTCGAGAGCCGGGATGACAAAGAACGAGAGAAAATAGTGAATGTCACTTGCGAACGGATAGGACCATTGCAGCGAGCGCAGATGCAGCAGTACAACTGGCTTTACCCGCACGTGATTGGCTGAGATCTCAACGGCATCCTCTCTATCCAGCGTGACATCCATGAACGGACAAGTGTCGAGGAGAATAAGTTCCTCGAGCCTCGGAGTACATCCGAGGAAGCGAACGAGCTGTGACATGCGAAGCACGTAGGAGGTCGAGCCCTCCACCAGTATCTTCTTCGGAGGGAACTCGAGCTCGAGAGTGAGCAATTTGGGAAGGAAATGACTGGGGATGTTGAATAAAGGGAGTTTGGTGAGGCGGAGGATGGTCAAATGCGAAGATACCGGCGCGGGTTCTCGTAGCTGGGTTGGTAGAAGAGTAGGCAGGAGGAGGGATGACGCGGCGATCGCGTCTATGGAAAGATCGAGACTTTCGAGCGCTTTGAAGGCGTGGTTTGGTCGTGTGAGCACGCTGATGAACTGCTGCATGGCCTCGGTCCCTTGGGAGTGAAAGACGATGCTGCGCATCCGCTCAAAATCGACTTCCACGTGTTGGAGCAGTTTCAAGGCTCGCCGATGCTCGTGACCATCAGGCAGGTTGTGTGGTGGGGCGAATATAACCGACAGAGGGGATCTGCCCGACCGTGCGACGAACGTGACGATGGGCCGGGCGTTCCAAGCCTCGCCCTGAACGCAAATCCGTATCCACAGCTGCGACGTGCTGAGCGCGATAGAGCGCCACCGAGAGCATACGTGCGAGAGCGTGACAGGCTCCCGGTGGTACACCTCCGCGGGGTGACCCGAGCCACTCTCCACGAACGCGAGAAAGATGTGGATGATCAGCTCCGGAGGCAACCAGTTGACAGGCTGACGTTCTGTCTGAAGCTCCTGCTGTCTTGCTTCCAAAGCCCGCCTCTCCGAACCCGTCGACTCCCTCAATCGGCGCATCTCGTGCAAGATCCTCTCGAACTCCAGTTCCTTCATGCGGAGAACCATGAGCTTGGCGTCCACGATGCGTGCTTCTTCGTCGATCTCCTCTTTTCTTCGGCGCGCCATTTCGTCGTTGGCGTGAGGAGGTGGTGGTCAGAGGCGGAATCGTCGCCAAACCCGTCACGCCGAAATTCGAATGCCACTGTGTGACAGAGCGCGTCAAGCGTGGTGGCTATGTGATGCCATTCCCCTTTCTGTTTCTTCCTGACGACAAACGTTACGTACTCATTGGGATCATAACGTCGAAGAAGACGCGAAATCATCTGCATTTCGTTCTGAAGTTTTGGCAGATGCAAGTATCGCAGGACTGGGCATCTGAAAAATGGACGGATCCCGAATCAGAGTGGAACGATGCCTACTTAGAAGAATTCTTTTGCGCGGGCAGAAGAAGAGAAATGTTCTGCGGTGATTCTTCAATTTACGTGGGGATGGATATATGCTTTCCAGAATGCGAAGTGCACTCAGAAGTCAGTGTGCTTGCGGAGTCATTCCATTTCGACGAAAAGTAGAGAAGGATATATCTGGTATGTACTTTGGACACTTATCCATATGGCTTCAGTGGCATCCGAGGAAGTCAGCAAGTGCTTGGGCTGTTCCCGAGGAATAGTGCACCAAGTGGCGGCTGCTCACGGACTCGTCCACGAGGCACGGCGCGCCACAAGAATGGACTGTCCGTTGTCGATTCCGGCCGGACCCTTGCTATGACTTGGAGCATGCCAGACCGGAGGAGATGGCATTGTCTCAAGAAGGCTTCATATAACCTGACTCCTCGGATGGATCTTTTGGACAGAATATCCCTTGTCAAAAACACTGCAGCTCTAGGTCATCTTAAGTGCTTAGCAGGGTGATCGCCCATCAGTGGCGTGAACGAAACATGGATACCAATGCCGATTCCTAAGACTCCCACTCATCGGCAATGACAGCGCGTCCCTCAAGCTTCTCGGGTAAGTTTTCCCGAGACAATCACAATAAGAGAACAGCAAATCAAATCTGTTCTTCCATCTCAAATGCGCAAGCCACTAGTACTCGGATGGAACTCCATGGACACGTGATGCAAAGTGATCACCTTACGCGCATTGCATCATCCGATCAACGTCAACCGTCGCTTGATCGCCGTGCGATCGCCAAACTCAGACAGCACTAAATCTACGCAAGGATGTAGCGCTGCTCTTTTACGCTGCGGCGCTATATCTCGAACCGATATAATACCCTGGAAACGGCCGTAAGGACGCATGGACCCAGACCGCGACGGAATCACGTCATAAAATTCCGAGGTTCTGAGCAATTTTGAGGCAAACTTTGCTGGACTTCCCCTTCTCATCCTTCCTTCTCCATTACAGACTTGCGTAATACCAACGGGAATTCCACTCTAAAAGACGCTTGGACTCGCGCTGCACTCTCCCTCCTTCACCTCACATTCCTTTGCTTGTTCCACCCATGCCGACCCTCAATGAAAAGCACAATGCCGAGATTCAATTTGAGACTCCCGAATGCATTGTGGAGAGAAAGCAAACGCCGCTTCCCGTTCATGTTCTACCTGAAGCCGCGCTAGTTGCTGACGGAGGACGTGAGGCCTGGGGCACAGTGGTCGCATCGTAGGTCGCGTTTTGTCGCATCCCAAAGGCTAGCTGCTCACCGGAGATAGTTTCTTGGTTATGTTCTGCAGCTTCGGGTACGCTCGACGCTGCTCAACCGACGCGCTGTGCCTGCTCACTACCCAACAGGTACAGCAGCTCCTTTGGTGTCTATCAAGGTGCAGTTACTCGCGTTCCGGGCTTCTGAGACGTTCAGTGATTCGAAACGGTCAGACTTCTACGCTCGGACGTACTTGGACAACTACTCTTCGTCTTCGATCTCGTATGGACTATGAAATTCTGATCCTCCGAGAAGACTGACTGTCGTAGATGGATTGGGAGCGTCAACATCTTTATCCTGCTCTCAGGCGGATTCGCCGCTGGGCGCCTGCACGATCAAGGCTACTTGTGAGACAGGCACATTCCTGTGTTTTGAACGCGTCTGATTAGGCCCAGCTACTATCTGATGTTCGGAGGCTGCTTACTGACGTCGCTGTCTCTGTTTATGCTGTCGCTCGCTCAGCCAAACCACTTTTACCAAGCACGTCGACGAAAGCTGTTCGCTTGCGTATCTGGCAGCTCATTACGCTCTAGGTTTTCCTCACTCAGGGAGTCGCGAATGGAATCGGCGCAGGCATGACCTATGTGCCATGCATGGCCGTTCTATCACATCACTTCCAGAAGCGTCGAGCGCTGGCCATGTCCATCGTTGCTTCCGGCTCCTCTTTAGGGGCCGTTATCCACCCGATCATGCTCAATCATACATTGCACAGCGGACTGAGCTTCGGCAATGCCGTCCGCGTTAGCGCCGGTCTCATCTCCGGGCTGTTGCTCTTCGCATGTTTGCTGTTCCGCACGCGACTCGCTCCCCCCAAGCAAACGATTCATCTCCGTCATATCTTGGTCAAGTTTGCCCGGGATAAAGCCTACGTCACAGCGACTCTGGGGTTCGTCCAGGCGCATCCCTACGTTGTGAACGCGTTGACCAGTTCCACGCAGGCTCTGTGTCTACACAGTCGGCTTCTACTATCCACTCTTTTATCTCCAACTTGACGCAGTGCAACACGACCTTGATCCATCCTTTGCCTTCAATGCAGTAAGCAGCCACCTTGCGTGTGCGTCCCCGTGTCTCTGATTCGCCGCAGCTGGTGATCATGAACTCGTCGAGTTTCCTTGGCCGACTCGCCCCGGGCTTCTTTGCTGGACGACTGAATCCCAAGACCATGATGGCCATCAGCACGGCCTGTGGGGCCATCCTGATCCTCGCGATGATGGCCCTCAGGAACATCGCCAGTGTAGTGACCATCGGTGTCTTGTACGGCTTCTGCGCAGGATGCAGTGCGTGTCGTCCCTCTCTCGTGCAGCAGGGCCTGAGCTGTCCGCACGTCACAGTCGTCACTCTCGTGGGCCCGCTCTTCGCTTCTCTCACCGACGACATGTCCGAGCTGGGGTAAGCACCTCGTCTGCCATGTGCTCTGAAAACTCTGCTGAACATCGTGTGCAGTGCTCGGCTTGGTCTCTGTACTTCCCTGAGTGGTGGGTGCTCTTCGCTTCTCTGTGGCATGTGCTTGCTGATTGAGACTGCAGGACTCGGAATCCTGATCGGTGAGTGATGCCTGATCTCGGTCTGGGCCATGTAATGACTTGTCAAAGGCCCTCCCCTCGACGGCATGCTATTGACAGACAAGTTCTACTGGTGGCGTCCTGCTCTCTTCAGTGGGGTGCGTTTTCCAGCTGTCGGATCATCCCTTCCTGAATGCGACCCCAGATTATGGCCGCCGTTGGATGCGCACTGTTCCTGCTCATGTTCGTTCTCCACAGGAAGAAGAGAGCAGCCGGAGTCGTTGTCGAATTGGCCTTGGTCCATGTCGACGCCCACAAGTGCTAGATCTATGCTCTGCTTGTCGAGTTTGTACATCTATCTATATTTACCACACATACGCTCTCGGGCCGGGCCGGTACCCGGCAACTCCTAATGCCTATCATAATCATACCGTCATTCATCACCTTCTGTGAGGCAGTCCCACTGGTTGCCCGGCGCCATGTCGACGTCCTCTGGCTCTCAGCCTCAGGTAACCTCCAGTGCACCGTCGCCAGGCGGCGGTGGCGGCACCGACAGCACTTTTCCTGGTCCCGGTGCAGGGAACCCCAAGCTGTATAGTACGTAACGCCAATTCCGCACTCGTCCGTTCCACCGAGCGATCCCAGTTTATACCTTCCTCTCCACGGTCGTGGTGCTCACCGTAGCCACTGCTTTCCTCGTCCTGCGCACGCACCTCGCGCGGAGGAGGATACAACGCGCGATAGCCAATGGGACCTTCGTAGCGCCTGGACAGCCTGGGAACGCGAAGCCAGTGACGCTGCTGCGGAGGCCAAAGATGTACGACGTGTATGTTGACGAAAAGGCGGATGGGAAGGGTTGTTGGGAGGCATTGCATGTGCGTTCTTTCCTGTCTCTCTATGTATCACGATCCTGCGCTGCTGACAAGCGCCTCCCTTCGCAGCCCGTCGCGGCTTTGGATACCTCACTGTTGTACACGAAGCCGCCAGGGCCGGTGGAAAGTCCGAGCAACCACGCGGACCAAAGTCCACCGAGCAGGCGTCCATTCACGCTGCGCACTCTGCTCAGACCGATTCGTGCCGTCCGAGAATCTCAGCTTCCAGATTCTTTCTCCCCCCGTTCCGACGACCACTCCCCTCCTGCCGAGGCCGAGATGTCCAATCCAGCTTCCCCTTCCTCTCCTCCTTCTCCTCCCGCTCAACTCTGCGTCGCGGTGTTGGTCCACATGCCCGACTCCCTGGCTGGCTGCAACAACGCTTGCGATGCGCGGCGCAACGCCAAGGGAGACGATAACGAAGATCTGCCGTGTTATGAGATGGGATTCGTTGATGCCCGGGTTCTACGGCCAATGCAAGTTGACTGATCGTGTGTAATACTAGTAGTCTGTGCGTATGATGGGACTGCTCGTCCCGGCCGCAGCATCCAACATGCTGCTCTGGCCGCGTCGATCCAGATTTCTCCCCACTGATGTTACCCGCAGAGCTTGACTACAGTGAGCTGCGACACTGTAAGCTCCGACAGCCATTAGCAAGCAAGCTCCCACACGATTCTCTAGTCACAGGTGCCATCTTGCAGACTGATGCTGGCCAATCAGGACACTGATCTAATAAGATATGTATAGACTGAAAGCGTTCTACGATTTCCCGTATAAGACGAGCTGCGCGGTGAGAAATCTATCTTCGTCGTGGGGTCAAAGCTTGCCTCGAGATTGGAGTGGCTGTTGGCTCCACTCACATCAGAAAGGGATCATTGCCCTCATGGCAATGATGTGTCTCGTGGTTCTTCAATGTGGCTGAGGACCAGGTTACGCTACTAGGGAAGTACTGATTCGTCTACACTTTCGGGGATATACCCTTCTTCTGTGAGAGTCGACAGCCCTGAGTCGATTACTCGTTCAGTGACAGGGAGACTGCCAGCAGAAAGGCACGCTGAACCAATAGCCCAGCCCGCGTGCAACTTCTTCGTGCTATCCTTCGAGGAACCACCCACGACCCAAACTTCGATCTTGATCCTGTTCCAAGTTTTTCGAACGCGATCGCTTCCAAACTGGACCCGATCCAGGGCATGGCCCCTATCCAGTGGTTCACAAGACATGAGATTCCATGGCAGAGATCCGTCGAAGGGAACGAGATCCACGTCAGGGAGACCGCAGTCAGGTACCTGGGTTAGCCGGAATCCGGAGTCAGAAAACCCTGTCTCGAAAGGCGAGGTTCTTCGAAGGCGTGGAATCTGAACCTTAACTACTTCCAGCGTTCTCGGGAGCAATAATAGCTCGATTTTTTGCGGCTCGCGGTACGCAGACATAGATATTTGACGTCGAAAATTTTCTGTGGGTGGGACTGTAGAATGAAACAGCCCGAGTCAGTGGCAACTGCCAATTCGGTATCAATTGGAACAATTCTTCCAACAGACGCTATTCCCCAATGTTCGCACGTGACAAAGAGAATGGTCATGTGACAGTCGATGTCATTTGTGGAAAGCATTTTCACAGCGTGCATGGAAGACTACGAATGAACCCAGAAACTTGATTTAGGCAAGCAAAGTACGTGTATAATCGATGTGCAGATGTCCCTGAATGTAGACGCTAGTAGGAGTAGTAAATTGTGGGAATAGTAAGTGTGTCCAGTCCAATCTCCGAATCCGAAAACAAGCTCGCCAAGCATCGACTCATCACTGCTCACCAGCTGCCGGTCCCATACTCCAGACTTGGCCCACTGATGGTCGAAGCCCTCGCTCTACGCGTTTCACCGTCGTCCGCCGTGGGCAAAGGCTCGCCCTCGGACACACTACGCATCATCCCTAACGATGCTCGATTCATCAGCATCATCGATGTTGCCGACGCCATTATCACTGGGACAGGCATCGCAAGGGGCACTGGATCTGCACTTTGCATCATTCCTCGGTCGGTTATGGACGCTGGTAGCGGCTGGGCATTGGATGAAACCAACAACTCCGCCTCCATCTTTCGTGGTTCGATCCAACCCTGTAGCATCGTCCGCTTCATAGCATCGCCCCCGCTCACAGCATTCGAAAACGTGGCGTCCATCTCAAACACGTGGCTCACGTCCGTCGTCATGGCCGCCATCGCCGAAACAGTATGGTCGATGTCCATGCCGTGGTCTACAGCATCGAACGCAAATTGATTCTCTTCGACATCGAGATGCGGTAGTAATGGGTATCCTGTGCTTGTTGATGGGAACAAAACGGGGTCGACTGCTGGGTGAGGCGAGTCTTGCTGGTCGTACATCGATCGATTTGGAAACTCGTAGGTCGATGTCATCATCATCGGCGGTGTCCTATACTCAACCGCTCAGTGCAAAGATTCGACAATTCGTCCATGTCAAACGCACCCTTGCAACAAGTCATGCACACTGCCGCTGCTACCGTTCGAGCTTCGCTGTCTCAAGGAACCTTGGGACCAACTTCTTTCCATTCCACCAGAGGAGGACCGGCTGTCCATGGCATGAGCACTGTACGGTCTCTGGGCGTGCGGGAGGACGTGAGGAGCAAGAGACGAAGAATGGTTGTCAGCCGTGTAAGGCCTCTGCGGCTCCACCGGTAGAAGCTCTTCATCGAATAGGAAATTGTGCAGATAGGCGACCGGCTCATCGTCCAGATCTGGGTGCAGGACCAAGTCTGGTTCAAAGGCCGTGTCTCCTTTGGCGTACGACGCATCAACATCTCCCGGTGTAAAGGCGAATGGTGGAGCCCAGCTACCTCTTCGCGAGTCACAGTACAGGTACGACTGTTCGCTCGCACTGTCGGTGTACAGGACGGAAGACGCGGCCGACGAAGGCGGCGGGGTGCTCCATCCACCATCGCCATCCAGCGGTGAGCGCAGGTAGCCGTCGCTCTGAGGAATGCACACAGACAGTGGAGAAGGCGCATAAGCAGATAAGGGCGTGTCGTGGGTATATGGGCTCAAGAAACCGTGTCCGTCGAGGTCGAGGTTCGGGAGTGACATACGCTTGGCTGATCCTCCGCCGTGTCGCGCGAGGAGACTGACACCCACTCCTGCCTCTGCTCCCAAGGGGAAATTGGCAGAAGTCGGCGTGGCGAGCGTGCTATGGCTGCGAGGACGCCCGCTGTGCGAGGGTGACGCCGGGTCTAGCTTGAGCGAGGGTGGTCGGCTGTAGGATGAAGAAGCAGTGGGCGGACTGTTGTTACGGGATGAATAGGTTGGGGGCGCAGCGGGTTTCGATTTGGCGTGGCCCGGGGCACGCGTAAGCGAGGTGGAGGCGGCGCGTGGACGCGACTTGTTGTATCCCCTTGCACCGCGCGCATCAGTAGAGTACTCGCATTTGAGACCCCGTGCTTCGCAGCGACCGCACGTCGGGCGTTCACCCGAACACTGGCGCGGCAGTGAGTCCGTGTGCACGCAATGGGTTTGCCCGGGTAGCGCACCTTGGCTTTGCGAATCCTGCACTTCTCGCACGCTTGTGACGTGCGGAGTCTCTGCGGCTCCGCGACGCGGAAGAAGAGATCGTCCCTAGTCGACGGGTGCGGCGAGGCCAGTTTCTGCATGTCGACGGTCGCAGGAATGGCCGGCGGGGCGTAGGGCCACGAGAGCGGACGGCCGGTCGACTTCTTCTCCATCGGCGAGGATCGATATAGGCTGGCGCGGGATGCGTCGAAACACGGAAAGACAAGCGGTGGGATGTCTTTATCTGCAGTCTCGACTGCCTAATCGGGCTACTGAGCAGCCTATTTAGGACGTGATCCGCGTTGACGTAAACGTTGATCGGAGGTCAATCGAATCTGTCGCTGTGCTAGTGGACAGCTTGGAGGATTTCAAGACAAACCACGTCTCTTTCCTAGCAACGAAACCAATAAAAAACACACAAAATTGGTACCAAAGCATTGGAAAGCACTCTCCCATATCTCTAGGTTCATTTTCAGCTGATGCGAATGCAGTAGTATTTCTGAAACTGTGTTCCGCTCCGCCCTGGGTCTCAGACTCTCCCCAATTTAGGCGAGTTGGTGCTTAGGATGAACTTCTTTGTCATCATTTCCTTAGATAAGCGGAGGGGCATCGACTTTGAGGACCTCTATAATCTGGCCATGTAGAATGCATGGCCAACCCGAGAACCCCCAAAGCCCGGAACTTCCCGAAGCTGATCTTCAATCTCCCAGGGCGAATCCTTATTCGGCAAATAATTTGTCTCGATGATTTGAATTTGTTCCTGGCTACAAGCTGAGCCTGAAGTGTAGCGTTACCATGTCTGAGAGTCCTCGGCTCCCGAGCCTCCTTGATAATTCAGGTGCTCCAAGTCGTGTAGACTCAGCCATTCGCGAGATTACCGCGCTCTTTTCCCATTTGAACTTGCCAAGTGGAAGTGTCCCACAAATTTGAGCATAACCCCAATTTTCTTTTTTTTAGTAATTACTTATACTCGGACCTTAAGTAGAGCCGATCCCAGCCAGACGCCTGTGCCCACAGCTGATGGATCGATCTGAAGTGGATATGGAGTCCAGGTGCCTGACTCAGTTCGGATGTCTGAGATTGAGCGGGGGATATCAAGCCGAACTCGATCAGATCACAGCTCATCAGATCGGCTTGATCCTAGCCTTACCACCACCTGACCTCCACTCGAGTTGAGAAATCGAATCTCGGCCTAGGCCCACCTTCCCTTCGAGCCTCACTGGGAATGCGTGGCCCAGATGTGATGGAACCTGGTACGTAGCATCCACCGCCCCTGAACAATAGCTTGGTCGACACCCAATCGGTCAGGCCACTACATGAACTCCACAACCTTAATGTGCCTAGTCTTAGTGGATACTTTGACTGACAAGCAGCCAGCGCGACAACGCGATACTTGCGGTAATTGGATGAGGCTCTGCAGCTGGTCGAGTCAGAGCCGCAGACTCGGACTGCTGGGATTATGAATGCCAAATCAGGCTGACCGGACCCCCTCCCTTGAAGACGTCTAGTAGAATTTGGCTCGTGTGGTATCCATTACTCGACCACGACGAATAACGTTAAAATTTAAATTAGGCGTTTAGAGTCTTTCATGGTTCCCCTCACGGCATGTGGGCCCTCCTGGCTTCAAGAATTCTTGGAATAACGGCATTCGAACGGCATTCTGCGCGTTTTAGCTCCTCGTCGAACAGGGATGATCACACTCGCAGACTTCTCTTCTGCGGCGCGCAGCTATTCCATGTTGGGAGGTCCCCGACAAGACTCGGCGAATTACCAGCTCCTGATCCCACAGTTTTGGCACGGGACTATGGGCCATAGCTCTGTCGTGTCCAAATGTCAGTCCAGAAACAGTATTCCTTGCTACCAGTCATTGATGGACGAGGAAAGTTCCACCACGGCCAATTTGTCCTGCTTTTCCTCGGCTTGCGATTTTCGCGGCTGATTTCAGTACTGATCCATTCATCTCCCGCACGGTGGTACAAAAAAATTCATAACCACACTGCGCCACAAACGTACATTGTACGCTGCACAAGACTTTTTCAGAGTGCACACTGCAGCGGAAAAAATTCCCCGCAGCAGTCATGCGCACAATGGACCTGAAATTACCGAGGACGACTTGCTTTAGAATAAGATTCGACGCATATCCAAATAGCCACTGTAAAGTGTGATACAATTATTCGAGCAATTCGTTATGTACATTTCAAACTTGGTTTATATTTACACACTTGTACCGTAGAAACAATTGCAGGGCAGTCCATGGGATGCCGGCGGAGAGAGGGAGAGATATCTACAACCACGATGTGCGCGAGCGGTAATAAAGACAAGGCAAAGAGAAACGATGATAAGTGAATTTTCGTCTAGGCGAATGGTGGATCGAAACCCCATCGGCGGGATGCAGATGTGCTGTTGACAGATTCGTCATAGAGCAGCGAAGAAGCCGCAGAAGAAGGCGATGGGGTGCACTCGCTCTCGGCATAGTGTGGTGTCTGGTACGACAGGGACTGCGGGGGATATTGTGGATGCGGTGCGGCTATCGAATTTTGAGATCCTGACGAGCGAAGGTCCGAATATGAGGACGCCGGCGTCAGAGAATATTGCGGGTAGGGCAAAGGCGAGTAAGACTGCTCTGCAGTCGTCCACTGGGACGGATCGGATGACGGTGCCCCATAACCATCCAGAGTGCAATGGCTGGCTGCGGAATACGGGGGAGACGAGGCTGTGTACGCCATCGAGGGCGAAGAATTGCATGGGAATGACGGCGCAGGATTGGGCAGAGACGTCGAGCTCATGTAAGCTGATCGAACATGCGACGGGGGATATGTAGCGTCGAGGCCGTAGCCGTGCTCGAAACTCGTGGAGACAGTCAGGCGCCGTTCAGTAGGTGCAGGGTGCTTTCGAGGCAAGGATAGCGGCAGGCAAGAGCTGAGAGGCTCTAGTTTCAGTGGTGGGCGGTCTACCGCGCGCCGAGCATGGTGCAATGACGACAACACGGGAGAATCAGACGGTGAGCCGCGGGACCTCGTCTTGTTGAGTCCGCGAATGCGGCCCTCCTTGGCATATTCGCAGGTAAGCCCTCTTGCGAGGCAACGAGCGCATGAGGGGTGATCACCAGAGCACTGACGTATGGAGAGTCAGCTCCACTGCAGCCGCGAGGGCAGTTGAAGTGAACAGGATTCGTACCTTTGCCTTCCGTGTCCTACATTTCTCGCATGCCTGCGCAGTACGCAGTCTAGGGTGCTCTGGAGTGCGGTAGAAGATCCCCGTCGTTGGATCCAGACTGCCGGCGAGCGCGACGCGGGGAAGAGTAGTTGAACGCGAGGGTGGAGGTGGGGGTGCCTCGAAGGACCATGGGAACGGGTAGTCGGCGTAGAGACTCATGTTTGGGGATGGGTGGGTACTGCTGGGAATAAATAGCAGAAGAGAGAAGAGCAGAAAGAGGTCGTCTTTTTACCAGTCGCGCCCTTTCCATATCGGGGTACCGAGGAGTCTAATTGCGTATATGGCAATTTCAATTGATCCGCGGGGACCAATCACGCTGCGGCGATCATTCCTGGCGCTTGCTCTCTCACCTCATGGGCCAAACAGTGGACAAATCTGCAAAGGTTGCTTACGGGCAAGTATCCTGAAGCCTGTGGACTGGCGCAGCTGGCCTTGCTGGGACACTTGCTGTTGGGCAAAGTTTCGGCGTCCAAAGTGGTTGTGCGAATCGGTGAGCCCGAGCCGAGCTGGGGCGCATGCTTCCCTTCGTTTTGTGTGCCTACCTTCTCTAACATGCATTGTCTGGAGCTTAAAACTCTTTTTAGCCGAATGACCCCATTACTCTCACAATATAAGACTACATCTGCCCCGAATGAATTCTAAATCGCGATTCGCGGGAGCTCATCCGGTGACTGTCTAGGTCACCGTCGCTGCTACCCTTACGAGGCGAGGATCCCGGTTTACACGATTCTAGCTCGGAATGTCCTGGGAAATATCTCCTTCGCGCGATTCCCAGTCGCACAGAGAATCACCGCAGACAGACAAGTATGAGCTTCGGTTCGAATCTTGAAATCGCGCTGCAAGGGGCGCTCAAGAGCTTGCAGCCTGTGCCACTCTCCGACGGCTTTTCGACCGGCATCTCTCTAGATCTGGCCGACAGAGCCTGTCTTCGCACCGATCATCCCGAGAACATAACGCGATCGTGCATTAGCCCGATCGTGTCTGCTCAATTGGATCGTTTCGTCCGATCACGGTCCTCTTGGCCAAACCAAGCGAACATTTCCAGCTTGGTTTTTCTTAGCTACGCATCGTGGATTATACCGCATCTTACTGGTGAGTGTCTGCTCATTTATGCGTGATTTTTCAGCTCTCTCGGCTCACGCAAACGTGGGCGTCAGTGGCCCTAGCAGGTTATGTCGCCCACTGACTGTCATGTGTCTGCCCATTCAGGGACTGCGAGAAGTTTGGTTGTGATGGTTTGCACCCTGTTAACACCTCGTCAACGTGTTGTCTCATGCTTGTAGATACGTGGACATCGGAAGTAACTGAAGAAAATTGGACTCGGCACCGGAGGTAAGCACCTCCGAGTGGGCACTCTAATTCTCAATGTTGAATGAACTCATGTGCAGACATTAGCCTTTGCCGAGACCTTGGTGGCCAGTTCCAATCCTAGAAATGATGCCCCAACTACCTCGCAAACACCGGCGAGAGCGCTCGCACTACCGCATTTGTGCCCGGCCTCCTCCGTTTGATGTACGTAGTATGCGTTTGCATCCTAGCGCAGCAATTTACCCCGTCCCAGGCCAACTCGCTGAGCTATCGCTGCGCCTCTAGCTTTCGCTTCATGTTTCTCCTGTCAAAGTGACGGTGGCGGTCACCAAGAACGGGGAACAACCAACAACATCAGGGAGTGCTGTCCAAGTGTTATTCGGTCTGACACTGACGGTATTTCACAGATCTGTTTTGGTCCGATATATATATCCCCGTGTGTGTGATATCTCTGAGTCAAATACACAACAGAAGGATACGTTCTGGAATTAGTCTAAAATCTTAAAACCTGGATGCTACTCTGAAGAATCCTAGGGAAATGCAGGTTCTGGTTTGGCTGTCATTTTGGGTGTGTGGCACTCAGACGCCTGTGTCTCGGCTCGACTCCAACAATTATCTCTTCGTGAAGCGTCTTTCCTGCTTCTCAGGGTCGTCGAATTCCTTGCAGGAAACGTAATTCCCCTCGGACTCTTCTCTGCCACCGCAAATATTGACAGCACAGGATGCTAGTCTCGCCTTGATTCTCCCTGGACAAGCTCAAACCCACGGCAAGTGACGGGCGGGATTACAACTCTCGTCCGCCACATCACACGGTTCGTTGCTGGGTCGCCGGTTCCACGCGAGTAATCGAATAGCCTTCTCGCGTGCCAAAGAAGAGCTCAACTGCGCAAACAACAACAGCGAACATCGTCGTCGAACCGCGCCACCGTCCGGAAGGAGCCGAGGAGCCGACTTGGGCCAACTCAAACCTTGGGGGACTCACAAATTTCATGGTTTCAAGTCTGAGTCAGAAAAACGTGCCTGCAGCAACGGTTTCATCTCTATTAGAGTTTTTTGCACGCCGTCGTTTTTACTTACTTACTGGTAATGTCGTTCATTATATTGCCCCAACTGTGCGCAGTATTATATTGACTGTTTCACTTGATTAGCTTGAATGCATCCCGATATACCAAGTACATATCAGCATGTCTATGCCGCACTCTAGTTGATCCTAGGTAAAAAAAAACTGCGGTCCGGAGCACTGGCGTCATCTGATAGTCCTGTTCCTGAAGGTGGAAAGTGATGATGACAATCATGATTAGCCCTTGGCAAGAGCCCTCTAATGCACCCCTAGGATGCTTCTGTGACCAGCTAGGAGAAAGCTTTTGTGGTGACCCGTTCCCTCGTGAACTAAGCGAGGGAGATTCTCCATCTGTGTTCGATGCTGGGTCTTGCAGCAGGCAAAGGACTTTGCGTATGGAGCAAATTTTATCCCCCAAAACAGGTACGCCGTCTCCTACTTCAGCTGGACAATCATACTAGCGATTACTGTCTTGCGTCCGATCACGCGCGGCCGATGGACACGCTTCTCACGTGATCGTTACATGCCGAAATGCCGAGGTCACGTTCTTGTTTACAGGCTTCCCTCAGCTCTTCTGTGTCAGCTCCGACTCTCTCTCGAGTCTACTCAACGACAAAGATGAACGGACTGCCACTTCAGCTGGCCAGCACTGTTTTTCTTACCATCCCCACGGAGATATGATCGGCTAGGCAACATTTCAGCAAGCGTTGCTGATTGCGCCTGCACAATGAATACCCGGCTTTTCCGTTGCATGATTAACTTTTGAGCACGTACTGGGTGAACTCTACTTGTGGTTCGATAGCATCGTTCCTATAAAATGCCAACCCATCCGGGTATGCTGGCTTCCCCATTCAGTGCCACCCTATCCCCCCACCCGGTATGCCCTCCGAGCCCATCGAAGCAGAGCTCGCGTACCCTGCTGCGCTCAGCAGGGCACAGGAGGAGGAATTCCGACAGCTGGAACACGAGGGCCCACTTCCGAGCCAGACCGCGACGAAACTGGGCTCTTCGTCACACAGTCTCGGCGATCTTGAAGCCAATTTCATGCGCGCGGGAAAGCACGTCGTCAAGTTTGAGCCGGGTGCGGGAGAGGATCCAAGAGAATGGAGCTTGGGACGGAAATGGTGTGTCTGCGTGTTTTTTCTGATTTGACTGCACGGCTTATCGTGGCTGAACAGGTATGTGACGATGACAACAGCATTCTGTGAGAGCGCTCCTTGTCTTGCGTTCAAAAACAATAGACCAATCCTGCAGTATGCCTGGCTGTCGCTCTCGGTAGCTCGATCATCACCGGAGAGTGGGTGTTCTCCTCTGAGCGGCCGTTTTGTCACTGACTGGCCCACAGCCTACAGGGACCCGTGGCCGACCTGCATACGACGCAAGAGACCGTGAACCTGTCGGTGACATGTTTTGTGATCGGTTTTGGCGTAGGGTACCAGCCTCCCCATTGCAGTCAACCAACTAGTTGCTTATGCGATCGCAGACCCCTTTTCTTCGCGCCACTTTCGGAGGTCATTGGAAGAACGCCCATCTACGCGATCAGCATGTTCTTCTACTTTATCTTTACAATGCCCAGCGCCCTGGCGCAGAATGCTGCTACGCTCGTCGTCGCGCGACAGCTGGCCGGACTGGCTGCTTCGGCACCCATGTGCAATGTCGGTGGAAGGTGCGTTGTGGGCGGATCTTGGGCGCAGCTCGAATTCTCATGACGTGATAACTCTGTAGCGTGGCCGACGTGTGGGCTGTCGAGGACCGAGGATTACCAATGGCGTTTTTCTCTGCTACGATCTTGTACGTCACATGCATATCTGCCTCGAAGGCAGCGTTCTGACTCCGAGCAGCATGGGTCCTTGTCTAGGTCGGTCTCAATCGAGAAGAATGGACCGCGAAAAAGACTAATTGTCTCAGGACCGCTGGTGGGAGGCTGGATCGGAATGTACGCCGGCTGGCGGTGGATCTGTTCGTGACTTCATTCGCTTCATTGATTTCATTTTCTCAAGTGCCTGGACAAGACTGGGTCCTTTTCATATTCACTGGTCTAACTTTCGCCATGACCCTCTTCATCCCTGAGACATTGTCACCTGTGCTCTTGAGACGTAAGGCTGCGAGGCTCCGCAAGGAAACTGGCGACGACAGTTACCGATCGCTCGGCGAACTGGAGCATATACCCTTCTCCCAGACCCTGGGCACAGCTCTACTTCGTCCAGTGATCATGGTCTTCACTGAGCCAGTGGTGCTCTTCATGTCCTTTTGTGAGTTGATCATCGCTGACGCACGTTCCATGTTCACCGCCTCTCGATAGATCTGTCCTTCGTGTACAGCCTGCTCTGTATGCTCCGTGTTTGTTTCTTGGCGCGCGCACTTCCAGCTGATCCACCCACCATCTAGATCTTTTGTTCTTTGCCTATCCTATCACGTTTGCCGAGATCCGAGGCTTTAGTCCCGGTATGACCGGCGTCACATTCGTCAGCATCATCGTGAGCACGGCCCTTGCATCTGAGTTCTTTCTCTGAGCGTCGGAAGGTCGGAATCTCCATTGCGATGGTATGCATGCCTCAGCAGGAGAAGCTCTACGCGCGCGTCACTGTCTATGGCACATTTCCCGAAGCACGTCTGTATCCCATGATGGTCGGGGCGATGTGCGTGCTCATCTTCGATTGCGTTCGTTCCATGCTCACGAAGCTCAAGCGTCCTGCCCATCGCCTTGTTCATCTTCGCATTCACGGGCGCCTATTCTTGGGTCAACTTTATGGGGCCATGTGTTGCCGGCGCCCTGTTTGGTTTTTCGATGATCCTCATCTACGTGTCGGCCAATTCCTACATCGTCGACTCGTACTCGTCCTACGCAGCCTCCGCCATCGC